TTTAAACTGCATGAGAATCCCTGTAAATGTAACGTTAATATGTACAGATTCCACTAAGTTGAATCGGCTGTCGATTACGTATCTCTCGATATTTGGTAATTCATTTATTTTAGGACAGGACATATGCTTTATGTTTTAGCGAGTTTTAGTTACTCCGTAATCATGGGGCGCTTGCAACAGTGCCGAAATATCGGAAACTCGATAAAAACAAGGTACATGGTAGCAATCTCGTAAATAACATAAATTACTTTAATGTTAGTAACCATGAAAGTTTAAAACAATAGGACGTATGCTAACTGAAAATGCTGCTTTTTGCCAGTCTTCTACGTAGACAGGGAAATGAGCGTAAAATTAGTGGGCGAAACGAAATTGACTTGATGGCAAACAGCCCCTTAGTCTATCTATAGTATAGACGCTTGCGTTACCGTGCAGTACCTACCGTACCGTACCTACCGTATATCTCACGCGCTGCCTACCGACTCCATCTCCAACCCCGTACTTATAGTCCTTGAATTTTACTCACTGTTAAAATTTCACTGTGCATGTGTTCTAGAAAGTGGAGGTACTGCCCCAGACGGGTGTTTCAATCCGAGCGGGAAACCCACTATGCTTTAATTAGTATATGGCAATCACCTTTCACTACAAAAATCATGTTTAAAAAATTATATTATTGCTTTTTCTTTTCTTAGCGTTTCGACGCTTGCAACACAAACGCATACAGAGAGAATTTATTTAAATGTGAAAGGCTGGTAAACAAGCATATTATGCATTTATAGCAAGCCTGATGGTAAGGGGCTACCACACCTTATGAAAGCTTCTAACGGGTTTCTTTTCCTTGGAGTGAAGCACTGGAAACGTTGCTCACTGCATCATCAATCTTCTAACGTCCACACTTTTCGAGTACAATCCTTCCCTATTTAGATGGGTAATGGAGAACATAGCACCACAGAGTATTGTAATAAAGCTGCAGTATTTTATAACTGGAACAGCTTAATGGCGCAGGTCTCGTAGATCGTTGAAGTCTAGCAACTTTCGCAATGGTCTGTCATTGGATAGGTGACCAAAAACCTATTATCTCGAGCTACTTCGTGCTTCAGAAGGCACGTTAAGCCGTCGGTCCAGCGGCTTGATCTCCAGCACCCACCACTCCGCACTGGGCCCGCGTGGTGAGTCATGGCCAAATCTATCAGTAGTTGGGACTTAAAATAGGCTGGTGATGATGATTTTATAACATCGAGGGATATTATCCCAGGCGGATGATTTTATTCAAGCGGATTACCAGCTGTGCCGTTCTCATATTTTTCATTGCATTATGTTACCTACCGCAGATTATAGGCACTAAGACAACAGTGCTTGCATTGTCTCAGTGCTTACTGATTAGTTTGCGTTGCGTTGCGTGATCAACCGGCGGCGGTTATTTTGACTCGCACTTCCTGTGTAATCGACACCTCTTTAAACAGAGGCTTGAACCTCAAACCACTGGGTTCGAGAGATTGAGTCGTTACCGTGAATAATGACTGACGTAACGAATAAGCATCGAGGAGTAATTAAACAAACAACAGGAATTTACCAAAGCTTCACAGTACGCAGTTAATATGTGAGAGTATATTTCGTGTACATAAAGATTATGATGTAAGTAAGGCACGGCGGATTTTCTTCTTAGGGTTTAGTAATACCTAAGGACGTCATAGCTGCAGGGAGTAAGTAGGGAATAAAGTTTAAACTGGTCTAAGGCACCTCGCTCGAGAAGCTCGATGGCGCGGGTGGTTAGCGCGTTTGGCTGTGTTCGTTGAAGTTAAGCAACGATTGCAGTGGTCGGTCATTGGATGGGTGACCAAAAATCTTCTAGCTCAAGTTCCTCCTTGCTTTGGAAGGCACGTTTGGCCGTGGGTTCCGGCTGCATCTGCAGTCGTTAGCACCCGCCAATCCGTACATAGGTAAGGCCTGTGCCCCAACAGTGGGAACATTAATAGGCTGATGATGATGATGATAAAGACATCTCGCGCACTACTTGTACGTAAGGTGCTTGAACATTATTTCTGTATTTCACTTTTGCTAAAATTAATTCTTTAACCACGCACGAAGTCCCAGCTTCCCACAACCCGAAAATATTAGAGAGTAGCGTGTACAAGCAACTTTAAAGCCAGCAAGATAAGGATGGCTAGTCTAGATTGAACTTTAATTTCCGCTACGCCAGCTGTTAAGTTATATTTACTTTCAATAATGTGTTGTATCCGCAAATCGTATGTTTGACCATAGGTACACTTAAGGTATTTCATCCATGTTCCTACGATCCTACTGGCTGAGAATCAGATCAAACAAAAATCCTGAGAGTAAATAAATATACAAAAAATTCGCTTAACATCATCTGATTTTTATCCATCCATGATCCATCCTATCTAGGATGGAATTATTTAAAATTAAAACCTGTATTAAAAAAATACATATGTGATACTTGAACGAGTTTACCCAATACCCTAACCCCGTTGTTAGAGTGTGTGCTGTAGTGTTGATTCAACGCTAACAGCGATCTCGGCACGTCGAGTGAAGAGGTCTGGCGAATTGGACTCGGGGCCGCGAGGTCGCCGCTCGATACACTTTCACTGTACGCCGTCATCGCACTAAGGGCGTGCGCTGCATTAAGGCGTCCATTCACGGCAGGCCGCCTTGCCGTCTGCCGCTATATGCACGATTATGAATCTTGTCGCAGCCTGCATGGCGTCCGGCACGATGCGTATTGAGTCCTGCACGGCGGACTGCTATGCAGGATCGTGAATGGCCCCCTTTAGGCGGGACTGTAGCGGAGGTCGATGGCGATTCAGTCTGCGATCATGGAAGTTAACCAATTTTTGTTATGGTCACTAAGCCGATGAATGACCAACAATTTTTTATCTTGAGCTCCTCTGTGCCTCGAAAGGCAAACCGTTAAACCGTTGATCCCAGCTGCAAAATGCAGTCATTAGCACCCACCAAGTCGCACCGGTGGCGAGTAGGTTGGAATCAATTCAAAATAAGTTTATTCAACATAAGACGCACTTATTAACGTCATGTGTACGTATATTTCAAATAAAACTATAGCAGAAAAGACGGGGTGCTTTTCTCGTAAGCGTTTTTCTTGTAACTGTATTCCGGCGAAATGAAAATCCGTCATTTTGCGAATCCGACTAAGTGCGAACAAATCAAAGCTTGCAGATGCAGCCGTTAGCCTAGTATCGAAAACTAAACGTACTTTTCGGATGCACAGAGAAACTCGAGAATATAGTATTTGGTGATAGTTGCTAACTTCCATGACAATCGAGCAATCTGGCCTACGTAGTTTAAGTACAAGCTAACATTATACTGACGGTGAGCATACAAAATAGTGACATGAGATGTTAATTTCATGCGACTGTTTAAAGACTTGTATCGTGAAGTACAGTGTTAAGTTAGTGTATTGTGATTAACATTGTGTGTTAACTGTGTGAACTGTGTGGTAAATAAAGTACTGTTAAGCGTGAACTAGGCATATAATTTCGAACCCCATCCCGACACGTAACAATATAAACATCCATGACTAAAATACAAATTCGTATTCAGACACCTTAGAACCCGGCGTATATACCACACGGCCACGGAGGCCGTAGAATCATTACACACCGCGCTTTTATGCACCGACTTTATTTGTCAGTTGATTCAACTAGCAAAACCCCTGTTCGGTCAGCAGCATCATCAGGAGCAAATAAAACTGAAATTCTAATAAGTTAAATTTTTAACACTCGATCCGATCACCTATTTTCTCTTCAGCCGTTTTCAACATCAGATATTCTAGAAACGTACTGATGCGGTTGACCCGCACAACGCAACGTTCGACCTAACCCTTCTAGACTTAGAACGATATTCAATATACGAAAATTACAATACATATACTAAACTTTATTACTTGTAAGAAAATAAACTGTTTCTTAAAAACAGTGATGCTCACACACTTAATACAAGAAACAAAAATAAACCTGCTACTAGGCTTCACAAAATCAATAATTTCATTTAAAGGTATTTGTGTTCGCTTATACAATCAATCACGAATCATCAGTTTTGACGTTGTAACAACATAATGATTTGTGAATGTTGTTAAATTACCAATTACCAATAACGAGTGGTACCTAAGGAAAAACAATTTCAGACGATTCAAAAATATATATCCAATTTGAACAAAAGGTACCTATATTGGGTTCTGATTGAATATGTATAGATATTTTTAGTTAATAAAAGCCGGTGCCCCCAAATTTGGCGGTGCAAATAATCTGGTTGGCTAAAGGATTTCCCGTATAAGTTTCACCGATACCATCTTCAACTCCATGATAAAAGTCCTATAATCTTCTTCAGAGTTCAATATAACTAATTAGCAAAATTCCTCAAAATTAGTTTTATGTTTATCAAAAATGGTACAATGTTACGTTACTATATAGTTTGAAAACACTAAGTAGGTAGAGAATAAAAGAGTGCTTCACGTTTGTTGTATATTTATTTTTTAATGTAGATACAAAAAATACTCATCTTACGTAACATAACGTAAAGAGCTTAACCAAGTTTTTATCAGAAACAAAAAAAATGCTGTGACTGAAAATTCCAAAATACGATTATTCCCGCCCAGCATCTAAGTTGCAACTAAACGAAAAAGTTGCAAGTTTAAAAAATAACCATTTTTATGAAAAATCGTTAAGATAATTATATTGTCTGTAAAAAAGGTTTTATAAATAAAACTTCGCAGTATCAAAAAAAACTAAATCGAAATACTGAATATGAAACAATGACGAAATTGTATCATTTATTACAATTGTCTTTTTTAAAAGAGTAAAATGATTTTTTCTTCTTGTAACACACGCATTGTGTACGTCAAGACGTCAAGGAAATAGAAAGTGAAAGTTACCAAGTTCCTATTCATTGATTGGTGGATTTAGAATATGAGTCACATTTGTCCAATCACAAACAAGACCTTGAAGTGTTTCTCAAGTCGAAAGTTGCTTTGACATGTCAAAAAACCGGAAATTAACATAAGTTTAGTCAGTCAGTTTGCGAACAAAGTTGATGTTCACCAAAATAGATTGTAAAAATGTTATGACTTGTAATTTATTTTATACAGATAGAATTTAAATCGTAGCTTAAAAAAGTGACTTTAAAATGTATTTTAAGTGGCTATTGTTACTGACGCTCGCCGCAAAAGGTATAGTTTTTTAAAGTTCTAACTAGACGTAAACTCAGTTCGACATAAACTTTCACCGTATTGCAAACTTTGTTTTAAACGTTGCAGAATGTTCGTCGCAGGAGGAAGACGGCCCATACCTCGGGAAATACATAGGAAAACTCAACTCATATCACCACCAAGTATGTTGTTGCTAGTTTTACAAATAAATTATTGATAGCAGTTAAAATACCCATTACATTTTGCTTTAGTGTCCTTTCTACATACTGATAAAAGTATTCCATGTCCATTGTTTTGCTGACCTTTTGACTGTTAACTTAATAAAAAAGTTTCCAATTGTGTTTTTTTTTAAAGTCCATGAAATTTATCACTTGCCTACTATTTGGAATAACTCGCAAATTTCTAAATTATCTGGTAATATGTTAACAAATTTAACTAGAATTACTATCAGGAAATCTTTAAATTTTGAGTAAAAATAATATCAATACTCATAGCATTATATAATGAAAATGCTTTCTTTAAAAGTCTAATACAAAAAACTTGTATTCATAAACAAATTAATATTAACAGGTGTCAGGTGATGTGTATGCTGTAGACGAGTGGACGATTCTGTTGGTGAATTTTAATTATGATGGCACAGGCGATGACACATTCTTCTGGGCTGGTGACTCCGGCCGGCCTGGTCCACAAGGTTTTATTGTGCCCGACCAGAACGGCAAGTCAGTATTCATTTTCTTACTTGCAATATGTTTTCCTACAACCCTTAGCTAAGTAAGATGTTATAAGGAGCCTGATACACAATAACTGACATTATATTTTAGAGAAGTATTTTTTTCATTTATTATAATTATTTGCAGTACACTCATGTAACGGATCATTAATAATAATTTGCATTATAATCTCATCATACAATAAATACTCTAAATTTTAACGTTATCCATATCAATGCACAGAGTATACCGGCACACTTTCCGGACATGCTTGCTTCTTTTGATAACCAAAATATTCACGCAATCTTAGTTTCTGAAACTTTTCTTCATCCCTGTCTTTCGTCTTCTACCTATTCCCTACCAGGATTTCAACTTATTCGGAATGATCGTGTAAGTTCCTCTCATGGAGGGGTGGCCATTTATCTTCGTTCTCATATCTCTTTTACTATCCTTAGTCGATCTTCACAGCCGCCACCCCCGAACAGTGCCGAGCATCTCTTAATTGAGATATCTTTGTCTCATAGTAAAATCCTTCTAGGTGTTTTCTACAGCCCTTCGCTGCGATTGGACTATTTTAAGTCATTCGAACAACTTCTTGAAAATTTTGTCCCCTCTTATTCCCATACTATAATTATGGGAGATTTCAACACATGTCTCATAAAAGACGATTATCGATCCAAAAAATTACTCTCAGTGATTAATTCCTCCAATTTACATATTCTTCCATCTAGAGAAACTCACTATTTTCCTAACTGTACCCCTTCTCTGCTTGATCTGATAATCGTCTCTTCCCCTACCTTCGCCGCTAAACATGGGCAATATTCTGCGGACGCTTTTTCTTATCATGACTTGGTGTACCTATCGTACCGTATTCGTCCTCCAAAAGTGAGGCCTAATGTACAGCTTCAGCATAATTTTGCTCGAATTAATTATGAACACCTGATGGATGATGCTGCCAACTTGGACTGGTCTGCAATTTTTGCATCCGAGTCTGTGGATAAGCAGATTGAACTTTTTAACTGCTTACTTACCGAGTTGTATGATAAGCCTGCACCTATTCGCCCTGTTAAAATAAAACATCTGCCGGCTCCATGGTTGAATGATGAAATTCGGGAACTGATGGCAAAGAAAAATGCCGCTAAGGCTAAGTTCAAAGTCAATCCTTCGAAGCGAAATGAGATCAAATATAATTTGGTGAGAAATCGCTGCAACACTGTGATTAGGGACGCCCAAAGACGCCATATTCATAAATCTATTGAAAATGAAGACCCCCCAAAAGTCTGGAAATTCCTAAAATCACTCGGAGTTGGCAAATCTCGTAGCAGTATTCCTAATGATAATCTAAATATTAATCAGCTTAATAGTTACTTTTCCGCTTCTGTGCCTTTAGACGGCTACCGTAAGGCTGCTACCTTACAACGTCTTTCAACTTTGCCAACTCAACATTCTCCATTTTTCTTACATCAATTTGCTGACTGTGATGTTAAGAGAACCATACAAATGATTCACTCCAGTGCAGTAGGTAGTGACTCCATTAGCCGGAAAATGATCCTTCCCATCCTTGACATCCTCACTCCTGTAATTACTCACATCCTGAATACCTCAATTTCAACCGGTGTTTTTCCAGCATCCTGGAAAGATGCATATCTTATCCCAATCCCAAAAAAATCGAATATCGTCCTATCTCCATTCTTCCCTTTCTCTCCAAAGTTCTGGAAAAACTCGTTTATCAACAGCTTGCAGCTTTTTTTAACAAAAACCAGCTCTTAAATCCATTTCAATCTGGTTTTCGTACGGGCCATAGCACGACTACTGCATTGGTTAAGATTTCAGATGATATCCGACGTGGTATGGAGAATCGACATCTGACTTTGATGACATTGCTCGACTTCAGTAACGCCTTCAATTCGGTTGACTTCGACATACTTATTGCCATCCTGCGTTCTCTTAATATATCTCCAGCAGCAATTGACTGGTTTCAAAGTTACCTGCTTGGACGCCGACAGCGTATACGTATTGAAGATAACTTCTCTACGTGGTGCGCCACCAATGCCGGTGTTCCTCAGGGTGGCGTCTTATCTCCTCTTCTCTTCTCAATTTTTATAAATTCTATCACACAGTCACTTTTCAGTTCCTATCACCTTTATGCCGATGACCTCCAGATTTACACACAGGCACCACTATCTGACCTTTCAGGTGCAATAAATACTACCAATTCTGATTTCGCCTTAATTAGTAGTTGGAGTAAGTCTTTCGGTCTTACTGTGAACCCCGCTAAGACACAAACTATAATAATTGGCAGCTCTTACTTTGTTTCCAGGATTGATTTTGAACATCTATCTCCAATTACTTTTGATGGCACTATTATTCCATGGTCAAGCACTGTCAAAAATCTTGGTGTTGTCTTTGATCAATGTTTTTCCTGGAGACCTCAGGTGGAGGCGATCAGAAAGAAAATTTTTGCTGCATACAACTCGCTCAACCGATTACGTAACTTTTTGCCGACCACCACCAAAATCACTCTGGCGCAGACTCTTTTACTGACTATCATTGACTACGCTGATGCCTGTTATACAGATCTCACTGAAGAACTCTTAAATAAGCTAGAGCGTCTGCAGAACTTATGCATCCGATTTATTTTCAACCTTCGTAAATATGACCACATCTCATACTTCCGTTCTAAACTTAACTGGCTCCCTATTCGCCGGCGCAGGGACTTACACACTCTTACGCTCCTTTACTCCGAACTTTTCTTACCCACTTCTCCTCATTACCTAAAAGAACGCTTCTCGTTTCTCTCTTCTACTTCACAGCGCACTTTGCGATCTTCTTCTAACCTATCTCTTGAAATTCCAAGTCATTCTACTGATTTCTTTTCCTATTCCTTCTCTGTGCATGCTGTACGTCTATGGAACTCTTTGCCAGAAACTATTCGAAGGGCTCGCACTCTGAACTCGTTCAGGGATCAAGTTCGGAGTTATTTCTTAACCCAACAGTGATGTAAAAAATTTCCTTCATCCTCTCTCTTTCCTTCCTTAGATATATCTGTTTTCCTGCCATTGATATTATTATTATTTTCTATAACACCCCTCCTTTTCTCCTTCACATTTATTTATCTTACTATTATGGGTTGCCTGGAAGAGATTGCTGCCTAGCAATAAGGCCGCCTATATTGTGTACGTTCTATCTATCATGTTTTTTAATTTACTTGTGTTTTCTTGTATGGTGTATTACAATAAAGAATATTATTATTATAAATATTCTTAGTAATGTATACTTTTTATATGAACAAAATCTAGTATTAATTAATTTAGTAATTAGGATAGATTCATTTCCTAATTACTAAAATAATTAAAACTAGATTTTGTTAATGAATAATGATGAAATGAAAGTACTTAGTTCCTATTTTCATAATTGTTTGCATTGTTGAAAAACAATTAAACTATTGTCTAGTAACTCGCTTAACTAGTACTTTAAGTGTTATTTAAACAGAAGGAGCTCTTTTTTGCAATTGATAATTCACTCTTCTTAGGTTTTGAGTTTTTATAAGATAGCAAAACAATAGTGACAAAATGAGGCACATGGCTACAAAAGTTTCCAAAGTTTGCTTCCACCAAGCACCCTGCAATCCATTTTAAACATTGGATCCAATAATTAATGTTAAAAAGTTAATCATGCTTTATACTTATTGAAAAGTATTTTATTAAATGAATAATGGTTTTTAAATTTTGCACAGAACAAACATTCTGGAACGGTACTACAATGAGGATGTCCGTCTTACTCTGCCAGAAGGCAAGCGCATCACTCGAATCAAATGGCTTGCTGTGTATGACATCGGATCACAGAACGCTTTCGGTGATGTCTACATACCGGACGACTTTGAGGCACCCTCAGAGAGGAGCATTGGACCACTTGTGGGGGACACATCAGTGTCCAGCCAGTCGGTTAAAGTTGTGGATGCTGTAACTATTATGTGAGTTTATATGGTTTCGTTTTTATATAAAAAGGATACTCTATAACCATATTACCTGCCTGATAGTAAGCAGGTATTTTAGCAAACCTTGCTTGCCTGCCTACATAACATACCCCATTTCAAGTAGTCCTGAAACTGGATTCACCCAAGCATGGAAAGGAAGCTCGGAATATAAATCTGCTAAATCTGTGAACTGTTTATTGTGCTAGGCATCACCAGCTTTTATTTATTTATTTGACAGTAGACAAACGAGTGATACAATAATATAATATCTTTTGTATATTTCAATAAAAAGAAGCGATTTGCAATTAGTAATGCATATTAATCAGGAAATATGACATATGAGTACTTTTGATTTAAATAACAAATTTAATTTTAGCTTTGTCACCCATTCCACGATTACTAATAAAATTTTGTAAAATATCAATTGTATGTGACACAGTATTCCGGAGTTCAAGTATGACGGCAGTGGCGAGGAAGTCTACTTCTGGGCGGGCGTGGGGCCGCAGCCTTCAGCTCGAGGGTTCCAGGTGCCCGACGAGTATGGATAGTAAGTAAATTATATTTTTTCTCAAACTTGCTTGAAAATATAAGCATTATTTTGACACGGCTAGTAGCGGCAAAAGTTGTATGAAAATCCAAATCTGTCGTGTTTTGCGGCCAAATAAATAACATAGTAAACTCATATTCATCCAAGGACGTAATTTATCCAATGTTTCATTTAAATTTCGAACGGGCTTGCAAATAGAAGCTGTTAATTGAAAAAAAAAATGTATTATATTATATTGTTGTTCGTCATTGATTTTGAAAAGTAATTATTAAGTTTTAATTTCTGCGCATTATTTGTTAAAACTACTATACAAGCCTTGGCCACAACTAGGCATTGATAGACTTTACGTATGTGTTATTATCTAATATATAAAATTCTCGTGTCGCGGTGTTTGTGGTTAAACTCCTCCGAAACGGCTTTCCCGATTGTCATGAAATTTTATGTGCATATTGGGTAGGTCTGAGAATCGGACAACATCTATTTTTCATCCCCCTAAATGTTAATCCCTAAAGGGTAATCCACCCCTAAATTTTTTTTTTTAAATTTTAGATATATTTTTTTTAATTTTTCTATGACACATCATACAAAAATACATACAACCCTAAATTTTCACCTTTGTACCACCAACCCCTATTTTTTATGGCGGTATGAATTTCGCTGGGTCAGCTAGTATATATGTATACTAGCTGACCCAGCGAACTTCGTACCGCCCTAAAAAAATAGGGGTTGTCCAGCGGACAAAATTATGAATCTAAACCATTCTCAGATCCCCTTGAACACACACAAAAAATTTCATCAAAATCGGTCCAGTCGTTTAAGAGAAGTTCAGTGAGATACACACTCACAGAAGAATTATATATATAAAGATATATATTACTTACATAGACACCATCGAGGATATTGAGGCGACAAAAATAGATTTATGTAGAAAACGCATGTGCTTCAGATTGAATGAATGACATGAAATTCCAGTATGTCATATTTGAGTACTCATGAGAATAAAAAATGTAGCAAAATAGCATGGGCCTCTGCCAGTCAATTCTATCGATTTTGCAGCTTAATATGGCACAATTAGACCTCTTCTTATTGTGATTGACGCCTGGTGTTGAAATCGGTGACGACAAAATGTAAAATAGCTTAAGGAAGAGCTTTAGGTACTCTCCCGCTAATTTATATCTTGTCGTTAACGATTTCGACACCAGGCTCTTACTACTGAAACAAGAATTTGTAGTTTTTAAAGCGTTTTGGTTCTTCGATACTTTGTATCATGGCGACTGTGTTATTAGAGGGCGAATGCTCGATTAGTCTCGGCATAATCGCGGTCCTCTTCATCATCATGGTAGGGTCTATATATGCACTTACACCTTATAAACGCATGCATCCCTAACCTATATGAACTATGCCATCCTACTATTATTATAAATGTGAAAGTTTGTATGTTTGTTACTAAATCACGCAAAAAATACTGAGCGGATATGAATAAAATTAGGCACGCATATAGTTTATGACTTGGATTCAGACAAAGGATACTTTTAATCTCAAATAAACGTTGAGTACCTGTGGGATTCTCAAAGATCTCAGGCTAACGCGGACGCCAGAACTCAATAAGGGTTTCTGATACTCTTCAAACGGAATCAGTGTTTAATTGTTTTTTACAGAACTTTGTAGGCAAAAAATAAGCATTGTTTTCATGGCCCATACAGCTTGGAACCCCTCCGTCCTTACAAAGGCGAAGACGTCCGCCTGGAATTACCGGGCGGTAAGACGATATTCGACATCAAATGGCTCAGCATCTGGGACTCGGTCGGGAAGCGATCCCTGGCCTCCGTATTGGTGAGAGATGCACTCGTCGTACCGCCAGCTGTCGCTCCAATACATCCGTACAGGTTATAATTTCATCATTATTCATAGTACCTACATACCTACTTGTAAATGCGATATATACCTCTTTACCCAGATTATCCCAGAAATCTTAATTTAAAGAGGTGAAGGGGGGGGGGTGGCGTTTTGTATAGAAAACTAAGTTTTACATGCAGATAAAGCGGCAGACGCGCCCACTATTACTGTAAAATGAATCATGTATTCGTGGCTGTTTAAATTCTTATATTATATTTTGAAAATAATTCAGTTTCCTCATTTCTGCTTAGTTTCATTCAAATAAAAATTGTTGTTATATTTTAGTACCTCACTTTCCTTAGGGCTAGTTGTCTTACTTTAACATTTCGCTTTGTCATTCAGAGTTAAATAGAAGTGCCAATGCGACACGACGAATATACGATCTTGGTAATGTTTGTTGTATGTACGCCGGGTTTCGAGGTATCGCCTATTCAGAAGTCTTGGGTTCGAAACCCGGTGCGGCAATTGTTGTATGATGAATACGAACTTTTGTAAATAAGTCATGACTGTTTATATATTTTTAAAAATAGACTTGTCTGTATCATTTAAATGTATTTGTGTCCGCTATCCTAATCTCATAACTCGAGCGTTGCAGTACTTACTTTGGGACTGGGCAATTTATTATAATTAGCCCCTAGAGTATACAATTAAATGGTTATTATATTGATATAGAACGGCCCTACCACACTGCCGGCAGCTGCATCGCGACTTCCAAGTTTCTTGGGAGATATTCGGAAACCAGATCACCATCGAACTCGCGGGCAAGGTAATAAAAAAAAAGCTAATAAAGTCAATAAACAATGTAAAAAAATCAAAATTCGTTCCATCATGTCAATTAATAAAGAAGTAGGACAAATAATACATTACGTCTACTCTAGCGATCCGTCCTTTACACAGAGGAACTTCATTTTACCGCCATAAAATATAGCCTATGCCACTCCAGGATGACGCAGCGTTCTAATGGTGAAAGAATATTTGAAAACGGTCGAATTCTTTATGAGTTTTGTAATATACAAAAATACTTATGTTGTTTTATAAACATGTTGTGTGATATCTTATTTAATAAGCATATAGACAGAAATGAAATTATTGTTGCAAACATGTTTGAATGAATTATATAGATAGACCCAAAAATGTTACGTAAGTTAATATGTTTCCAGGAAAACTGTAATTGGCATTAGTATAAGAAAATATTATTAATGTAGGTAACTAGAAATAAGACAATGCTGTAGATTTCCTGGAATAAATAAATAAATAAGCCCAAGCCTTCCCTGTGCATAGAATAGTGAGTTCGGGCTATAGCCTACCAAGAGACCCAGTGCGTAATAGTAGGTGGTAACTACTAGTAATGCAGCCGGAACCAACGGCTTAACTGGCCTTCCGTAGCACGGAGAAGTGAGAGATAATAAGGTTTTGGTCATCGATCTTAAAAGATTTCGCAATGGGTGGTTATACACCGTGTTCCTGAGGTTATACACTAACTTTGGCATGTTATTCAGACTATTAAATTCATCATTTTTTACTATGGACACTTTTATGAATTCCAATTTCTTTTACATTTTTTTATTTTCATACAAACTAAATGCTTAGATGTTATTTATCTAATATGAATTACTCTTTACCTTTTTTAAAATTTTGACTTTTGAAACTACGACTTAATAACCATTGACAAAGAGTTGATAGTTTGATAGTTTTGGTTGCACAAAGTGGCAACATCTCACAGATAAAGCCTCTTTTCTCAATGCACAACACAATTAAGTTGGTTAAACTTAAATTACCAATAACTTAAAAACTATGCTATTTAAACTACTACTTTCCTTGTACGATATGTTTAACAAGAGGTATAGAAGTATTATTCAAAGTTAATGTATATCCTCAGGAACACGGTGTATACCAGCAAGGTTTAAGTCCACGATCGCAAACCGAACGCGCTAATCACTTGCGCTATCGAACGCTTTAAAGTTATTTTTATTTTATTGGTTTACCATCAACTTATGGACTAGGTATTAAGCCTTAAATTCTAAATTCTCATATACATATATAAAATTCTCGTGCCATGGTGTGCGTAACTGAACTACTCCGAAACGGCTCGACCGTTTTTCTTGAAATTTTATATGCATATTCAGTAGGTCTGAGAATCGGACAACATCTATTTTTCATCCCCCTAAACGTTAAGGGTGGTCCAGCCTTCAGGTAGTTTTTTGGACAAAATTTTTTGATTATTTTTTTTGTGATACATCATACAAAAACACATACATCCCTAATTTTTCACCCTTCTACCACCAACCCCTATTTTTTTTATGGCGGTACGAAGTTCGATGGGACAGCTAGTAATCTATAAAATTAAGTAATTGAATACAACATAAAGTTATAGGATTTTTAACACTCAATTGATTTACTCACAATTTATTATGGTTTTTGCCTTCAGTTGGATAAGGGCGAGTATATGTCGTTCGGTATATCGGGCAGCGACTCCAAATCAACAATGGTAGGGGCCGACGTGGCCGTTACTTACTATTCAGAAGAATTACAGCGACCCTTCGCTACTGACTATAACATCACTGCCAAAGCACCGGTGAGTACGAAGAAATCTTGATTTACTTCGATACCGGTGGAAGGTACTGCGTCATGCTCGGAAACGGATGACTGTGGTATATAAGTGGAAGAGTATTATTTTAATCGGAGTAGTAAATGTTTTTTTACCTTTAAAAATATACTCAAGTAAAAGTAGCATCTATTAAATTTTAAAGTTAAAGTTATAGTTAATATTGTAAGTAGTGTTATTAATTGAAAAGTTTTAGTAAACCGGAAATTCGTATGTGTTACTCATAACTACTTTATTTTACCGACGCGAACCGAATTTTTGCAGGTAGTATTTGTGCTTACCAAAGATTCTAAATGTGAATAGATTTCAAATTATCTGTTCTGTTGATAATCGTGATTTGGTAACAAACATTGAAACTTTCATACCGCCTGTGCTCACTTGCCAAAAGCCTCTCGCCGAGAATCTCGCCCGAGGATGAACTCGATCAGTGTGTACATGATTGCTCTGATTTTCCTCGCGAAATGCAATGAGATCCTTTGACCCGAGCGCCACCTGATGTTAAGTGGTCACCGTCTTCCATGGACAACAACAATGCATTGACACAGTAATGGATGCAACATTCTATTTCAGCCTTATTTACCATGTACAAACATGGTCTTGGCCTCTCTCGGGGCATAATACATACAAGAGCAGTAGCGTAACTCAGTCGTTATTCTGAATTAGATACCTACGACTGGGCGGAGCGCTAGGGTTGGTACCTACAAAATGTAAAACAGATTTCTGTCGATTTTGTTGTATGTGTGTAGTTACTATTGCCACGTTACGGAATAGAAACGGAGACAGACAGCGCGGGCGGTGCGGCGCATCTAATCTAACTCGGCCAACGACTAATCTCGGCGGCGAGCTTCGTGGCACTGCGTGGATTTGTCTTGCCAAGATTGGTTAGCGGCCGTGTAAATGACGTTTGTCTGTGTGCACGCTAGTCAGTACTGCTTTTGTATGTATGTGCTCGGGGTATCTCAAAATCACGTCATCAAAGTTATAATTTGAAGGAGAATTTATTATTATTAATTCATTCAATCAGTGTGTTCATGTGCTTGGCCAATGGCAAGGAGTGTGTCGGGACACAGTTTTTGGTGGTCAGGACTCCAACCAGGTGCTCTCCGGGTCACACGTGTCTGGACTCGCGCGGGTCACCTACAGGCGGGAACTAAAGCCCGGTAATGTACTGACACCACACTTCACAATCAGTACGAGTAAGAGTTTTACAGCTACGAAAACTATGATGGTTTTCGTGAGCTCGCACTCGTACTAAGGGTACTGATTTTATTGTTTTCGTTTCAATACAAATAAACAGTGTTTAAATTCTATCATTAAATCATTTGCGTCTTCTTAAATTTTAAGTACATTTGGTTACTTTTCACCAAAATGAACATAGAAACATAATTAACAATTACGAAACTATAATAGTTTTCGTGAGCTCGTACTCGTACTAAGGGTACAATCTTTATTCGCTCAGCCTCTAAAATTCTTTACACTGATCTGACACTTCACTACACTACACGATCATATCTTTATCTGCTCAGTCTCAAATTGTCTCTACGCTGAACCTTTTCGTTCAGCCTTAACAGACGCTACACTACACGATCGCATCTTTATCTGCTCAGTCTCAAAAACGCTTCACGCTGTTTTTTTTAAGTAACTTACGCCGGCGACACCACCCACGACTTGTATATAAACCCACAGGACATTAAAATATTTCCTAGCTAAAAAGTGTCCTGTCTCAATCCAAGTAATAAATTATATGTGTGCTGAATATCCAAATTCGTTCAGTGGTTTTTGCGTTACAAAAATGGAATCTTTCACATTATAATGTTAGTAGGATGATAATAGGTAACAAACAACTATAGGGCCCAGATGGTAAGCGGCCACCATAGCCTAGAGACTCTTGCGATACCTAAAATATCGTTTACAACGTTACCTACCCTTTTTTTTATACGCCAGCAAAAAATACTATATACAGACGACGGCGCCTTTAAGAGGCACACCGCCGAACGGACCTCACACCTCCCGCAAGCCTTACGAGCCCCATCAGTGCCAGCCCACTGAGGACCCCGTAACTCTTACGAGCGCTTTACGACATATACGCTAAAAAACCCTGCGAATACCCTCTAAGCTGCTTAGCGCGAAGTCGCGGGAACGTTACCTACCCTGACCCTAATACCTACCCCGTAGAACCCAGGAACCTTACTCACCAACTCACATAATCACACTACCTATTTTAAAGGTCTTGTTTCCATTCTTTCTATTCCATCTCAGGGAATAAATAATGATACCTTAACAAGCACCTTGGGAATAATCTCAATGTAGCGGGACTACAGTAATGAATTTTAAGGGCAAATTTCATCCAAATACATTCAGCTTTTTGCGTGAGTTACAAACATACATACTTTCACATTTTTAATGTTGGTAGGATGTTAATAAGGTAACAAACAAGTATAGGGCCCATATGGTAAGTGGTCGCCAAAGCCTATAGACGCTTGCGATACCAAAAATATCGTTCACAACGATGCCTACACTGACCCTAATACAGCTCCCAGCAAACTTCATGAGCATCGACCATAAACAAGAAAGCCTGCGCAGTAGCAATTTTACATACAAAAACGTCTACTGCGCAAGTTTATTTGTCTGAGGTTTTGCTCAATAAGTTTGCCGCTACCTATACCTACCCCGTAGAACCCAGGAACCCTAATCACCGATTCAGAGAATCACGATACTTATTTCACCGTGAATGTAAACTTGTTTCCATACTTTCTATTCCATCTCAAGGATTGAATAATAATACCTACGCGAGCACAGCTAATTTTAATCCCTGCGAATAATAATCGCCAATGTGTGGACGAATGATAAAAATAAATAATCCATAGCAAAGAAACAAATCGTTTGCATTTAATATAGCAGATGCGAAATCAGATCTATGTTTTGTACCCAATGTTTGCTCCCTGTGACGTGGAATAACTTTGCACTAGCAATGCACTGATTGTTATGTACCTAAATTAGTATTCTTTGTTCTTTCTTACTATGTATTATCATTTCAACGGCCGCATTCAAAGAAGTCAATTAACTTTTAAATTACACTAATGTTGATCCTGTCACTTTCTTTATTGATAACAATTGAATGAGAGAATGAGATGGATCTCGTTTTCCTAAATTTCTAGTGGTTTCTGGTGCGGTTTAAAGATCTTTCATACAAACTTTGTATCACACTAATATTATAAAGGCTAAAGTTTATGTGTGAGTGTGTGTTTGTTACTTCTTCACGTGTAAACGGCTGGAGCGATTTTAATAAAATTTTGTACGGAGTTAGCTGACACCCTGGATTAACACAGGCTACGCTTTATTGCGGCAAAATATCCCTAATAAACCGCGGGGCACAGCTAGTTGATAATAAATCAGAACGACAAAGTAAGCTTTGTTTTTTCAATTTTTTGTACGTAAACATACATTTATATCAGAGATAGAGAATGGTATATTTATAATAACTTTTGATCGTTCTATAGTGGAGACGTTTGACCGCGAGTGGATTATAGACAAGCCTTTATACGTGGTTTGGGCGATTGGCGCTTTGGACCACGCAGGCGAGCCCGCTTTCCACCGCCTCTACCATAAACAAGACATTATGGTTCATCTAGGCACCACAGACCACGAGAACAGCTGCTTCAACTTCACCATGTGAGTGGACTTTAATAACTTACCAACGACCGCTCCTGCTTAGCGCGAGATTTTATTTTACTAGTCATTGCACCGGCGAAATTTGTTCAAACGCGATAAAATATATCCTATGTCACACAGTCTCCGTATCATGAGCAGCACAATTTACATTGTATCGCGTCTAATTGTCGACTCCATAGGTATTTGACAAAAGACCGTGATAAAAATGAGCTTTAAACTTGAAATCGTATCGCGTTACTCATGCTGGGGGGGACAAAAAAAGAAAAAGTAAAAGAATTGTTGAAATCGCTCCTGTGGTTTTTGAGATTACTTGAACGACATCCCCCCGCCGATGCGTGACCTGAAAAAAATCCATCTAAATAAACATTTTTTATCACTTCAGCTCAATAGTAGTTGAATATCTTGACTTACATCGGAATTTTCACGTCGTGCATTGGGTGCTGGGGTTGCGTGGTTTGTTTTTGTAGGAATAAAAGCAAGCATTGGAGGTTGTTAGTTGCTGCTGTAGCACTCGCATATTTATGAAGTGAAACTTCTTTTCGCACGCTTGACTTAAGGGGTAAGCTGGCGAATGCGGTACGCGTTACGAAAAGTGTTTTCGGGCGAGGCGAGCGGGAGTTGAGTGGGGATATAAGCAAGAGAAAGCAGTGCGTGCGCCCACTCTCTTCTTTCTCTCTTTCTCTTATAGTTAGTAAATGAAATATGTATATGTACATACAGATGGAGCTAAGGAAGTTTCGCTTCAGTCGTGTGGTCATAAACAACACTCGTTTTTTATGACAACAATGTATTTTTCTTTGCGTCGGCAAAGCCTCATCTTATTATTAAATACGTGGTACGAGAACCCAATCTAACCAACGTGGCGTGAACAGATTATGTACTAGTTACTTTACTACGTGGCGTAATGCGTGGCAGGCATTGCCAGTGCGTGGCAGCCATTCGTATTCGTACAGATTAAGTATAACTCGTGTCATTAAAGAAAGGAATCGGAAATGACGACGTAAGACATTCTGTCTCTCTCACACATAATATCAAAAGTATCGTGCGTGAGAAGCAGAATGTCTTGCGTCGTAATATTCAATTTCTTTCTTTAATGACATGAGTTATACTATATCTGGCACACACAGATGATAGCAATCGTACAAGGCTGCGTTCAGAACATACACTCAGGTGCATACAATATATATTCTATGTTAAAATTCAAAAGTCAGGGATAAGACCTAGTCTCAGGGTAAATTAAATAGTTAACGTCTGGTACATAGTTTATTTCCTTTATATATACTTATTTATGGTTAAATAATAAGTATACACCTAATTAACATTTTCGTCATATTAATAAATATGTTATATACATACTCTATGGTGCTGTGGCTTTTTCTTTGTTCTGTTTTTCGTGTTTACTTGGTTTTGTAATTTACAAACCATTAAAGCTACCTTGCACAGCCCCTGCCAGAATACCAGCGCCGACATGGTAAGAGAAGTATTTGCTTTTCTCACTATGTCAGCTTATGCTGAAGCAGGGTCCTGGTTGGCCGTCTATAGATGAATAAGTACTTTTATTTTTTATCATATGCTAAGTCATCATAAGAATTTTTGATTTCTTTTCACTTATTACAAACATACAAATCTTATCTCTTTATAATATTTGTATAGTACATATTAACTTTGATTAATATATAATATTAGCTGTGCCCGCAATAACATCCGAGTTAATTTGAGGAAAAGGTCATAAAGAGACAACCTTAAAAGATAGACGTAATATACTGTTTTTAAGAACTAGAAGAGGGATAATTCCGTCATACATGATTTAGGCCCGTATTACAGAATGACAGCCGAGTGTTGATCTTTACTTGAGTACAGTTAGAAATGCTCTATGCTCAAGACTAGATCAATCACTGAGAATCATTTTGTAATACGGGCCTTAGAGTACCTATTATTATCCTTTCCCGCAGCGTACGCTATGGAAGCTCTCAATTTAAATTGACTTCATCTTTTGTTTTTCACCTTGCGCTTTACAGTATTAGGATTACGATTATGAATTCTTTAAATATTCAATACAAATCGATTTTATAGGGATCCGTACCCAAAAGGTAAAAAAGAGATCCTATGTCTCCGCTGTCTGTCTGTCACCAGGTTGTAACTCATGAAAAGTGATAACTAGACAATTGAAATATTCACAGATAATGTATTTCTGTTACCGCTATAACAATTAATACTAAAAATAGAATAAAATAAATATTTAAGGGGGCTCCTATACAACAAATGTGTTTTTCTAAAGCTTTTTTGAAATTTGTTGCTCGATATTAAGATATAATTTGTGTCTGATATGTATAGATAATGGTACGGAATCTTTGGTGCGTGAGTCCGACTCACACTTGAACGGTTTGGCTTGGCCGTAGCCGGCCTATATATATCTAACTTCTAACTTAATATTCCAAAAAAAATATAAAACATGTTACATATATAAATAATAAGTCATATATCATAATTCTATAATCTGGACGCACATTTTAAGTACTCAAGTAAACAAGTAACAATATTATGTTCTAGTGGATCTGAATCGGTGATCCAGCCGTGGGAAACAGCTCAACTGTCGGACCCAGCATTGCGAGTGTTCAACTTCCGTTTGGGCCCGTCCGGAGGTGCCCGCGGGCCGTCGGGCCGCAGCCGGGCCCCGCTCGCGTGGTACGTCAACGGCCAGCTGCGGCCCCACCTGCAGCTCAGGAGGGGGCTGCACTACTCCTTCATGGTGAGTGCCCTGTGCTATATCTCTAACCTAATGTCTAGTGTCGTGTGAGGCGGGTCGTTACGTTCCCTAAAATATGGTTGAGCGAAGCGATGGCTGGTTCAAGCGTGATGCTCGTGAACAATTGCTGCCAGCGGAGATGAGTCTGCCCTGACTACTTTGATATTTAAGATGTAAATGTTTAATTACACCTCTTATAAATAACTTTATTTGTTCACCAGCCGCGCTGCCGTCGGTAAGTAGTATCTGTGAAGATAGCTGTTTTTGAGTACAAGTAGATGAAGTTAGTTGAATATTGTCCAAATTTTCTTCGCGGCAATGGTCACTTCAAATTAACCCGCTTTTATTGAGACAACTTAGCGATCGCAGCGTATCACTTATTTTGTACATATTTCTGAGATACTATTTTCTATAGCGATCGTTCTCCTTCCCTCTAACCTCCATGATTGGAACTAACGCCGCGGTCTTTATAAACGTCATATTTTGTATGTCATTTACGTAGACAGTGGCGCCCTCCCAGAACTATCACTCTTATTCAGAAAGATCCTTGTGGCACTGTACATGGTTTAATAACGGAGCGCTCTGTAAACCTTTCTATTTTGGAACGAAGTCCCTCATAGCATGGTACGGACTTGACGGTTGGGAGCTAGGCGACTAAAGGAAGATTTTTCCGTCACGACCGTGAGCTGTTTCGTAGCGTATTACGTGTAGTTGTGTATTTATACTTAGGTTCATATTTAACTTACGCCCCTCTGAAGTATAGCCTGAGCTGAGTGCATTGTCTTAGGATTTTCTAGGGATTTTGCCTAGGGCAGCAGTCCAGTCGAATGTAAAAACTGTAAAGCCATTTTTCAACACTCCGTTTCTGGTGGACGTTATTTGATATAGTTATTGACACGATGATATAATAAAGATTTATCTTATTTCACTGTTTAATCTCGCAGGTGTGGGGCGGTAACAATCCGCACTCGGCCACAGAATACCACCCACTCATTGTCACCGTCGACCCCGAGGGTGGGCTGGAGAGGTAATAATGCTTTTTAATATTTCATGCTATATACAGCAATCACCATATTATTTGTTTTAAAGTATATTTGAAATAAATAAAATTATAGAGAAATTTTGATATTAAGATTTTGAGTCGAGTAATGGCCAGTTACAATAATCAAACTACAGTAAAAGTAAGCCTACTAGGGGCTTAGTTGCTAAGATATTTTTATAATTAAAACTATAATAACATCTGTTGCTAAGACACGAAACTAGATTATTCTTACCTGGACTGGAGGTTGATTATTGAAACTGGCAATTAATGTTTTTCTCTAAAGATCTGTAAATAATTCAATGTTTTGATATTCTTCACTAGATGGCAGTAGTGTCGAGTTTATTATATTTTCTTGTTTTGTGCTTAGAATAATAATTAACATAGAAGTAACGCTTAACTAGCAACAATATGCATTTGGTCCGTCCATCTTTCACCAATAAGCTCAATAATTTATTGGAATCAGATACTAGTAGCACTTTTCTTTTGTCATTTGGCAAGTTGGAAAAAATGTTTGACGCTAAAAATTTAATTAAAAATGTTAAACTTACGTTTGTAGCTCACCAAGTCGATGTAAAAACTGTTAACATTTGAAACAAAACTTCCCTTTTAAACGCTTTTCAATGTCCAAATATAAGAAATTTAACCAAAACGTCAAACTAAATATTTGAGAAAAACGTAGAATAATAATATGATCATCTGTCTCACTTACACGCTATTGATTGCGCTTTGATTAGAAAAGTACCGATCTGGCCAAACAGTTAGTCAGTCAGCCAAACAGGTAATATTTTTTTTTTGTTATTTATATTTGTAATGAAAGGTGACTTCATGAATTATCTCTTTTTGGAGTCTCTTTTCAATTTGACGACTCTGTATGGAATACAGGAAGAAGAACCTCGCTGTTTCTTCTCGGTACAAGGTCTGCCGCCGTAGACTTGCGAACCGATGGTGCGCAAGTCTATATATGTATATATGGACCGTAGCTTTTCGACATTCACAAGTGCTTGTAACAGCCTAGACTGAAAAAAGTTTCTATCTATAAATAATTCCTTCTGTAAATTTACTATTGCGTGGTATTTTGTGTAGATTATCAGAAGCGGCGCAGCGTCAGACGCGGGTATTGGCGGGAATACACGTTCCTAGAAGGGGGAGACTTGCGCCCACAGCCGGTCAGTATAATAACAATATTATAAATAAGTATATATACTATACTACACTACCACCTATAGTTCAAACGGAAAGTAAATATATTGTAACAGTTACATTAAATGAAACAGTCGCGCTGACGGTGAAACATGTCATTTTGTTTCGATCATCAGTCTATTAATGTCTACACTACTGGGGCACACTCCTTTTCTAGGGACAGAATATGGAGATGGCGGGCAGTGACTGTAGGAAGGCCAAAGGGGAAGATCTTCCTCCGAGCTGGGTGATGTTAGCTCGGGGGCCGCGGCCCGACTGATATTGATCGGGCATCGTATATATGGGGTGTTAGGCTCCGAATTTCTCTTGCGCGTTGTAGGCTTCCATACGTTGTGAACGCAGCGCCGGTAGCGCCATCTCTTAAGGAGGCGAGTGACTATTTACTCTATGTTATATTATATGTGGGGCATGTAGTGACCACCTCGTGGGCCCAATAAGGATTGGTGGGTGCTAGCTAAAGACTGCAGATGCAGCCAGCACCAGATTAGCAACTTGACACGCCTTCCGAAGTACAAATGAACTTGAGATAATAAGTTTTTTTGTCACCCATCCCATGAGCGACCATTCAAAGTTGCTTAACCTCCACGATCGCAGACTAAGCGCTAACTAGTAGAGAGCCTGTTCTTGGTCGTTCACTCATTAAAATCTATAAGCTTGTGTGAGTTGCTAATGCAGTTGTGGCAGATTATATTTATTCAATTCAAATAAAGAGGGTACCGTGTTTTCCTTTTTAAAGGATCACTTTGTTGTCCGTCCGTTCGTCTGTCAAGACCGTTTTTCTCAGGAACGCGTAGAGATATCAAACTGAAATTCATATCTAATACTCAAGTATACTGTCCCTTGGAGCTGTGAAAAAATCAAACTTCTAAGCAAAAGCAATCAAAAGTTACAGCCGTTTATGCCGCAAATTTTCGAAACTCACACGGGAATCAAAACCTACAGGGTACTTCCCGTGAACTTAGAATCTTGAAATTTGGTAAGAAGTAACGTCTTATAGTACAGATAAAGGAAAAATTGCGAAAGCCGTAAATTTTTAGTTCATATATTAAAAAATATTTTTTAATAATTATTAAAATTAATACCTACAGATTTGTACGGAACCCTCGGTGCGCGAGTCCGACTCGCACTTTGCCGGATTTTTTAATTTTAATCGTAGTTGTTACAAATGTAGTTGTTCAATTTAAGACCTTGATTATTGTGAACGTCACACATAGCGGGCGGTCTCTGCATCGGTCGTCACGCGTCGACGGCCGATCGACGCCGCGACGACGACTACTTAACATTCCGCGCGTTCAACCGTTCCCTGCGCTGGGAGTGCAGCGGGGAGCCCGCCCTACTAAATATAGCCCCCAACTCCTCCTGGCCCGACCTGCTGTACTACAACTCCTTCACACACAGCGGTGAGTGCTGCACTGTACACACGTTGATATAATGACGGACCACTCAACATTCCGCCCTACTACATATAGCCCCCAACCGCTCCTGTCCCGACCTGCTGTACTACAACTCCTTCACACACAGCGGTGAGTGCTGTACTGTACACACGTTGATATAATGACGGACCACTCAACATTCCGCCCTACTACATATAGCCTCCAACTCCTCCTGGCCCGACCTGCTGTACTACAACTTCACACACAGCGGTGAGTGCTGCACTGTACACACGTTGATATAATGACAGACCACTCAACATTCCGCCCTACTGCATAATAATATAGCTCCCAAATCCTCCTGGCCCGACCTGCTGTACTACAACTCCTTCACACACAGCGGTGAGTGCTGCACTGTACACACGTTGATATAATGACCGACCACTCAACATTCCGCTCTACTACATATAGCCTCCAACTCCTCCTGGCCCGACCTGCTGTACTACAACTCCTTCACACACAGCGGTGAGTGCTGCACTGTACACACGTTGATATAATGACGGACCACTCAACATTCCGCCCTACTGCATAATAATATAGCTCCCAAATCCTTCTGACCCGACCTGCTGTACTACAACTCCTTCACACACAGCGGTGAGTGCTGCACTGTACACACGTTGATATAATGACGGACCACTCAACATTCCGCCCTACTACATATAGCCCCCAACCGCTCCTGTCCCGACCTGCTGTACTACAACTCCTTCACACACAGCGGTGAGTGCTGCACTGTACACACGTTGATATAATGACGGACCACTCAACATTCCGCCCTACTACATATAGCCCCCAACTCCACCTGGCTCGACCTGCTGTACTACAACTCCATCGCACACAGCGGTGAGTGCTGTACTGTACACACGTTGATATAATGACGGACCACTCAACATTCCGCCCTACTACATATAGCCTCCAACTCCTCCTGGCCCGACCTGCTGTACTACAACTCCTTCACACACAGCGGTGAGTGCTGCACTGTACACACGTTGATATAATGACGGACCACTCAACATTCCGCCCTACTACATATAGCCTCCAACTCCTCCTGGCCCGACCTGCTGTACTACAACTCCTTCACACACAGCGGTGAGTGCTGCACTGTACACACGTTGATATAATGACGGACCACTCAACATTCCGCCCTACTGCATAATAATATAGCTCCCAAATCCTCCTGGCCCGACCTGCTGTACTACAACTCCTTCACACACAGCGGTGAGTGCTGCACTGTACACACGTTGATATAATGACCGACCACTCAACATTCCGCTCTACTACATATAGCCTCCAACTCCTCCTGGCCCGACCTGCTGTACTACAACTCCTTCACACACAGCGGTGAGTGCTGCACTGTACACACGTTGATATAATGACGGACCACTCAACATTCCGCCCTACTGCATAATAATATAGCTCCCAAATCCTCCTGACCCGACCTGCTGTACTACAACTCCTTCACACACAGCGGTGTCCTGCACTGTACAGTATTAGGTATAATGTATTTGATTTTTTCATCCAACAGTATATTTAAGCAATAGCTGTTGTTCTTACATTATTTTCTTTAAATTTCTAATATCTTCGTCAGGTATGGGCGGACGAATCTACGTGGTGGACAAACATCGCCGCATGTCGCGTCGTCCCTCTCCCTCATTCGCTGTCGCCCTCCACCCTACTTCCTTTCTCGTCCTCCTCCATTCTGCCTTCGTCGCGATACTCACTCTAGCCTTCTAGGAATACACTAGCAATAAGCGCACAAATTCTAGCATTACACACGCTAGTAATACCATCGCTAGCATTAAACAAGATCTCTCTTATTAAGGTGGGCGCACATGTACGGTTTCCTGATCAGGAATTCAGACTCGGAACTCCGTGAGCCTAGCGCAGACGTTTCGTTTTTGTATTAGTTAGAGTCCGAAACCAACTTTCGGTTTTTCCATTTTGAAAAATTTGAAGAGTGTGCGCCTCGTTGAATTATTTGTATGTAAGGACTCCATTTAGGTTTCCGAATCGGAATTCCTGATCAGGAAACCGTACACGTGCGACTAGACTAAGGCTGGGCCTGATCAGGACACCTGATTGCACGTCCTTACATACAAATAATGCAACGATGCGCACACTATTCTTATTTTTTCAGAATGGAAAAAACCTAAACCTAAAGGCTCACGAAATAACAAATCTGAAGTCCTGATCAGGAAACCGTACATGTGCACCCAGTCTAATAAACAAAGAATAAGCTTGGATCAGTTAACCTATGTTTTGTCTCTGTTCGTTGAATTGCAAATAGAAATTGAGTGATATGAACAAAACACGGCGTAACTATTCTGAAGTTTATTCCTCGTTTATTAATAAGGGGGATAGTATACCCGTGTCTGCCACTGCTTAAACGCTCTATGGCCACTTACTACCGTGTTAGCACTGATACTGTAAGGCTGGCTATTACTTCCTGTTCCTATATTATTATTACATTAACGCATGTTAGGACGTGACTACACAAAACTGCTTTTAAACTTAGTCCTACATAATAGGGTATTATCCAAAATTTTGAAAAGTGCTCATATTTAAAAATTGGGTCAATCGATTTAACAGAAAAATAAAAAATGTCTTTTTTTCTCCATTAAACCAATTAAAGTTGAATTTATTTTTAATGGTTTTGAAGTTACCGCCAACACGCTCGGTTATAATAGAGTATTTATGGCAGCTGTAAGGTATCTACAAAAAATTCGCGATCGTGTCCAATAAAATTAAAGAAATGCAAGTTATTGTAGTCTTCCAAACCTTTATCAAGTGTAAATAAAAGCAATGTACGGGCAACTGAATATTTTATACTCTTATAAGAATCTCATCACTTTTTCTACTATAAAACATTTTACATCTTTTTTATTTTATAATTTAAAGTTTCTGCTAAACTATGTATATTAATTTGGCATTTATTTTTATGTAAGGCTTTTCTACCCTTCAAGCATTATATTCTTGACATATCATCACATTTTATTTTTTTATATTTAAGAGTAATAGAAATTACGTTTCGGTGCTTTTGTAACGAAATATGTATAGGTTAGAATTAAATAGATCTCTGTCGTTAGTATCCATTTTTTATATTATATTTTTCGATGTACTTTATATGTCAAATATAATCATTTTTTTTATGATAATTGTATAATAAATAAAACACTATTTTGAACAATATAGTTGTTTTATTTTAAATTAACTAGACTATGAGATTACACTAGAATACAAAATAATCATGAACATAGAATACGTAGTGTAATAAATGATGCTGTCTTGCAAAATACCTTCGCTCAAAATACTGATGCCTTAGACAAGTAGCAAACTATTATTTAAAACGATTACTTACCCCTCGTTTACACCAAGAAACGAGTCATATACTAGTTATACAAAAAATAATATAGAATACTTGTAGTAACTGTTTTAAAGTTTCTTTTGTTTAGTATCTACAAGTATAAATCACTATTGTATTTACTTCACATTATTTTGTTTATCCAACAAGATTGATGCAAGTATTGTATACTCCATGTTTTATACATGTATAAAAGTGTAAACAAAAAATTATGTCCACAGTTTCACACTCGGGCCCGCGTGGTGGGCCATGACTCATACTACCTATACCTATTCCATTCGCAGGCATAGCCTGACCTTTACCCAGCAGTGGGGACACCAATAGGAACATGATGAGAATGGTGAATAACATTAAGTATATTGCCTTGCCTATGGCACCAGGGGCTAAATTTCTAACTTAACTCTTACTGCAACCCCCTTCAACTTTCAAAGTTAAAGCAACTGTCATTGTGACATAAGCTAATCTCTTTCCCAAGTATGAAATGAAAAGGAGCACGCAAAGAGAAAGTTAAAAAATTAGGCCTAAGAACATTATAACACGTTCATAGTAGTCGTTATACGCGTTCCCCGCATCAATAATAAATAATTTACACCAATTCTGATGACTTAATAATCAACTTGATTTAGTCAAATCATTAAAAACTAACTAATAGAGAATCATTTTCAAGGAACTTCAATAAATTTGTTCGAACAAAAATACAACACAAACGCTAATTATTATGACTAAAATCAAATAAAGAAAAGAAGAAAAGAACAATTAATACAAGAGATTAATTTATGTTATCTAAATATTCGATAGATCATGACTAAATTCAATTTGATCATCGATGGAACAATCTGTTTTATAGAATCATTATTATGATAATAAGTAATATAAGCAATTATAATATAAACATTTTATAATTAGCGAGTGCAAAAAATACTTATATTATTCCATTGCACGTCGACTTGTTCTGAATATATCACAATGTTTTTTTTCTTTTTTGCAGTAATTGCCGCATTTATCTTTAATCTCATAAAGGTCATTTAATGAGTTAATATGGAATATTAAAAGTACCATAATATTCGAGTGTTACAAAATATAAATTTTCAGATTTATTTAGATATAAGGACGATTGAATGCTCACTACAGTCAAGTTGTTCCGCTTTAAACAGCCACATTTATTACATAAATTTCAGTTTAACTCGCCCAACGAGACCCATCCTGCTATTAGTGAAGGTTCGAGCTGATTAGTTATCTAAGTACTAACTATAACAGTAAGTTTTTCACAATAGAAGAGTTTTCATTAGACGTAAATTGATGAATAATGGTGATATGGATAACTCTCGAAATGATTTTTAATTGAGAATGAAATGAGAAATAATACTAGGAAGAGTAATCAGGAGGTAACATTTGTGGGACCAGCGTGGCCAGTAGTAAGTCCTTATAATATTAATAACCCTTTCACTTTAAAGCTGGTTCGGTGGTTTCGAAATTTCAGACGAATTCCCACCTTATTTATAATTCGATGATATTCAAACGTTACAATAACCTATCCTATGTTCCGTTTTAATAATTTCGTTATGTACAAAATGTCAAAAACACAATTACTTGACAACTGACTGTTTATCGTTATAAGGAGCATTAATTGTGTATAGGCACCTGTCTCACTGTATGTTTCTCGGCAAATCTAAACTACGAAATACGAGAAAGGGGCTTGTCATTGGCCGGAGTAGTTATAAATAAACCGGTTTTAAACCAGCTTAGGTATTCTGTGAGAGGCAAATTCACTTACGATCTTTTATATTCGGATTGATGACCGGATGACCAATATCTTCTGGCTGCTTTAACAGACATTTCTACATTTTGCCGTGAAGTGTCACACAGACAAACGCGGCCGGGGTTGCGGCCAGTTGTATTCGTTTGCAATCTAAGCGTTCAAATAGAGAGTGACCAATGAGGACAGGCCGCCTCTGTGAGACGCGATATGTAACATGTGACAAATCAAACTTATGTCTAAAATTATATTACTTATGCAGCTACCGAATTCGGAAGTAAAATTTTATTTTACTGAATCGGCCTGTACAATGTTTGGGTTTAAACCATCTTCATTGGACTAACCTGGTTTCAAGCAACAGTTTGGTTTAAAACCGATTTAATGACATCACAGTTGGGCCACTGACATTGAGGTCGGTACTGTAGGTCGTTTCGCGAAGGTCAAGCCAAACGAGCGTAAATGTTTGAGTCGTGAATCGCGTAATTCCAGCTGCATTCGGTTTCATACAAAATCCTGTCACAGTCTGTTAAGCGGGTCTGCGTGATTTACACACAGGACTTTTCTACGAACCGACCGCAGCTGAAATTACGCGTCTCACAACTCAAATTTACACTCGTTTGGCTTCACCCTAAGAGCAAGCGCACATTGAGCCACGAGCTGCGCACGAGTGTTTTCATACATTTTCTATAATATTGTCGCAAACTAAGCGTTCGAGTGGACGCCTCTAGGGCACTAGCGGCGGCGATCGATGACTGCGTCTAGTGGGTTGACTGAGCCACAAGTGGTTTAATGTGCGCTCGCTCGTAAATATAGTGTAGTGTATTCCACGAATATAGTGTAGAGTAGTGTGGAGTTTACGGGCGGTGTAAGTCCAGGAAGTCGTGTAGTGTGGCTGGTAGGACGCCTGGCGGCACTTGTATATTGGCCGCTAATACGGCGCGCGCCGCCAGGCAAGCTAGAGTCACGTGACGCAACACTTTCACCTGGAATAAATAATATTTCAAACAGACTAATTTGCCTAGCACCAAAGTAAGCACGGATAGGCTTGTGTTATGGGATAGTAGGATAACGGATAGAATACATATATACTGGTACATATATAAGTATATTAATCTAATATTACATAATGTTCGTAATCGTCATACTAACATTTGCCCCACCGAGATTCGTACCGGAACCTCGCGAGTAGGCAACACGTTGAAACCCGGCGTACATACCACTCGGAGGTCGTCAAAAACGAAAGGAATACGAGTATTGTGATGAGATAAGTTTTTCAATTGCAGATTGCACTTTACCTATACTCTATTCAACTTCTTCTAAGACAAGGTAAACAAATAAACCAATGTTTCTAAGACTAATTTTCGAGATAAAGATGGCTCGTGTAACCAGACTGATTACAAAATTTCACATTTCAACATAAATAATATAATTTGCTTTATCACTACTCTTCAATTTAGCAGTATTATAATGCGTTCAAAGTTTGGTAATAGGTACAGATTTAGGTCTTTTAAAATGTAACTTTTTTTTAAATATGTATAAAATTCGACATATTGGAAATCATTTTTATGGTTTGCTTACCTTTATTCTCGAAGGACGTTGAATAGATATAGTAGATATTGTCTAGTGATAAAATTCAAGCAGTTTTTTTTTTATTATTATTAATGACAGGGTAAAGTTTTTACAATTATTATTAGTGTAACAAAAAGTGGAGAGGTTTATCGCACACATTTATGATTCAGTTCGCCAGTGAACATATTCGTATGCTTAAACCAGACGATTATACCTTGGGAAACTAATTCTTTTTAATGGCAGTAACTTCGATCTTCGAAAACACACGACGGTTAAATAATATTCGGGATCGAACCAAATATAACATATTCTGAGTTATGCCGGCACTTCACTTGGCTATTCGTGTTTGCCATTTAAAACTTTACATCAGTCTGTCCTTTTCATTCCTTAAAGAGCATGTGATAAAGAGAGATGCCAAGTTAACAAACAGCAAACACGATTAGCCATCCTCCTCCTTGCTTCGGAAGGCACGGTAAGCCGTTGGTCCCGGCTGCATCTGCAGTTGTTAGCACCCACCAATCCGCACTGGGTGCACACGTAAACACGTGTGGTGGGTCATGCATGGCCTAATCTCCCTATTCCATTAATAGGGGAGGTCTGTGCCTCAGTTTGTCTGTATAACAATCCAAGAGCAACACTAGGATTATACATTTTTCGAAACGCAATTTTACAAGACACACCATATTTATCATAAAAAACAATTACAGACTTGACACGTTGTGTCATATTATATACCATAAAGCTAATTAGCCAGTATGGCATATAGGGCCTCTTCCTATCAAATAAAAGGCCGATGATGATATTTACCTGGCTGTGCGTATGTAACGGCACAAGATGGGCGGGCAGGTCTCCAAAGCGGTTGGGTTGGTCGAGGTGCGCGCCGCCCGCCAGCAGCGCCTCCACAAGCTCAGAGCTGAAGTTGTACGGAGCCGCCGCCACGTGCAGCGCCGTGCTGCGCGACCCGTTGCGGGCGGACACGGGAGCGCCCACTGAGAGGAGCAGGCGGACTACCTCCACCGACGGGAATATCGGCTGCACCAAGTTGACGTAATTAATAAACGTGCAGCGCGACCCGTTGCGGGCGGACACGGGAGCGCCCACTGAAAGGAGCAGGTGGACTACCTCCACAGACTGGAATATCGTCTGCACCAAGTTGACCTAATTAATAAACGTGCAGCGCGACCCGTTGTGGGCGGATACGGGAGCGCCCACTGAGTGGAGCAGGCGGACTACATCCACAGACGGGAAGATGGGCTGCATCAAATAGAAGTACTAAATAAACATGCTGCGCGACGAGTTACGGGCGGACACGAGGGCGCCCACACAGAGGAACAGGCGGACTACCTCCACGGACGGGAAAATGGGTTGCATCAAGTAGACGTACTAAATAAACGTGCAGCGCGACCTACGCTTTACTACTACTTTTAAAGGACCTAAAATACCTACATAATTATACAAATGCTCGCTGTGACGACGTCCCGCTCATCAAACTCAACACCCAGCTTAACTGACATTAGCTTTACGATGCTCATTACACTCTCCCCGCTCTGCTCAGGCACTCCAGAGAGGTCAATGTAATTACTGAGTAACTGAGATCTTTGTCGTGCAGCTTAAGCACGGCAATGGCATTCGAGCACCCCCCCTCTAGAGGCGGGCGCGTCGATCCTCTCCTCGAACACCAAGATTCTATTCTCCATAATCGTTAATTTCTCATCGTAGGATTTAAATGTTGATTTAAAATCAGCCACTTCTGAGCGCCATTCTTGCATTTCCGCCCTCATTGCGCTCATTTCGTTCCTGGAGGAACGCAATTCCAACGCCAGATTAACCTTAACCTGCTCCGTAGTGTGGTGAAGTGTAAATCACATCCTGTAGTTACGTGTTGATAACACTTCCCTGATACGATTAGGTATCTAAGCCTAAGCACGTTGTAAATAGTATATAAGATGTAGGTAAATTCACAATCTTACACTTGACGAACACATAAAATACCACTATGAGCACTAGATTATAACCAGGTGCAACGATATTTTAATAAATACTTGAAAAATGATTACTTGTTTTGTTTAAAGAGGAACGTACGGTAGCCCTGACATCAGATTTTTGCGGTTTATATCAATCTATGGTACTTAAGGTACAGTTATGCATGCATTTTAAAATTATTTGTATACTAGCGGCCGCCCGTGATTTCGTCCGCTTTTACTTTAGTGTTATGAAAATCTCTCAGGACTCTCTCTGACTCTTTTCCGGGATAAAAAGTATCCTATGTCTCAATCCAGGCCATAAATTATGACATAGGCATAATTTATGGCACCAAATTTCATCCTAATCAGTTCAGTAGTTGTTGCGTGATTGAGTAACAAACTTTCACTAGACTGTTAAAGGAATTAAATAAATAAAAAAATGATTCTATAGAAACGAACTACTGTACCAAATTTTAAGAACGGTATTAATAAGTTCAATTCGACTTAACACAGAATTTGTGTGAAGTCGATAAGGGAGTTTAGTTTTTTTTTTTTTTTTATAGTAAGGTAGACAAATGGCTCTACCCCACCTGATGTTAAGTGGTGATAAAGTCTAAACGCGATGATAGCTGGTGCAACCGGAAACTGCTACACCAACTATCCTCACCTTGCCAGCCTGCAAAAATGCTTCTTCACGCCTCTCTTAAAGGACCCCAGATTATAGGAAGGAGGGAACACGTGCGCGGATAAAGATTTCCACTTACGAATAGTACGACAAAGAAATGAGTCGCAATTTCTTTGTTAGTGTAAGAATAGTGGACACAGTAAGTTTTACGTCACCAGTTGGCGACTGTATGAAGCATCACTCACGGGCACTGCTAGCTCGTCGGCGAAGTACGTAGAGCGGATGACGTTGAGGCAGGACACGGATAGATGCAGCAGCGTGTCGCCGGTGTGCGCCGACCTCACGTCCGCCTGCACTAGCTTGCGGGCGCCGGCCCTACGAGACAATACCACATTATATCATCATCAAATACAAATATAGATAGATATTATTCATCATCATCAGCCTATTAATCTCTCTACTGCTGGGGCACAGGCCTTCCCTATGGATGGAATAGAGAGATTGGGCTATGACCCACCACGCGGGCCAGGATTGGTGGACTGCAGATGCGAAAGTTGGTAAATTTTTTATCACCCATCCAATGACTGACCACTGATAAAGTTTGCTTAACTTCAACGATCGCAGCCGAAAGCGCTAACCACTTTCGCCAGATACCATTATACTTCAGATACTATTCAATATATAATTATTATCATTTTGTTCAATACACTTGTTATCGAGACTTATATCATAGCATGCTTGAGAAACCCTATCAGACAACAAATAGCAATAAAGAAAAAAGAGAGAAAACAAATTTCGTTCTTACATAATTGTCTATTAATGACATGCCTCCACTGGTAGTGCAAAATCTAACTAAAAATCAGTTGAAGCTCTTATGAATGATGGCATAGCGTCCAGTCAAAACAACCACAAAAAAAACTTAAACTACGATTCTATACAGACATTTATAAAGTCATCATCATTAGCCTATTAAAGTCCCCACTGCAGGGTACATACTTACACAGGTACTTCTATTTGGACAGAATAGAAGGATGAACCAAAACCCACCACACGGACCCAGTACGGGTTGGTGGGAGCTAACGACTTACTTAACTTTTTGCTGTTGCAGCCGGGCCCAACGGCTAAACGTGCCTTGGTTTAACGGAGGAGCTCGAGATTGTAGCGGATCTTCTTGACCATGCACAAAATTAGAAACATTTCGTATCAATTTTGTAATTGACAAGTGTACATATTGATATTCCGTGTCATAGATATTGATTATCAATAAATGTGTACCTAAATATCACATACGAAAATAATTATAAAAGTTTTAAAGATCACCCAGTTTTATTAAATACTAGCTGACCCAGCGAACTTCGTACCGCCCTAAAAAAATAGGGGTTGTCCAGCGGACAAAATTGTGAATCTAAACCATTCTCAGATCCCCTTGAACACACACAAAAAATTTCATCAAAATCGGTCCAGTCGTTTAAGAGAAGTTCAGTGACATACACACTCACAGAAGAATTATATATATAAAGATTTATGTTCATTCTATAAGATAGTAAATTTTTGTCACTCATCTGATGTTTGGCTGCGTTTCGGAAGTTGCTGTTTGCACTCATGTGATGTTTAGCTGCGTTTCGTAAGTTGAATTATTCCACTGTTCCATCGTGCTCCTCAAATAAGTAATTGTCAAAGAAATGTGAAAAGTTGGTGGTTGATGGTTTATTGAAGTACAGTGCGACAAGGATTTTTATGAATGAGTGACGGTTAATTGAGGGCGACACTGTCTACGTAATTTTTTTCGCCACATTTTATAAAAATTTCGTCGCACTATAATGGTGGAGTCAAACCTGAGCGCGGGCATTTGTTCCGGCGAGGCAGTATGGAGCGCCAGGTACAGCAGGTGTGTGACGCATCGCAGCGCACGGTCGAAGGTCTCCGCCTGCTTGCGATGAACGGGCCGAGCCTCCAGAGCGCGACGACACTCTACAACATCGTATTACACATTCACAACCTACTTACTCTAATATTATCGTTGACACTACTATAAAGCGACAAAAACTGGTGTTGGTCAGGGGTTCAACCGAATTTATTAAAAAAATGTCTCATAGAATATGTTTTAACACGCTATAAAGCAGTTATGTGGGTAGTCGGTGTTAGTTTCCAGCCTAAAATGTTTATTCATCACCGCCGCAGCGACCCTGGTGTCGCTGTAGTATTATGCTGAGACAGGGATATAGTTTTTTTTATTGCCTAATTGTGCCATAATAAGTTGTAGAAACGATAGAATTGAACGGGTTGCCGGTGCCCATGCTTTTTCACCACTTAATAATGCCATCAAAATATGACACGCTCGGTTTTCATATAATTTAAATCTTGATCTGTGACCACGACGGTGTAGTGCAGTGCGTTATAGTTCAGTATAATAATGTAGTGTAGCCGGTATACCGGCAGATCTTGCGCACGCTTCAATCTTTTGTATTGTATTGTAGTGTGTTATAGTATAGATAGTTTGTCATAATGTAGTAGTATGGCACATAGCAGGCAGGGTGTCGGCTATGAGTGAGAACACGCACATGACGGCATCGTATCGTGACAGATCTTGCGCGTACTCCAATCTATTGTATTATAGTGTGTTATAATATAGCGTATCATAATGTATGTAGTGTGGCACAATTCAGCTGTTTTAGTATGGCTGAATGAAGACGCGTCAAGGTGGAAACCATACGTCGCAAACAGGGTCAAGCAAATAACCGAAATCATACCTCCAGTCTGCTGGCTGCTAGTGCGGGGCAGGCGGGCAGTGGAGCTGGGAACTGACTGCGGTGCTCGCTGCTTCTGTCTCCCCTGGTGTTCTTCTGGATGTATCAACACTTATGATACTGATGTTTCTGTTGTGACAGAATCGTCTCCAGCAGCAAAAGATGGCGATTGTTAGTGATATACCCACAAGCACATATATCACGGCATAGTGATATATATCGTGCCAAAATTAGGACTCTGTTACCCCTGTTGCTTGATGTCCTTGATTCTATCCCCAAGGCTGCTCATATTTTTTCTAAACTCCATAAATTCCTTGTCACTTTCTTCTACACTGGGGATAGTTATATTATTTATAGGTGCTATTTCTGGTGTACGAGTATATAGGTTCGGCATGGTTTTCATCTCACTGGTGAACTCCTTATTTGTAAATATGTACATTTCTTCGCTTTTAATCGCACAACCTTACTCTAATGCGATGACGCCGACCCCGCTCAGCTGTTGTGCGGTAATTTGATCATTGCATAGTAGTTTCACAGTGCATAACATCGCAACAAAAATATAAATAATGGTTCATAACATTTAATACGACGAACGTGTTTTTGCATTCGGCGATGCTTGTTTGGCATTGATTGTGTTTATTCTTCAAACACAAGTCTCTGTCTGACTTTCTTTGGTAAATTGGATGTTTGGATTGGCATAGTTGCGTAGATGTTTCATAGTACATACAGTTATGTAAGTCTACACCTGTAAAGTCGTTGATGCTGGCAATCTTCTGGATCTTCTGATTTAATTCACGTATGAGTTGTATTTTAGAAATCGGATCAAAATATAAAGATTGATTGTTTTGCAGAGACCTTGTGTCGTACGCGCCATATGATGGTTATATGAGACCCATGAAAAATATAAGTGCCGTTGTTAGTGATAAGAATGATTGCTTCGTATGTTTTGTTTTTTCTTTCTGTTTAGATTCTGGTTCCGGTGATTTTTGCATGGGTAATACTGATAGTTTATTAACAGGTCTTTTTAATAATCCATTTTTTGTTTTTAATGTGACGACGCGTACGTAGCCATCCTTGCCTGGGTGTAAGTCTGTTACCCGGCCCATCAGCCATTTCCCGGCTGGTAGATTGTCGTCATGGATCAGGCAGCAGGCTTCGAGTTGCGCCAATATGGTGGAGTATTCTTCGAATGTTAACTTCTGCTCGCCTATCACTCTTTTGATGTGATACTTCAGACTCTTTACGGCGGCTTCCCAGAGTCCTCCTGCCGACGGCCATAATGGTGCATTAAAGTGAAACTCGATGCCCATATTTGTAACTTCTGCCATGTAATCCTGATCTGAAGAGTACTCTTGAAGTCGAGTGTTCATTTCTTGTTGTAGCATTCGATTAGCGCCCACGAAATTCGTACCGCCTCTACGAGCGGCTGCAAGGCTGCTAAAAATGCTGATGCAGAGAGGTCGGCACGAGTTCGAGGTGCACGGCCTTAGTTGCCATACACACGAACACGGCCACGTATCCCTTAGATGTTTTAATGCCTCGTCCTTTATTTGCCTTAATGACGACGTAACCTGTATAGTCAACCCCTGTGTTGTGGAAGGGTCGTGAAGGGTTGCACCGCACTTCTGGTAAATCACCCATAAGTTGGTTTTGAAGACTTGGCTTATGTCGGCGGCATGCGATACAATTTCTTATGTTTCTTTTAGTGGCTCGATTGCCGCCGACTATCCAATATTTTTTCCGAATCACAGCTGACGTCACGCGCGCGCCGCCGTGAAATGTGATCTTGTGCGCGTCATCTATGATGAGATCTGTTAAGCGAGATTTATTGGGTAAAATTATTGGATATTTCATATCCATGTCCATGTTAGCATTTTCGAGTCTGCCGTCAACTCTTAAAATCCCATCTTTATCAAAAAACGGAATTAATTTGGAAATATGATTCTTCTTAGGCACCTGTTTGTGTTGTTCAATATTGTTAAATTCCTCGCCAAAATGAGTAATTTGTACGTATTTGATAATTTTATACTTTGCAAATTTGATTTCTGATAATGTTAGATACTTGAACCTTGGCGGCCTTGAACTTCGCTGGTGCAATTTGAACCGTAATATCCACGCCAGTATTCTTTTTACACGTGTTAATGTGCTATGTTTTTCTAATAACTGTTGAATGATATTAATCTGTTTATTTTCCCTTGTTCTTGTGTAAACTTTTCTTTGTTCCTCTGTTGTGGTATACTTGATAGAGATTTCGTTTTCTTCTTCATATGATAGTAGCCATGAGGGTCCTTGCCACCAAAGTAAATGTTCATTTAGTTGTTATGCTGTTAACCCCCTGCTGGCACAGTCTGCTGGGTTCTTCTCTGATTTAACGTAGCGCCAGCAGACTGGAGGTATGACTTCGGTTATTTGTTTGACCCTGTTTGCGACGTATGGTTTCCACCTTGACGCGTCTCCATTCAGCCATCCTAAAACAGCTGTTGAATCACACCATCCATGTAACTTTATGCTGTAGTTGTTTAGACAGGTCATTACCTTTTTCATAAGCTTTGCCAATAATAGTGCGCCACTGAGCTCTAGTCTTGGCATAGTAATAGATTTTTTGCGCGGTACTAGGCGGGTTTTTGCTACCAGTAGCATCACAGACTTTGCATTTTCTCTGAGCACCCTGCTGTAAATCACACACGCGTATGCCCTTTCAGATGAGTCACAGAATCCATGCAACTCCAATAGACTGTTCTTCTGTGTTCCAAGCCATCTTGGTACTTGAATTTGATCTATAGCTGCAATCTCAGACTTAATTTTGTTCCATTCTAAACTTATTTCGTCGGGTATTATGTCATCCCATTGAAGGTTTAGCTGCCAAATGGTTTGAAAAAAGATTTTTAATTTAGTTGTTACAGGTGCCAGCCATCCCAACGGGTAAAAAATTTTCGAAATGTCTGACAGTAAGCTTCTTTTTGTTGTCTTTTGTGGCGATGGGTTAATTTTCGACTGAAAGGTGAATATATCTTAAATAATAAGCACGTCGTCCATGAAGAAGGACTCTTCCTAAACCTTAATAGCATCTCTGTTATGGGAGTAATTAGATTTTTCATCTTTCGCCAGCTGTTTCAGCGTCATCATTGCAAGAAACGGTGCAGCTTTCGTACCGTAAGTCACGGTACATAACTGAAATTCCTCTAATGTTGTTTGTGGTGAGTCTCTCCAGATGATTTTTTGCAGCTGTTGATCTTTGGGATTTAATCTTATCTGGCGAAACATCTTTTCCACATCTGCAGTAAATGTGAATTCGAACTGTCTCCATTTCAATAATAGTCCTTGAAGGTCATTTTGTAAGTTTGGTCCTGAAAACATGGCATCGTTGAGACTTGAACCCGTTGATGTTTTACTCGAGCCATTGAAAACCACTCTCAGTGCCGTAGTTTGAGACTCAGCGCATTCTATACCGTGGTGAGGTAAATAACATTGAAGTCGGCCGCCCGCGTCAGCGGATTTCAAATGTCCGAGCGTTAGGTACTCATTTATAAACAGACGATAATTATTAGCGAATATATTGTTTCTATTAAATTTTTGTTCTAATTGCATAAATTGCGCAACGGCCTTGTTTCTTGATTTGCCGATAAGCTGTTGATACCCAGGCTGGAGAGGCAGTCTGACCTCATATCTACCGTCCTGGTGTCTTTTTGTTGTTGTTTGGTAATAATCAAGGCAGTACTGATCCTCTGATGATAAATTTGACTCTTCTGTTATATCTTCCGTTTCCCAAAATCGTTCTAAATTCTGTATGTTATTAAGGACCACATTGCAATGATAAGTTTTTGTACAAGCAGTCAGTATCCATCCGAGACGTGTATTTTGTGCTATCGGCTGTGAAGTTGATGGATCTTCGTTTCTACATATACCACTCAGGATAATATTGGAATAAGTTTCTGCTCCCAGTAGAATGTCAATTGGTCGACTTATATTGAAGTCGGGATCGGCAAGCTGTATGTTGTTCAAAAATGGCCACGACATTTTTGAGAATGACTGATTTGGTAACTGTTTGATCAAAGTCTGCATCACAAAAGCTTGAGTATCAAAAGAGTAGCTCTCATCCATTGATGAGCATGAGAGATTGACAACACCCTCACAGCTATTAGATTTTACACCTATTCCAAAAATGCTACCCTTGCAATTCTGTCTCAGCAATGATAAACGTTGAGCGGCATTTTCTGAAATAATCGACACTTGCGAGCCTTGGTAAATAAGGGCCCGCATTGATTTGAGAGGCCCATCTGCGGCCCGCACCTTGAGCATCGCTGTTGCTAATAATATCTCGGATGAGCTTAGCTTAGAATAGCTTGCTGTTGGTACCCCGATCTTCCTGCATGGGTTTTGTTTGTTGATAAGGTGATGGGTTGAATGTTGTTGGTTTCAGCACCGATGTCGATGGCCGTGACTTCTCATCGATAGGTCGATCTTCTTGCATGGGTTTTGTTTGTTGATAAGGCGATGGGTTGAATGTTGTTGATTTCAGCACTGGTGTCGATGGCCGTGACTTCTCTTCCATAGGTACATAGCTTTGAATAAATGCTTTCGTGTTTGTGTAAAAGTCCTGTACTTGATCATATTTATTTTGCGCAATATATGGGTGTGTTTCGTCGCATATATCTCGAACCTTAATATGATTGCTGTGGAATTCATACCAATAAGCTTGCTATGTTTCAAGTCGCTTCTTGATGTAAACGGCAGTCTTTCGTTCCGCACCATCTTTTTTGAAGTTGGTCAGTAGCTGCTGCATACCGCCTATTATTTGTTCTTGAGTTGCTAAGATATCCTCCATTGTTGACAAGTTTTGAGTACTCACTGTTAAATTATTCTGTTGTTGCTGATTTCGATCCTTGTGACGGCTCACACAGTGCTATGTGCACCTTCTCAATCCAACTGGTGAGACCCGCTTGTGGGAGGCCAGTCAAACCGATTCGCTAACACCGTAAGAACACTATCACAATTCACTAGTCGAAGGATCATAAAGATGTTGAGTTTCCTCTACACCTTTCGAGATGATGATGTTAAATGATAGTTTGGTGATAAATTGATAACACCGATTATGTTGAAACTGTTATGTTTATTAGCATACGCGGTACATATGACGTCCGAACGTGAACTGATTTGAATACGCTAATACAATTACATATTTACTTAATAATACATAAAATTATAAATTGCCACGTAAGGAAATGTTTTGTTTGGACTAAACAGGCAGGTTGTCGGCTATGAGTGTGAACACGCGCATTACGGCATCGTATCGCGGCAGATCTTGCGCGCGCTCTTATCTATTGTATTGTAGTGTGTTATAATATAGCGTGTCATAATGTATGTAGCGTGGCACAATTCAGGCAGGTTGTCGGCTATGAGTAGGGTTGCAACGATATATCGGAATATCGATAACATCGATAATATCGAGACCAAAATATCGATATTTAAAATTCACTGATATCGATAATATCGATATCGGAAATTCCAAAATATCGATATTTCGTAGACTAAATTTTAACACAATAGTATCAATTAATTTACCTGCTATGACTATCTAAATTGAATAATATCGAAATAACTATGGCTTTGAAATCGCAAGAGCTTATAGATGTATAAAAAAATCTTGAACCCCAAGAAATATACTAAACTGGTGTGGATTCTGGCATGATCCTCTAAACCAAAAATTAAATTTGACAACAGTGAATCCTTGTCATTCTCTATACAGAATGAAAAGGAGAGACTGATGTTAAATTTAGTTTTAAGTTTAGATAATCATGCCAGAATCGACACCAACGTATATAGGTATAATCGTATACCTAATGGTAACTCATGCACTTAAATAAAATCCTTGCCTCTCTTTCTAGATAATTGTCAACTACTGATTAATTAAAATTTAATATCATTGTAATATAACACAAAATAAAATTAAGAATCTTATTCAAATCGTAAATTTTTTAAGCTCGCCAAGTCAAGAAAGTAAAATAGGTACAGTAATTTTGGAAGCTTTGGGCTTACCCTATTCTGAAGCCATGGGCACGCCCCTGATGTGTAGGAGACTAAGCAATTTGCATATTTGATGTGCGCTAAAAAAACCGACATAGCTTGGAAAAGCACGAATGTAGTGAAAACTTAGCGAAGGCATTCGCAAATGTCGTCCCACATATGCGGGTTGGCGCATTCGTGCTAACGAATGTGAGTGATCTGATCAGGATAATAATTTTAATTTTTTGGTTTCCTGTCGTGGCTGAAACACAAACCGTGCGAGCCAATAAAAAAAATCCTGCTTGGCGCGATTTTATCAAGCTTGTTTAACGAAAAAGCTGCCTCAATGCATTTTGCGAGAAACTCGCCAACAAACATATGAATGTGTCACACTCACCCCGTATTCTAATGTCAATAAAAAATAAAAAGGAAAAAATATCGATTTATCGATAATATTGAGTTAAAATGGTCGATATATCGGATATCGATATTTCCTGACTTCGATATAAATATCGATATTTCAAAAGACTTTGCATCCCTAGCTATGAGTGTGAACATGCGCATGACGGCATCGTGTCGCGGCAGATCTTGCGCGCGCTCTTATCTATTGTATTGTAGTGTGTTATAATATTACGTGTCATAATGTATGTAGTGTGGCACAATTCAGGCAGGTTGTCAGCTATGAGTGTGAACACGCGCATGACGGCATCGTTTCGCGGCAGATATTGCGCGCGCTCCAATCTATTGTATTGTATTGTAGTGTTTTATAATGTAGCCTGTCATAATGTATGTAGTGTGGCCATGGAGCACCCCCACTGCAGTACGCATCACTCAAATTTTGTTTGGAATCAAAATCGCCAAAGTAGGCGGCGTGCGGGCAGGGTAGCCGCGGTCTGATTGGACACATCAAGGTCAGATGATAAACTCAGTGCAACGAAATGATGAGGGTAAGATCGGTTATAGAAAATATCTATATTTTCTATCGATAAGAATTTACTATACAGGTTCTTCCAGCGTTATTTTTGCATGACGAGCCTAGTAACTACATACATACTAATTATATATGCAACAACAAAAAAACACCGTTTGTATAAAGAAGTGACAAATATCGACATGGACAATAATATGCTGTAATGGTGACTTTTTAAACTTAAGGTGCTTTGCTCACCGGTGTTTGGGACCAAGGGTCAGCAAATGACATCTATTGGCAAAATAAAGAACTAAAGTTGTTATAATGTCAAACTAAGGAACTCAACCCATAGTGCGAGTAACAATTGCCAGAGCGCCATCTTGCTTCTAATAAAAGAGCTATATGAACTTGAAGAACAGGGTCGGTGCGGGTTTTTTTCGTTTTGTTTGCGGGAGTGGCTGGGCGGGCGAGTCGAATGATTCGGTAGCATTCGGCAGTACTCTGTACAGAGAGCTAGGTAGCGTGGCTCACGCATAGGTAAAATTTTACTTAAGCTTGGAGTAAGCGCTTGCCCTTGTATGCGGACTCTTGTGGGGGTGCTCCATGAGTGTGGCACATCCCAGGCAGGTTGTCTGCTATGCGAGTGAACATGCGCATGACGTCATCATGTCACGGCAGATCTTGCGCGCGCTCTAAACTATTGTATTTTTTACAGTGCTATAGTAGTGTGTCTTAATGTATGTAGTGTGGCACATACCGGGCAGGTTGTCGGCTATGAGTGTGAAAACGCGCATTACGTCATCGTGTCGCGGCAGATCTTGCGCGCTTTCTAGTCGTCCGGCGCGTGCGTCCAGCATCAGACGCGTCAACGCGCAAGCCGTGTGACAAGTATCTGATAAACCACAAATTATGAGTATCCCAATCATATTTGATGTTTTATTATTACTACAAAACTAGTCGATATTTGACGCGTATGGAGATCGAATTCAACAAGTTAAATTCGATATTGATTCGTGCTAAGGGTTCCCCCAGCACAAGTAAACAGCGGGAAAGTTTCATATCGCCATTGTCAAAGTTTCTATGGGAACTAGGCAGCGCCACTACCGGGCCTTGAAACTTTAACGATGGCGATACGAATACTTTCTCGCTAGTTCTTCGTGCTTTAATAGATAAATTCGATCTCGATACGCGTCAAATGTCAAGAAGATTTGTTTCGAAGATTTTTCATTTTTAATTCTCGTTATGCATGTTGTGGCGCTGTTCAAATTTCTGTGTACTGAAGGCAATATAGTGGATAACAAGAACATACCGGTGTAGAGTAGTGAGTCCTTTTGTATCCGAATCTCGAGTGCCCACGTCCAGAGGTCAATGCACTGCTGATAGCGGAACGCGTCCCCGTATGACGCACCCCTATTGTACACAGTATTAATATTAAATGAATAAGCAAAACTGAAAATTTTGTCATTTATGTACCCTGGTAACATTATAATATGTACAGTAGAGCGTAGAAGTGTTTAGCGCGTTTTTAAAAGTTAAGCAACATTGCAACGGCCGGTCATCGGATGTGTGACCGTAAAATTTATCATCACGAGCTCAGAAGGTACGTCACACCGTTGAAAGTTTGTATGTTTGTATCACATCTAAATAGCTGAATGGATTAGGCACAAAGGTAACATTAATAATAATTTATAATTTTATTTTTCATTCTATGCAAATAAATATTAGGTTCCTTTAGGATTTTCGAAAACAAAATACTGCAGAAGTTATTGTTATGAGGCATGGAGAGCGCGTCAATGTGAGCGGTCAGCTGCTCCAGCTGGTTCACAGTATGCGTATTGCATCCTCCTGATATAATATAGATTTGTATGTATATACCTATATATGTAAATATTTATTATTATTTATGTATTTATATAGATATGTATTTTATGTAGTATACATTTTTTTTTTCTATAGATATAGTTTAATTATAATAAATATTTAATGAATTCTTTTTGCATTGCCGTCTTAAGATCTTTGCTATAATGCTCCGGTTGACTGGTAGAGAATGCCTAATGGCATTAAGTCCGCCATTTGTACACTCATGTTGTGCAATAAAGTAAAAATAAATAAATGTGTGACCTGTACATGAGGCGCAGCACGGTGTCCTTGTGGTGCGGGGACAGCACGCGCGCGCAGACGAGCAGCGCGTGGGTCCGTAACGCGTCCATGTCGGTGGCTAGCTGCTCTAACTGCTCCATAGTCCGCCACTCGCGCGCGCCGCCTAAAGCTCGCGCTGCGCCCTCGCAACTGAACCCCATCTTTATGATGTACCTGTTCCGCAAGAGATGCGTCAATATCAGTAATCAACTCAAATACCATAAATGCACAACGTGCGAAGTTTGTGCAAAGTGAAACGTGCAGCCTTCAAGTTTGCCGTTGGCGCGAAAAGTTGTATAGAGTCTGGCTAACGAAAGCGTGACCTGAGAAAACGCGGGAAATTCAACGGTGACTAACTGCTCCATAGTCTGCCACTCGCGGGCGCCGCCTAACGCTCGCGCCGCAACCTCGCAACTGAACCCCATCTTTATGATGTACCTGCCCCGCAAGAGACGCGTCAATGCAAGCCGCCTCGTAAATGCGCAACGTGCGAAGTTTGTGCACAGTGAAACGTGCAGCCTTCAAGGTTGCCGTTGGCGAAAAAAGTTGTGCAGTCTGGTTAACGAAAGCGTGACCTGAGAAAACGCAGGAAATTCAAAGGTGGCTAGCTGCTCGAACTGCTCCAGTCTGCCACTCGCGGGCGCCGCCTAACGCTCGCGCCGCGCCCTCGCAACTGAACCTTATCTTCATGATGTACCTGCCCCGCAAGAGACGCGTCAATGCAAGCCGCCTCGTAAATGCGCAACGTGCGAAGTTTGTGCAAAGTGAAACGTGCAACCTTCAAGTTTGCCGTTGGCGCGAATTCTTGTGGCTAACGAAAGCGTGACCTAAGAAAACGCGGGAAATTCGACGGTGGCTAGCTGCTCTAATTGTTCCATAGTCTGCCACTCGCGGGCGCCGCTGGCGTTGGTGCGAAAACTTGTGTATCTGTGTTTTTCTTATTCACTTCACTTGGCTATTCGTATTTGCTGTTTGTCATATTGACAGCAGGTTGTCTTTATCGTATTCTATAGGGAGTAAAAAAGAGAGACTGTTACTAAGTTTACAATTTACAATTAGCGAAGTGTATTTTATTTTAAAATATCTGTTTGTTTTTATTGTTGCAGCATGTAGACGTACAATCTAACTTATTTGAGTGATAGCGGAGGCTGCTTTATGTTAATTGCGATTAAGGTGTACGTGCACACGGGTGCAGAGAACAAGAGACACCTCTGAGTAATGAATAAATTACAAGATAATTTATGTATGAAAAAAAAAATTCCATTTTATTGCAATTACAATTGTCCGCTTTGCTTTCACAACTGGATTGACGACGCTACACGTCCGCTACCCGCGAGTGAACGAATTCCAACTGAATAACTGTGCGGAGTCTACGCCTGTGGCGGTCGCTGGGTTTGCAGTAAATGAAGCCACACTGGATATTTTTGATGAACTGTATTTCTTTAATGTAATTTTAACAAGTGTAGTACAGTGGCCACTTCGGCGACGCACAAAACGTAACTGAACTCATTCCAGTCACTTAATCCATTCATTCTAATGTATGTTTCATACATAAATTGGGCATAACAGCAAAATAAATAAACTAAACATAAGCAAATGGTTGTGTCCTAAGTTAAACAATACAAATTTTACACAAAATGATCTAGATCACAACTTATTAATTTTAAAACTTTAGTTTTTAAACAAATATGTGTTGTTTCAAATTTCGCTTATTGTGCTATTATTGTGTAATGTAATTATTAGTTCAATTAAACCTTGAATCTTTACCAATTTGTTTTTATTTTATTCTTAACTACATACTTTCTTAATATTTCTATATTACTTTCTTCTATATTTAGATAATAATTTGCAACCTAATAGCTAGTTATATAATAAAAAGAATGACATGAAAGAATGTATTCAATGGCAATTAAACCATATCATTGTTCTACACTGATACTCCCAGCAAAGGAACTGAAAGGCAGAAACTTAATATTAAACTATTTGCAATCAACTAATTTAAGCAAAGAATACCTATTAAAAGTAATATTATTTAATAAATGCATAATCATTCTTGATTTTTCTTAACATTAACATTACATGTGTACGAAAACTTATTTAAGTTGTAACATAACATTGCAATTTTTGTTTCAAGTTTTTTTTTGTTTTGGTAAATAAACATCCATGACAAAGGTACTAAACGTTAACTACAATAATGAATCTAAGTTATAAAAAAAAATGTGTATACATATATTACAATTCTGGTACCAAAGGTACATTAGTACATTATTAAGTTAATTATGATAACGGCTCGAAGTTATGAAAAAATATATATATTTACACTTTTGATTCCTAGAATACTGTGATCACACCATATATACCTACTGATAATAAACAAAAATAGAGTAACAAGTTAATATTTAAGTTTTGTATGTACCATTACTAATTGTTAAATATTTCTAGTGAGATATCTACCCATAAATGGACAATATCAAGTAAGCAGAGCCACACAACAAGGTCAGCCAGCTAACCATCCTGCACTGCACGACCTGCATCATCAGTGTCATTTAAAGGGAGAACACAGATCTTTGTAACACTTGTGCGAATAAGAGAACCTTTACTTGTTCTTACTGAGAGAGCTCTGACTTTGCCATCCGAACCTGGGAACGTTTGTACAACCCGTGCCACTTTCCAAACTAGAGGTGGTGAATTATCATCTTTAAGGAGAACCAAAGCCCCATCTTCTATGTTAGGAAGGGCCTTATGCCATTTTGGACGGTTTTGGAGTTGAGTCAAATATTGCCTGGACCATATTTTCCAAAAACACTGTATCATATGTGTGCACTGTTTCCAGAATGATAAACGATTTACTGGAACCTGTGTAATGTTATGCTCAGGATAAGAGGCTATGGGTGCACCTGTCAAAAAATGCGCTGGAGTCAAATATGACATATCACTTGGATCTACTAAATTTAAAGACAAAATTGGCCTTGAATTTAAAATGCCCTCTACCTGTATTACCACTGAATTTAACTCTTCATATGTCAATGTTTGTTGACCTACTACCCTTTTTAAGTGATATTTGACGCTTTTGATTCCAGATTCCCATAGACCCCCAAACACTAGACTGTAGCTAGGAATAAAGCTAAAACGAATACCTAAATCCTCTGCAATTCTGGTGACTTTATCTCGGTGCTCCTGATTGAAGTGATTATAAACTCCTGGAGTTGATTGTTTGCACCTTTGAAAGTTGCAGCATTATCGCAATAAATAATTGATGGTTTATTTCGCCGGGCTATAAACCTCTTAAAACACTGCAAAAAACATTCAGTAGTCATACTCGACACCAACTCAATATGAATTGCCTTAGTGACAAAACAAATAAAAAGCACAATGTAAGCCTTGTAAATTACTGGTTTTCTAACACGGTGCAGTTTCACAAAGAATGGGCCTCCAAAATCTATTCCAACCCTCTCAAATGGTCTACTGGGAGTCACCCTATCCGCTGGCAGTGATCCCATTAATTGTTCAGCTGCCTTGGCCTTCAACTTAAAGCAAGTTATGCAGTTATAAATCAATTTCTTAATTATTCTTAATCCATCTATGATATAATAAATTTGAGATAAATTGGCAAACAAAAGCTTTGGGCCGGCATGCAATAGTAATTTATGTTCATTAATAACTATTGCCTTGGTAATAATAAAATTTCTAGGTAAAATAATTGGGTGTTTTTGCCCATGCCATCTATGAAGGGATTTAAAGACTTTAATTTAGATTTAATTGGCTTATCAGACTTTAGAGCCCTTAACTCCTCACAAAAAAAAGTGAGCCTGTTCTATTTTAATTATGATTTTTAGAGAAAAATCCATTTCTTTACAGGTTAAATGACCAAAAACCCTGTTTTCTAGTTTTGACTTACAATTGTTGATAAATCTGTAAACATAAGCTGCCACTCTCTTCATTTTGTTCAATTCAGAATATTTTGAAAATAAATTGTTACTTTCTGTTTCTCTAATTACCCTGACAGTGCTAATGTTACAATTTTTAATTTCAAGAATATTCTGACAGATTTCACTAGAATATGGTTTATGAGAATAATCTATACTATGTAAAAAGGTGGGGCCTTGCCACCATAACATATTATTTTTTATTAAATGTGCATCTGCTCCTCTTGATAATAAATCTGCAGGGTTTTCATTAGTGTTTGTATATGACCAGGAGAATTCTTTTGTAAGTTCCTGACTGGCCCTAACCCTGTTTGCAACATAAACTGGTAATTTTGCTGGCTCTGTGTTTAACCACGCTAGAGCTACCTGTGAATCAAGATATAGATAAACCTTTGGACTAAAACCTGCATTGGAAATTTGATCAAAAACCTTTTTTGTTAACTGTGATAACAATAATGCACTATTTAATTCGAGACGAGGTATACTTGAGGCTTGATAGGATTATTTCTAGATTTGGAACACAACAGATTCACTTTTGTTTTCCCATCCTTGTCAATCACTCTAAAGTATAAGCAACAGCCATAAGCCTGTCTTGAAGCATCAGCAAATCCAACTATTTCTGTTAGGACTATGTTGGATGTGCCTATGCACCTGTCAATTTTTATTGTATTCATCCTAGACAAATTTTCAACAAACAACTTAAATTCTTTGTTTAGTTGGGTTGGTAGAAATGAATCCCAATCAATGTTTGCTAACCACATCTTTTGCATTGTAATTTTTGCAACTACTATTACTGGCCCTACTCACCCTAATGGGTCAAATATCCTACTAATATAACTTAATGCTTGACGCTTGGTGTATTGCTCCTGCAAGCTCTGAGGAGGGCTAGTAATGTTAAATGTATCAGACTGAAAGTTGTATGTTATACTTAATGTTTTGACATTTAAATTATGATCTTTACATAGATTCCTCTCAACAGTCCCATTCAGTGCACTTGAGTTAAAACAGTACTATTGTTAGACTGCCACTTATGCAAAGTGAATCCACCAAGTTTGAGCAAATCAATTAATTGTCTTTTGGTCTCAATTAAAATATTAATATCACTGTTTTCTGTCAATATATAATCAACATACGTATTATGTAGTAGTGCCTTGCTAGCTAGCGGATATTTATTTTTGAAACGATTGGCTAATTTAACTTAGCATCTAGTTGCCAAAAAGGTTGAACATTTAAGTCCATATGTGACTGTTTGTAATTTAATGCATTGAACCTTCTCTTCTGGTGAATTTCTCCACAATATATTTTGTAGTTTATAATGAGACTTATTTAGTAATATTTCTCAAAACATTCTTCTAATGTCACAAATCAAGACATAATTTTGTAATCTAAATTAGACCAAAATGTTGAACAATTCATTTTGAACACATGGTCCATTTAATAACATGTTATTTAACGAAACACCTAAAGTGGTGTTCATGGAGCCGTCGAATACCACCCTCAGCTTAGTGGTTTCACTATTGTCATTAAACACTGGATGGTGAGGAAAAAATAATAGTTACCACTATCTAAATCACATGATTCAATATCAATGTATTTGGCATGACCTAATGAAATGTATTCATCAATAAAGGCCTTGTATTTTTCAAAAAGAATAGGATACATTTTAAACCTTTTTTCTAAATTGTAAAAACTTGTAAAGCACGGGAAAGTGAGCTACCCATATTCAAATCATTCATATTCTGTTTTAAAGTCAAATCTACTTTAAATTTATTGTTTTTTAATATAAATATTTTCTACAAATATTTTTTCAGCTAGAAGCTCCGAAGAAGTCTCAGTGTAAACTTCAGTTACCTGCTCGCACTTCCAAAATTGTTGTATTCTTTTTTTCTGGCATACCAAAACTATCAGTTTCACTAACAGCACTTGTTGTACTTACCTGGTTGCTGACCTATTCATGCATTGCCTGCTGTTGAGGTAATTTACCAGCAACCACAAAGCCAAATCTTGTATCTTGCACATACAATCCACTAGACAGTATAGGCAATTGTTCTCGGAGCCATATGCTAAAAAAAATATCACACCCCAACAGTAAGCTAATTTTTATTGGTTTATAAAATTCAGGATCAGCTAATTTTATATGAGATGGTATATGTAAGCTGCCTGTCTTTATTTGAAATTGTGGTAAGTCATTAGTAATATGTGTAACAATACAACATTCCACTTTTAAATTGTAATTATTAGAAAATGAACTTTGATTTACTGTGTTTGAATCACTACAAATTCCTGAGAAGGATGTGTGTTTATTGTGCAATTTGCACTTAATTATATTTGCCAAGTCTGACCTTATAAAGGAAACCTGACTTCCAAAGTCACAAAGAGCCTGGACATAAATATCATTAATATATTTATCAAGCAGCCTTACCTTCATAGTAGGCAATAGAATTTCACCACCCTTACTCATGACACATGTTCTGTGGGTTTTGATAACCTTTCTTCATGCAATAAACTGTTGTTTTTCCTTACAAATTGAACACTTAAAAATGAACCTGCACTTTGTATCATGCTTGTTTAGACAAAGTTGGCAAAGCTTTTTTGATTTTGCAAACTTGATGCGTTCGGATATTGAGATCAACCTAAACTTTTCACACTGATGAAGCCTGTGATTTTTGGAGTTGCAATATAGGCATAATGCAGGCCGTGCAGATGATGTAGTGGTGGCTGCCAAGCTTGCGCTGCGTCCGCTGCTCACTGTGGTATTCCTTCCATATTGGCTGACCTCGGCAACAGTTTCCAAATCAGAATCCCGTTGTTCTAAAAATTCCAAAAATATATTTATATTAGGCAAACTATTTTTTTGTTCAAGGTGAAAGCACCTTACAGTGTAAGGATCCAGCTTGCGCTGCAGAATGCATATGAGGATTAAGTCCCAATGCTGAACAGGCACTTCAAAGTTTTTTAATGCTGCTAAATGTCGGCGTGTTATAGAGATAATTAGTGATGTAACGAATGTAATTTTTTGAACATTCGCGAATGCGAATGCGAATGTCTGGTACCGACATTCGTGAATGCGATATTTAGTTTTTTTTTTTAAATTGGCGCCAATTGACTTTGGCATGGTGGCAGTCTCGTTCGAATTGCCGAGTTGATATGAACTCATCCGACTGAAGTGTCATGCTAAAGCAGTGCATTTGGTCGCAGTTTTAAAGTCGAGTAGGCAGTTTATGTGGTGATTTATAACTTAAAATTGATTATTATACCTTTCATCTAGAAGTTTTAGAGCTGTGGGATAGCTTTCAGCACCCAGACTTAGATGCTTTAATAAAGCAGCAGCCTCCCCTTCGAGGAAGGACTTTAAATAATATAATTTGTCGCATTGCGACAATTTCCGATTCCTGTCTATAACACTTAGGAATAAATTAATAAAATCGTGGTAGCCACCTACCTCGCCACTAAACTTGGGGATATTAATACATGGTAATTTGCTTAATCCATCCTGTATTTGACCCGTTCCAGATCCAGCTGCTTCACCGTTTGACTCGCACTTTTCTTCGAAAAGAACTAGTGCAGAAAGATACTTATCTTCAATGTCGGTAAATTCTTCAGTATTTTTTGGATCTAAAACTGAAATATCTATATTGAGATCACAGTATTCTCGGAACGTTGATATTAATCGGTCCTCTTTAATACCTAATTCTATATACGTACAATTGCTTGTATCGGTAGCTACAAAATTTGCAAGCCGAGTAATTGAACCCTTAGTCTGGCCTCCAGCTGCCACCAAGCATTTTAGCTCATCACCCATGTTTGAGCTGTTGAGTAGTAATCCACTTGAATTTATACTATAATTGCTATAACTTTATTATTTCTTATTTGAATTGCTCGATACAATGAACCGAATTTTGTACAATAAATCACCCAATGTGATATGGAATTACTACAAAACAAAATAGCTGTACTTCTTAGGGATATTCGATATACATCGATGCATCGAAAACATCGATGTTTGCAAAGAAAAACATCGATACGATCCGATGTTTTGAATAGCTTTCAATATACTCGATGCATCGATGTTTTAAAGAAACATCGAATTGGTAATAGAGTTTGACCACGTAGTGATAATATCCTCTTCGGTTTGACCTCAGTAAAAAAACTTAAGTTTGACCACTAAAATTTTACTTATTAGTATTATGAAAGCATCATTATTCTGAATTCTCTGATATGGACCCGATGTTGGCAGCACTGCGCAAGAGTCAGTGCAGTGACAATAAAAAAATAACTACGAGTTTCTATGTTTATAAACATTTAACAACCTTTAGTTTTGTGAAAGAAATTAAGATTGAAGTATATTTATAATATCCTTTTGACAGACTTAGCAAACATTTTGCGGGTTATTTAGCGTTTTTTTATATGATCTTTTGTAAAAATATGATACAGATTTTTCTGACACATACTTTTACTTGTATTTAGTTTTACCTACTCATGATGAAAGGAGTTAATTCTATTATTTTATGAAAGATTAATATATAAACTATAATTAAGGTCTTTTCATAAACTTCAATTGTATTTTTTTTTACTATGAAAAGATGGCCTCTTTTGACATGGGTCACTTTACACATAAGTTGAGTTTTGTAATAAAATTTCAGAAAAAGTACTCGATGTTTAAAATACATCGATGTTTTCATCCGATACATCGAATGACATCGATGTATAGTTGCGATGTATCGAATCAAAAAATACATCGATGTTTTTTCAGAGTGGACACCCCTAGTACTTCTGTGAAGCCCTATAATTGTGGCGTGGTTGAGTGAATGAACGATGACTCCGGAGAAGCGCGCGGTTTGAATTCGCGCACCCGGTTGGCTGGCCACTGCGCGCGAGGTGAAATGGATGGATCGCTGTTGACGTTGTCTCCTTCCCACTTTGATGGTGATGGCGCCGTGATGCGAGATGCTTTCGTTCACCCTCGGTGCTAAATGAAATTTATAATGGCGGAAGCAGAATTGTAAAAAATAACTTTTTACGTAGTAATATAATAAGTTTCTTCTTCCTATTTTATTTGGAATATAACGTCTACAAAATTTCGAGATTGGATTATTCCATACACCCGTAAAACTATTGTTCTCGCCAAAAACTCTACCACATAGGTAGGTTTATAGTTCGTATCACACAATGTGCGACCGCTGATTGTATTAAATTGACACAACACGAACTGTAAAATACTATTGTTCTCGCCAAATACTGTACCACATAGGTTGATTTATAGTTCGTATCACACAATGTGCGACCGATGATTGTATTAACACAACACGAACTTGTGTGAGGTTTCTTGCACTTCCACTTCAGTTCAAGAATTGCACTGCAACCGTCCAAAGCAAAGGCAGACACCACAAACGCTGTAATCGCAGCGGGCACTTATAGCAGTGTCAGTGACTCACGCGCACGCGACACAATGATAAAAATTGGCAAAAAAAATGGCTTTCGCACACCCGTACTCAATACGCATGTTGTACTTCGGAAATGTAAAAAGAAAAAAAAATGGCGAATGGGACGTTCTTGCGAGTTGCGTTGCACGTCACAGCTTGGGCACCCCAAAATCAGCCCACACTTCCAAACTTTTCGAAGGACCATTCAATGTGGCGGTCGCTGGGTTTGCAGTAAATGAAGCCACACTGGATATTTTTGATGAACTGTATTTCTTTAATGTAATTTTAACAAGTGTAGTACAGTGGCCACTTCGGCGACGCACAAAACGTAACTGAACTCATTCCAGTCACTTAATCCATTCATTCTTATGTATGTTTTATACACACGCCGACCAACTTTTATGTGTGCAACAACAGACTTATACCCCAAAAAAAAATAGACCGTCGACACGAGTTTATCAAGAAAAACTCATTGAAAATTTACTCAAACATTATTTAAATAAAACGGTGTAGTACAAGCACTCACCCGGTCGATGCATGACGTATTGCAGTGGCGCGGCGCCACGCAGCCAACGCGGCGCTTACATCATTGAACTCGTCGAGCTGCGTTGCGCCCAACAACTCGTACGCGTCTGCCATACGCGCCGCCGGGTAGAAAACGCGCGAACACAGAAGCGACACCACCTGCGCAACCGGTGATACACTCGCGTCATCACGGCTTCTTCAAGTAGGGCTGTACTATAATTTTACCGGCCTTTATCGCTTTATCACTCATATCACAAAATGATATTCTATGTAAAAAGAAAAATCGCGCGAACACAGAAGCGACACCACCTGCGCAACCGATGATACGCTCGCATCATCACGGCTTCTTCAAGTAGGACTATACTATAATTTTACCGGTCCTTATCGCTTTATCACTCATATCAGGCCGCGTCTATCTGTAAGATACCTTATTTTTTTTTTGTTTTCTTCGTTTGTTAATTTTAAAATTTAATTGTGGAACGTAAAGAATTATGCCAGGATGCTTCAAATGACATGCCAATCATAGAACAACACAGCCGGCTAGGAGGGGAGTTGGCATTCATAGCGTTCCCCTCTGTCGATTTTCCCCCGCTGTTGGGCCAGCTTCAAAACAAAACCAAGTTGCGCTCGGATATTTCACTAGACTGAGTTAAGTCGCGCGAGTGTATGTTAGAAATCAAAAATGACCAAATGTTATGTAATTTGCTGTAAAACATATCTGGAATATTAAACTTACAAAAGGATGATGGTTAATTTCACATATAAGTAGAATTATTAAGTTATTATTTCTATTTAACCACTTTTAAACACAAAATTCATATAATTTTCTTAGAATTAAATTGTCGGACTTGTACGAGAAAACAATTGCCAGTACAAATATGTCAATAAAAATCTTAAGTTTCATCTATTGGTATTAGTACAGTCAATCTGTCGAAAAAAATATCGTTTCAGTGAAAAAAAAACCTAAAGGGTAAGTCTTGTTTTTTCTGTTGCCAAATGACGTCAGTAAGCCACCTTGGCGATGGGCATGTTCAACTCGTAGGCGTTTTTTGAAAAACTCAAAAAAACCCTCAAAAATTTTTTGAAACGCATTTTTCTTGTTTTGTATGCATTTGAGAAACTTTTTTTTCGGCCATAATTGTAGAGGGCGTTGAGTGCTATAATTTATGTCATTGTTGCAATCTCGTACAACAAAAAATGCGCATTGTAGGTGGCGCTAAAGTCTCAAAAAAGTGTTTTTTCACTTTTTCACCCTGAAAATATCATTTTAATGGAAAACTTCAAATGGCAAAGTTGTTTCGTACATAATTACCAACAACTTTTGTATAAACATTTTTTTTGTATTACTTACCGTTTTCAAGTTATAAATTGCGCTGGTATGAAAAATCCAATAGAGCGGTTTTGGGCAGTTCAAGTACACATTTGCAGTGCACATTTCAATGTACGTTTTACTATTTTTTGTTTTTTTTCATGATTAAAAAACAAAAAAAAATAAAAAAAAATAGCTTTATTTTTATTTTTTTTCATGATTGAAAAAAAAATAGTAATACGATAGAGATAGCTCGGTATTTATACAAATAAAAATTTTATATTTTATCCGAATATCCCTTCTTCCTTAAGCTTTTATTAATGTTCTTCTGAAAGCATAACACACGCAAAGACAACACAGGTTTAAATTATTACTATATAAAGTGTAGGTAATTTAAACGGTAGAGAAAAAAAAGGTTTAGTTATATTTAGAGGGGATAATAACGTTATAGTTTTATATTATATTTTTTAATATATTTACATAAACAATAAAAGCCAGGCTTGTCACAAACTGTTAAAATAGTGTTAAGATTAACGGGACGTTGAGTTTTGGGCGGAAGTAGGGGATATAGAGACGGTTGTTTCTGACAGTTAAAGAAAATGTGGTCTGTGGTGCCTTCTTCAAGACCGCATTCGCAGATAGAGTTATCTAAAATTCTTATCTTTGAGAGAAACACTGGAGAAGTGACATGGCCAAGACGGAGACGACTAATTGTTGAAATAACTCGTCGGGGAAAGTCGCGAAATTTGGCGAACCACGGTTTTCTCGGTATTGTTACCTGGAGGCAGCCATAATGGCGGCCTATAATTTTAGAGTTGCGGCTCCATCTCGTCTCCCATTCAGACTGAAGGTCAGTTTTAGCTAATTGAAGAACATCTGTAGAGTAGTTTTGTAGACGGGAAGGGTTACCCGAATTTGTAGCGTCTTTAGCCCAAGTGTCAGCAATTTCATTGTCACCAATTCCACTATGTCCTGGGATCCATGCTAACGTCAATATTTTGAGAACAACATTCTAAAAGGGCTTTTTTGATGTCTAAAGTTATGCAGGATAGAGATTTTGATTTGAACGGATTACTTAACAGTGCTTCCAGACAGCTTTTAGAGTCAGTAAATTTAATACATTTGTTAAGCCCATGCGAGAGAATAAAGTTAATGGCTTCCAGAATGACTACCGCTTCTCCAGAGAATATTGATGACTCTATTGGACATTTAAAATTCAGAACTATGTTGAACTTAGGGATCCATACTACCACCTGAACAGATTTTAGAGGCATCTGTGAATATGTAAAGCCAGTTTGCCCACTCTTTGTTGATAGTATTTAAGAATTCTATATGTGCTATGAAGAATGGAAAGAATTCTATATGGACTGTGTTTTTCTAAGCAAAAGTTAAGGAGTATATTAGGGACTAGAATAAATCGACACCTCCTACGTATAATATCGTAAGTGTATTTGATCAACTTTACAGTACAGCAATTTTAAGATTCGCATGCACATTATTGGTTCCCACGAAGACAGGTATTCTTGTACGAGAATCAAAATTGGCATACGCCTATATATTTATAATTGATGAAACGTACATTGAAATGTGCACTGCAAATGTGTACTTGAACTGCCCAAAACCGCTCTATTGGATTTTTCATACCTGCGCAATTTATATCTTGAAAACGGTAAGTAATACAAAAAAATTGTTTATACAAAAGTTGTTGGTAATTATGTACGAAATAACTTTGCCATTTGAAGTTTTCCATTAAAATGATATTTTCAGGGTGAAAAAGTGAAAAAACACTTTTTTGAGACTTCAGCGCCACCTACAATGCGAATTTTTTGTTGTACGAGATTGCAACAATGACATAAATTGTAGTACTCAACGCCCTGTACAATTATGGTCGAAAAAAAAGTTTCTAAAATGCATACAAAACAAGAAAAATGCGCTTCAAAAAATTTTTGACGGTTTTTTTGAGTTTTTCAAAAAACGCCTACGAGTTGAACATGCCCATCGCCAAGGTGGCTTACTGACGTCATTTGGCAACAGAAAAAACAAGACTTACCCTTTAGGTTTTTTTTTCACCACTCAACCTACAGATTGACTGTACTGTATGTCCGATCGAGCGCTGTCATTTTTTATGTGTAAGTGTCGAAATTACAATAACGTTTTTGCGAAAGTATCTTGGACTGCATTTGTGTGCATAATCCTCCCCCGCAAAAAGGAGCAGAATGATTTCAGTAGTATTGTCATTATGGCTACTCCCCTCCTAGCCGCGTCGGCTGTGTTGCTCTATGATGCCAATACATCGTAAATTAATAATACAACTTTCTTGTAATATTCATTGAAGTAAAAAAAAATTTTTTTACTTCAATGAATATTACAAGCCCGTTTTTTTGCAAAAGACTTTATTTCGATCTATGTATGTACGTTTAGTGTAGAAAGTGTATGGTGTTAACCTGCGCGGCCCCTTTGAGACAGGCGGTCCGCAAAGCATCGTCGCCGGCGCGTGAAGTGAGATGCGGGTCAGCGCCGTGCTCCAATAGGAGTCGCGCCGTTTCCACGCGATGTTCTTGGATAGCATAGTGGAGGGCTGTCTTACGCTGCATATCTGCCGCATCCACCTATATATATATACACCTTATGTTTTTTACTCTACCTCACCAGAGGCCGAAGTACGAGTTTTTGACAGTTCCGTGACATATCGCATCGACAATGTTACTATGAAAACTAAGCAGTGCAGTGCTATCGGACGTAAGAAGAAACTTGCTTTTTCCATACAAAATTTGACGATTACGATACGTTACGGAGCTGTCAAAACTCGTGCTTGGGCCTCAGAACCCTGATTCTGTTAATGTAAATGCAAAAATGTCTTGGCAATAACAAAGACCTATCTCGACACTAGATCACGATATACAGGAGAAGTCTTTAAACTTTTATTTTAATTTTTGAAACAACATTAAATGAGTCATTGTATCGATTAGAATTAGCAGAATTAAGAGATCCAGGCCAAACAGCCCAAAACAGAAAACTACCTCTGAACATTATAAAACACTTTTTAAAAGAACAACACTCTTTTTGCTAGATTGATCAAAATTCAATATTCTCATGTATTCATCTGTTTGCTTCATTGTAACGTCTCATTAAAATACATTTTTAAAAATAAAATTTTCGGTTACTATCATAGACAAAACTCATAATAAAGTCCTCAATAATATCGAGGAGCTCGATGGCGCAAGCGCGTTGAGTCTACGATCGTGGAAGTTAAGCAACTTTTGTTGAATGACCAAAAAGTTACTATCTCGAGCTTCTCCATGCTTCGGAAGGCACGTTAAGCCATCGGTCCAGCTGCATCTGCAGTCGTTAGCACGAACCTATAGTACCCGCGTGATGGGTCATGACTCGCACTGCCTATTCCATCCATAGAGAAGACCTGTGCCCTAGTAGTGGGGACGACCATAAATATTAGGTGATGGTCTATTCCATTAAGATCACCAAGGTGATCGTTGGCGGCTATTTAGTGTCCCTTGTATCCCAGGTGATTATATTCGCGGGTGATCAAAGGAAACTAAGAAGTCGCCAATGATGACTCACACGATATCACCCAGGTGATAATAGTGGAAAAGACTCATTAATAGGCCGATGATGACCAATAAAGTCCTCACCTTGGCGCCCTTCTCGAGCAGGAAAGTGCAGAGGCGCACGGATTGCACGGAGTTGATGAGGCAGGTACCGCCGTTGTGGTTGGGGCGATGGATGTCGGCGCCGCGTTGCACTAAAAAGCGCACCACGTCCAGATGCGTCATGAAGCAGGCCGAGCGCACGGGCGTGGAGCCGCTGTCACTGCACGCGTCAACGTCAGCGCCCGCGTCTGCTAACACTCGTAGCGCGTCTAGCCGCCCCTCCACTGCGGCACACCTAGCCCCACATTGCCAACATTAGACATTTTACTTGTTTATAATATTTTATGCTCTGGCACACCATTTCCTCATGTTCTTTCTCTCTCTGTCTCTCTCTCTCTCTCTCTCTCTCTTTGATGGCACCAGCGATGCAACTAATTGCAAATAGCAGGTTTTAATTATAACTGACAACAAAACACCCTGTTCACATTGCCGTTTATTTGGGCGTTTTTATACCCGTCCATATGCGTCACTGCACGCGTCTGCTAACACACGGAGCGCGTCCAGTCGCCCCTCCACTGCGTCACACCTAACCTTGCGTTGACAATCCATACTGTTAACTTTTGATAATTAAACCGCTGAACGAATTAAATGAAATTTGGTATATAGTTTGAGTACCGGGAAAGGATAGTTTTTATTTCAGAAATCATGTTTTAAGGGGATCAAAAATAGGGTGTTATTTCCACATTCACTGTATGAAGGAGATTTTGCCACGTAGACTAAGTTTCGGGCACCCACTTGTATTGAATATGTAGCGGCGACATGTACATGCCCCACATATAATCAACATGGAGCAAATAGTCACTCGCCTCCTCAAGCGATGGCACTACCGGCGCTGCGATCACAATGTATGGAAGCCTACATCGTGTAAGAGAAATTCGGAGGCTAACGCTCCATATATACAATGCACGACCAACATCAGTCGGGCCGCGGCCCCCGAGCTACCATCATCCAGCTCGGAGGAAGATCTTCCCCTTTGGCCTTCCTACAAATATTTAAACAGTGGAACATATCGTCACCAGCTATATTACCAGCCAAATACGATCCGAAAAACCTTCAAAAGAGCGTTCTCCTTCCGTAAAGCCCGGCATCGCCTTTGTGATACTTCTGATGTTGCAAATGTGTATGGGCGTCAGTGATCACTTACCATCAGGTAAACAAGGGTGGACGCATCGATAAAAAGCACAAGTGTATTGCACCTGCCCATAGTCTATTAAAATCATAGCCATAGAAAGCAAATAAGTGTGAGATATACAAAATGATCGGGAGGTCCATAGTATTATCTAGGTATTGGCTGACTTTTCTCTCTTTCTAGAAAGCTGTCAAGTTCATGCGATTGGCGCAGTGCAGAACTCTTCAACATCTACGTTAACACGCTTGTCTCTACAGGACATAGCTATGCGACACATTACCCCGTCATCGGCACTTACCAGAGCGGCGTAACGGAGTGTACGGAGCGGTCGTCGGCCACCTCGTAGACGCCGCGTTGTTCAAGCTCGGCGCAACACACGTGCACCAGGTACTCTACCAGCTCTACGTTACCGCGCTTGCACGCGACAAACAGCGGCGCGCAGCCTTCCTGCGTGCGGCAAACCACAGCTCGTCGCTCCGACGGACACATCCTGAACACGACAGTGTATTGGTCGCTACATACATCTTCAATAAAATCATAGACAAACGCAGCTTCCGCAGTTTTCATCCCTCTAGGCCATTTTTCAAACAATAATTGGTCATTCTAAAGCTAATATGTTGTAATACTTGTTGCTACAATCTTAATTCTAAACTTAAAATTTTGACGTACTTCATAACAATATACTTTCCTGTTAACACATATATTTTAACTTTTATTTCGTATTCCACTACACTCCAGCTCTATACCATCTTATTTTACCACATAATATTTGTTAAGTTTAGGTCACAGCACTAACTTAACCACACCCTCTGAATGTTGGTCAAACGTTCATTAGTCTGTAGTTTATATGGTGTGATTTATAAAATCCAACCATCATTTGATATCCAACTGGGTAGGCTAGATGGATTATTAGTAGGTATGGTTAATGCATGCAGGCCAAAATCTGTTTATTTTACACATTTCCAGTAGACTAGCAGGTACTCTGTACAATCCCTAGGAATTGTAAACATTAACCTAGGCAAAGTATAAAATAATAATATTTAATATATTTCAAATATTGCCAGATGCCCTATACCTTGCCTAGGTATTGTATAGGATACCTGAATTATACAGATTGTGGGTGACATATACATTAGCTGTAAGATTGAAATCTATAAATAAATATTGTAACGTCGTATTTACGCCGTCATATACATAAATAAATATTATATAGTTTGACATCCGTCACTCAAGAATTTTCCCTATTTTTAATAAATAAAACACATCTTTAAAAAAAATGGCTTAATTTTATATAACATTAAAATAAATAAATAATAATTGTCGTTCTAAATTTAAGTAAACTTTTGTAATTTATGGTTTGTCCATGCCCAAATTTAAATTTTAATACGTCAACACTGAGACTCGCGGCGTTTTTCGAAGTGCGACCTGGCAACATTACTTTTCGATTCATTGCCGAGACGAACGGTCATCTTTTTGAAATGTGAAATATAAAAATTAAATTTAACTTTTTTTTTCAAAAATGCGCCCATCGCATTAATTTAAATTAATATAGGTGCCAATGGCCCTTTAATAAAACCTTTTAAGAGCTGCGATTGCAGGTAAGACGAACGATTAAGATTGTGATATATAACTCGCCATGTTGCCTGGTCTCACAAAAGTCTCTTTTGTTTCAGCTTTTTATTCTTCTTTATCTTCTTTATGATTTCTTTTATTTTGCTATCTTTTCCCTTCATTTGAATGGAATCATTAACCAGTATAATGGACCAACCGTAAAGGTGAAATAAATCAAATACTTAATGTACCAAGAGGTCTGGATTCCAAACTGGTATGTACATATACAATAAATAGTTGAAGAGGAAAAGACCTTATTATTCAAACCCTAGTCAAAACTGGCCTTGAGATTAAAAGCACGATGTTCCCGTAAGTTATCCCGGACACCTGGAGATGTTACCAGCTTCCCGGCGCCCGTTACAATTCTCATTTTAATTGGAAGCTGAGACACTAAATCGGCTACCATCAACCGGCCATCACCTCCAGCCTTTTTTTCTTTTTTTGATTTAACTAGTTAATTAATTTTAGGATCAGGTAAATTCCAACAACCCCTTTTTTCTTTTTTTTACCTTACAATATGAAAAGGAAATGCCAGATGTTCTATAGAGGTTTAACCCACCCGATAAAATTGGTGTACACGAATGCGATAAATGACATTTGACAGCTTTAACATCAGGAATCAAAATAGTAAAGTTGTAAATTCTCTAGAAGCTGTGGTTATTGAATAATACACTTACAAAGCGTACAATTATCATACGTTGCAAGCTGCAATTTGAGCTGAAAATTGGAATTGCTATGAATTATTAATTAGGTGTTTTCATAACTTTAATGAATAGGTACTTTCTAGGTACCTATTCGTCTGTTTTTAATTGCTATCAGTCTTTAATTCCCGAGTTTATTCGTTACAGGCAAACATTCAAATCGTTCTCTTCATAGTTTAAATAATTGTAATAATAACGAATATGAAATATATATATTCGCTACATGAGACATATTTTATACATACAAGCTACAATGTGTCCCTTTTTTAGAATCGTCTAGGTCTAGCAAAACATACAAACATATTACTGCTGCAGGTGGTAGCTAAAAGGACAATTAAGTTAAATATTTATGTTTCAATAAAATGTTTAAATATGAGAATGCACTTCATTATATCTTCTTAAATTATCAATCAAACCTGTTGTAATAATATCCATGAATTCAACAGTGTCCATATTGTAGTGCCTTTGTATTCTATCGACACATAAATAACAAAATTTATGCATCGCAACGTGGTTCCAAATCACAAACAATAAATCGGTATCCTAAAAACAAAGCCACAGGGCCGTGTATAAGGCGTGATCGAGTCCATAGTTAAAAGCAAGTCTCAATTATTTTCCAAAACAGCCGATTCGTCTTCCTTTCGTTTCGTTCGTCGCACCGCACCACAGTCATAAGAAAAGGAAATGTCAAACAAAAGGATATAAATCCAGAATAACGTTTAGTTTCACAGAGGTACTACCACTTAATAATGTGTATACACAAAAAATAAAAGGTACTAGAATAGGCTTGTGTCAACTAGCAATACATCAAATGGGTTACAGTTTCTAAATATGAATTATAATATACAGATAACAAAAAATAAAGCTATTTATTATAATAATTAAAGATTATTATTATTTTTAGAAAATAAATTTGAATAAAATAGGCATTTGATCATGTGACGGCAAACACCAATCAGAAAGACTGACGTTAAAACCTCTTTAGCATGCTAGAAGAAGATAGGACTCCAATGGAACAAGACATTCACAAGTCTTTTGGTAATGTTCAAGACAATGAATGCATTGATGTACCATATCAATCACTTATTGGTGCATTAAACTTTCTGTCAACGAACACGCATCCCAATATAGCTATAGCAGTTAGCATTTTGGGACAGTACAATAATTGCTACAAGGCTGTTCACTGGAAAGCCGCAAAGCGAGTACTTCATTATCTAAAGTATTTGAAGTGTATAAGTCTAGAAATTCGGAAATCTGCTGAGTTCAATGTATCTGGATTTGTTGATGCAGATTGGGGCAGTGACTGAAAAGATAGAAAGTCTTTTAGCGGTTTCTTATTTAAAATTGGTACTTCCGTTGTTTCATGGGAATGTCATAAGCAAAGGTGTGTTTTGTTATCGTCAACCGAACCTGAGTATGTCGCCCTATCGGAGGCTTGCAAAGAAGCTGTATTTTTGTCTCGTTTGGTTAGTAATGTTCTTTTGCGAGATGTATGTGTGGTTAACATAGGCACAGATAACCAGAGTGCTATCAAGCTGGCACAGAATCTAATCGCTCACCGTCGGACCAAACACATTGACATAAGAATGCATTTTGTAAGAGAATGTATAGAACTTGGTCTAGTCAAGCTAACATATATTCCCACTGATGATATGTTGGCTGATATACTGACAAAGCCATTAGGCAATGTAAAATTTACTAAGTTTTTAGAATCTTTACTGTGTAATTTGAGGGGTGGTGTTGATAAAACCTCTTTAGCATTCTGCTAGAAGTAGGTATATTAAATTACAAGAAAGTCTAATGTCTTTCGTTTCCTAGGATACTATCATAAATAAACATTGTGATAAGTCATCTTATATTACAAATATACAATTAAAGTTATTTACAACACCCTATCCACTGTTATTACTAATATTATTAAGTAACTGCAAGCCACTCAATAAACATTTTTATATTCACACGAAATTACCAAACACAAAATGTTTATTGTTTGCCAGTGAGCAATTCCTTTGTCTCTCTATATCTGAAAATTATCATAAGTTCATCAGTAAATTATATCTTGAATGAAAACTGTTTCAAACAAAAAAGACCATAAAAATCAGTTCTTAAAATGTAAGTTAGCCTCACTAAAATTTGTACTTTTCCTTAATTCACGATAGCAGGAGCTACATAATTTTCAAATAGCATAAACTTGGTTACTTAATCCTGGCGTAGCATTAACGTTAAAGAGAAAGGTAAGCACAGTACTTAATTATGTTCATTCATAATGCACCCGAGAACCGTTACATCAGAAGTACCTTTCCAGGGAAGTCCGCAAACGTGCAGAAAGTCGAGCTCCAGGGGCGCTGTGCTTGCATTCTCGCATCAAATCGTTGAATACAACTTCGTGGAGCTTCGACATCTCTGAATACTTGGTGGGAGTTTTGCTGTTACTGGATATGCCGCCTGGACAAGCTCCTCCCTCTTCCCACATTATCAATAAGAAAAATCTTTGTTAGATCAGACTCTTCACTCACTTTATTCAGAAAAATCACACAAAGAACAAAAATATTGACAAAAATAAGTATCACAAACTGTCAAATCAAATTGACATGACGGGCTCCGTCAGAATATGATTCTGATTTCTGACTATGGTCTATGGGTGCGGCCAGAGTGCACTCAGATTCAGACTCAGATTCAGATTTCGAAAACAAGCGCTTCTTTATTTCTCGCGCTTGTTTTCAGAATCTGAATCTGAATCTGAATCTGAGTGCACTCTGGCCGCACCCTATGGTCAGAAATAGCAGGACTACGTTGAAACTGTAACCCCCTTATTATTTATTAAACGAAGACTACGCTTGGATTAGTTACTCCATGTTTTGTCTCTTTCTATTGAATGACAAATGGCATTTGAGTGACTTGAACAAAACATGGCGTAACTAGTCATAAGCTTACTCCTTGTTTATTAAAAGGGGGTAAAAGTTCATATTGAACGACTTTAAGGGTTTCGCAGACAGAGGCGACCTGCGCCAGTGGCTAGCCCTTATTGGTCGATCGTCTTTGAAAAGCGAATATAACTGGCCGCCACCCTGGCATTAACCGCAGGCCGCGTCAGTCTGTGACTCTGTGTCGGCTCTTCACCTGACAATTCGTGTTTAACATTTGTAAACTTAACATCATTGGTTGCTTTCCAATTACAGCATTATTGCGCATTATGGTTGAGTGTTCCAACTACAGCAACGCTTCGCACAATTGAGCACTCTCAAAAGTGATGCTTTCGTGTGATGCGTGCAATCGTACCAACTTAGAGACAGAAAATTAACAAGTGTTTTTTCTTTAAGTTGGCATTGATCGAAATGTTTTATTTATATGTTATCGTTAGTAATATTATTTATTGATGAAAAATTATTAAAGCTTTCGTTTCATTAAATAGTTTTTTTTGTATAATCAAAGTTCATTCAAACTGTTAAAAAATAAATATAAGTATGGATGAAGGTACAAACATTGACTTTTTTTTCAACACTGAACTTAGCGCACTCTGCTGGTGCATTTGAAAACTAATTCACGTTCCAATTAAGCATCAGCATAATTGGGCATTGTGCGGCACTGAGTCGCATTATGCTCTGTAATTGGAAAGCATACATTAGTTGCTTTCCAATTCTCTGTATTTTTTTCATTTCATTCAAACTGTGTTAAATATTAAATATAAATATGGATGAAGGTACAAACATTGACTTTTTTTTCATCATTGAACTTAGCGCACTCTGCTGGTGCATTTGAAAACTAATTCACGTTCCAATTAAGCATCAACATAATTCGGCACTGAGTCGCATTATACTCTGTAATTGGAAAACCACCAACATGTCCTTTTGTCCGTTTGCTTAAGCAGCATGATAAGGACAGACTGTTGTCAAGTTTACTAATAGTAACTACGAATAGCCAACTTTAGCCAAGTGAAGTGCCGGCATGAGACACCAAAGTTGATAAAAGTTTTGTCAGAGCGCGGGTTTATTTAAAAGTTAAGCCTCCTTAGCTCAATTAGCTTCATTATGGCCAGGGCAGGGAGCCATTCGCCTAACGGAAATGCTTTGGAAAACGCTAACGCTTTCGCCTTTATTTTGTTATTTCTAACCGCCGAAGGTTTTCAAATACCTCACGTTATTTTTTTTTAATATTGTTATTACCAATGCAAGAGAAAAAAAAGAGCGCGAAGCATTTGAAAACCAGAGGCGGCAAGAAATAACAAAATGAAATCGTAAGCGTTAGCTTTTTCCAAAGCATTTCCGTTAGACGAATGGCCCCCAGTCGACAATGGTGTTAAATTTGCAAACAAGACAACACAGTATAATGTCATTCCCTATACAAAATAAAAAGGAGAGACTGATGTTACATAGTTAAATTTAGTTTTAAGTTGAGAGTACCATGTTGGAATCGACAGCAATATTGGATGCGTTATTGCGATATTTCATCATACTTCTATTGTGTCAGTATTATCAACACCGCCTCAACGCCACGCGCGCCGCCACCCAAATCAAGGAAAAGCGCCCTCGAAGCACCGACCGAGAAGACCACCGCCACTCTACCACTCACCGCAGCGGCCACACAAGACTACGCTCCGACTCATGAAGCAATGCAGCAGCTCTTACAAATTGGACAACTATCCGACTTCGTTACGAAGTTCGGGTACCTAGTCCAAAATGACACGATGTCGAACTACCCCCGCACAACGGTACTCCCCCCTCTCGCTAAGTTCGTCGCCCGCTCGCTGGTCACTCACTGGGTCTCCCTCACGGGTCTCACGCGGTGGACTTGGCCGCGCCGAGGGCGCCGCGATGAAGACGCGGAGAGGGGGGATGGCCCCAACAACCAGCCCGTTCGTTAACGGGATGGGCATTCGACTCCTCGGAAAAGACTCCCCGCACTCCACGGCGCCTTCGGCTCCAGCAACGCACGAGATGAAGATAAGTGTTCGGAACGACCAAGTTACGGACCCTCTGTCAAATCAACTGTCACTCCTTTGAGTATTTAAAAAACTCTTGGTTTGAGTACAAATTGCTAATCTGGCATTTCATTTTCAAAAATCAATGACCAAGGATGTAACAAAATTTTATTTTTAGAGCATAAAACTTTTAATATTTATCTGTATTGTAGAGTCGTCAGGATTTATTACATACGGTCCGTTAGGTACCGTTAGGTCCATGGTTAAGTCTTTCTTGATAGAACTTCTTTCTCTTCTTTAACTTCCTTGCCAATAACATTCTTGGAACATTAATAACATTCATTCATTTCATTTTTGTCATTGGAAAAAATCTGAAACCTACGCTCAATTTGACATTTGTTGCCCCTGCAGCGTAGGTTTGGAACGTACCTCTAAACAAAACAAAAACAAACGGAAACAGAACAGCCACAGAATAAAAAAAAAAAGCGTAGCTCTGCGGCAAATTTACTAATTTATTAATTTTATCCTATCATTTATGTATTAAATATAGTATTTTATTTCAATATTAGGTAACAATAATTCAAATAAAACAGAGTTTCACTTTACCACTATGGGCGACGAAGAAAATGACGAGGAACTGCCGTCGATTTCTATGAATTCGTCAGTCAGAAATTCGGCAAGTTTTAATTTATTTTATAGTCATCAATATTTAGATCGACTGTATTGCACAAACTGAAGATCTCTTTGGTACAAACAGATTTTGTAATGGTACCCATACGATACAGAACAACAACTAACGAACTAGAACCAGCCCGTTGGAAAAATCTAACAACAAATAAATAATATAAAGTACAAACAATGAAAATGCGCCCTTCCGACTTGGATAAACAAAAAAATAAGTACTTACCTGAAGGAAATACCTAAGTACAACTTACTAGAATGCTTGAATGAAATATTTTTCAAATGTAACAGTGTTAATAACTACTTACATAAATTAAATTACTTAATATATTTTCATTAAATTACTTGTTAAATTTCTTTTTGAATATTAATAGTATCTTATACTTTAAAACAATGTAAGTGACTTCAAAACACTAACTCAAAAGTAATGTTAAAGTACTAACATTTATTTTGATGACAGTTCCAACATTTTTATTTTTATCTACCTACCAGTTTTTAGTTTTACAAATATGATTATGGTGGCAATGTTTTTTTTAAAGTAGGTTAACTGTCTAAAATGGCATTAACACTACCCAATTTTAAGGCACTCTTACCCTGACTAAAGGTGGTGTAATATGAGTTAGGGATCTGATCTAGGGGGCTTGGTGCGACTGATCTCCCTTACGCTCTGACAATTGGGTAGTGAAAAGCTGTTACTCAGTAAGGGAGCTCAGTCAAAGCTCTGAGAGCATATTATAGTATGGATGTTTTTGTAGTCGAATTAGTTTATTGGTGTAGTAATGGCCTCTAATAAAGAGAAAGAAGTGTTACTTGATTTAATTGAGATCTATCTATATAGTTTTTTTGGCAAAAAGAAGTCAAAAACTATTTAAACAAGACACATATTTAAATAATCAGGGCAAAATAGTAATTAATCCTCAAAAATACAATTGGTAACCTTTAGCAATTATTTCTATTTTTAGAAAACTAAAAAAAAACAATCATTTACATTTTTCCCTTTAAATAAAGAGAAAAGTGCCAAAGGACTTAGAGAAGTTTATAAAAATTTAATCATAATGCATCCGGTGCCATAACGAGGACATTCAACTGAGACAACATTTATTCTCAGACTGATTTAGGGTCCGATAGATAGGGTGGTGTAACTTCACTAGCTAATCTAATAATTGTTAAGGAAATCATATATTTTTTTTTATCATTATATGCAATGAGGATCTTTACTAAGTCAGTAAATCATCTCAAAATCGACAGTATAATGATCTAATAAATATAGATTCTTATTAATATACTTTTTAAATCATCGAAATTGGTTCATTCGTTGCGAGTTTACAACTAATTTTATAGTAGCCAATATTAACCGGCAGCCAAAACGTGTCACGTCACAGAGCTCGATTGTGGTTCGCTCCGGTCGAACTTTAGTAGCGTCTCTACGCACGCTTGCGCCTAGGCACTAGAGCTCGGTAACGTCACAGTTACCACGCAGCGAGCCGAAAATTTGTTTAGTAATTTGGTCATAACTTCGTCAATATTTGTCATAGAAGATCCTCATTAAAGTTATTAAATTCCAAAAAACTGTATACAGTCACTTTTTGAAGCAGATTATTTGATTAATCTATGTTTTCAAATTACTTGGAGTAATAAGTTCCTTTTTTATATATTTTTGTGTAATGGCTTGTAATTATTAAATAGTATTTTCACTTTATAAGCAATGGACTTTACTACCATTAGCATCAGATGGGGTAGAGTCATTTGCCTACCTAAATGATTTACTTATTAACATTATTGGAACTTTCACTTCAGTTTTTAGATCTACTTCCTATCGTCGGCAGTGGGACCTGTGGGACTTCCTGAGTGTGTGTGTGTGAGTGTGTTATAATAACGAGAGTCATTTCAGACATAAGAAATAAATATAGGCAACTGCCGTAAGTTCAATTTTGGAATGAGTAACTGAGGCTTCACTAATAGGCTATTAAATTTGGTTAGGTAGGGCGGGCAACTCGAGCAGTGAAGGTCAGCATTGATGCGCATCTCAAAGGAGGCCTCCTTAAACCCACACCAGAGTCTCAAGTACCGGGAATTTGCTCGGAGTTTCTCTCTCTGCCACACAATGGACCCAGCACTCGCACGGTGATTGAATGAAGGATTGCTATGAACTTAGTCTCACAAGGGGTTTGTAATATCAGGACGTGCTGTCGATGCCGTCGGCGGAGCTGCTGGCGACACAGCGCGCGCGCGAGGAGGCATGCGAGCAGGAGCTGATGACGCTGCGAGCACACCACGATGTGGCCGCGCTCACTGACTCCAGCGGGTCAGAAGGAGAGGTAACCAACCAATTTTTTAACATCAACTCTTCATATTAAATGCAGCCTCTTAATGACCGACCACACGCTGCAGGCAAAACCGAGCAATCCAAATTTGCGCAGTCCTATGTTAAGCATGTCAACAATTGAGCAAACTGCGTTTCTGGGCCTACACGGGCTACCGTCTTGCCCTCCATAGGCCCATAGTTTGCACAGGCAAGACGGAGCGTGTAGCCCAGCCATTAATTAGTGAAACTGAATGTTAATAAATAAAAGTTTTATGATGACATAAGGCTATATGATGATATTAAAAAATCTGTATGTACCTAGATAGTTAGATTAACAATTGGAGCAGGTAGTTGACACTGCTGTAGAGAAATAGAGAAATATATCCTTGGACCCCAAGGATATATTTCTCTATTTATTATTTTTAATTATTTATTATTAATTATTTTCTATCAGACAGGACTTGGTTTGTCGGTTCTGCGATCTTTAAATAGACTGAGGTTGTATAGGAACTCTCTACTACTTTTTTTCTTAGTAATCAGAAGCCCTATACTTTTGTGACGCTGTAGCTATATTTCTTTATAACAGTTGATGAAAATATGACAAGTGAACAAAATAATGTATAGTTCTATTTTTGGATCAGGCAGTGCCAGATTTAGAGTTGAATATAGTGCGAAGTAGCCCCCTCTCACGTCTCCTGCACCCCATTAAATGGCCTGCGTGTAGACGGGCGAGTTTGATGAAAATGTATGATGGACAATTCTTCGGAACTATCCTAGTCCATAAGAATCATTCATTTTCATACACCTTAGTTAATGCGACTAATATTCTTCTCGGAAAGGCAACCTATACCTACACACTCGCTTGAGTTTAGACGGTAATATTTTAAATTTAACGGTAGTAAACGAAACGATCAGCAGCAAACAGCCATCTACCTATTACATGTTGAGTCCGCGGTTTGCAGTCTGTTAGCTTAACGTGTGCACCTTAAACCGGCACTACACTTGGCTATTCGTATGTGCTATTTGTAAACTTGACAACAGTCTATCCTTTTAATTCCCTATAATCTCTATAGACAAGGACAACCTGTAGTCAAAAAGACACATAACAAATGCAAACAGCCAAGTGAAGTGCTGCCGACAAGAAGCAACATTGTCTACGCAGGCCGCTCTAGCGGCGGCGGTGGGGGCTCTTGTGATGGCGGGTGGGGCCAGCCTGTCGCCCGGCACGTCCCCTCTGCCGGGGCTGCTGGCGCGGCTCGCTCCCGCGCACGCGTCCGCTCTGCTACAAGCCACGCCCGACACGCTGGAAACGCTCACCGATGAAGTGAGTTTGTTCGTATTCTAGTTGCTACCAACGAGTGATGCTGCGTGCGTATTCGCACGCTATTGCGCGTTCCAGGGTACACTTAGTCACAGAACCGAATTTAAGGCAGGGCAGGCGGATCTGTGGCCCACAACAAATATAAAATAACTAAATTGCGACGAGTCACCAACCAGGGGGAGAAGGGGGGGGGGGGGGGGAGTTTGCCTCAAAATCCGGCCCTGCCTAGTAATGTGCATACTTATCATAGTTGTTCGTAGAGGGTGCCCGTAGTTACAAGTATTTAGATGGCGTTCCAGGATACGCGTAACCGACTACGCGTATCCTGGAGGGCGTTATCCGTACTCAGCTTTCAAGCTATTCCTTAAAGGCCGGCATCGCATTTATGATACTCCTGGTGTTGTAGGTGTCTATGGGTGACAGTGATCACTTACCATCAGGTGAGCCGTAAGCTCGTATGCTCTGTAATATTAATAAAAATGTGTGCGTGTACTAGTGTACACACGTAAGAAGTGAAACTTCTTTATGGCCTTATTTTTTTCGAAAAATGATCTACATGCAACTTTCCAGAAATATATATATATAGGCGTGCGCTAAGATTTTTCAAAAACTCACCCACTAAAGGGGTATAACTACACCTTACCTTACCTTATCTTACCTTACCTTACCTTACCTTACCTTACCTTACCTTACCTTACCTTACCTTACCTTACCTTACCTTACCTTACCTTACCTTGTGTGAAACACGAATATTTGCTGTCGATACTTTTTTTTTTATAAGTTGACAGAAGAAGCAATTGTTCGGATGAGGTAAATAGTGCTCTTTTAAAAAAAAGATGGCGCGTAACCAAACAACGTGACGCGTAACCGAAAAAAATGTGACGGTAAATTTTTTTCTAACGCCGATAAAGAAGTTTCACTTCAAAAATAAGTTTGAAATAAATGTTAGCAAAATAACGTTAGTGCAACATCGGTCGACTGTATCTAGCACAGAGAAACCTAAATAATAAATTATTTGTTACCCATCCCATGACCGGCCAATGCAAAAGTCGCTTAACTTCCATGATCTCAGACCAAACGCGCTAGCCACCGGTGTCGTCACGTTCCTCATTATTTATACTTTAATCTAGATGAATAGGTCTAAGGCTTCAAATATACGGTTCTATATGAAGCCTTAGACATATACGACATGATTACGACTGCCGCCGACGAGTCGTTAGCCGTAAACTCGTAGAAGGCAGCCGTCGAGCAGATGTTGACGTGACGACGGCTGCCATGCCGTCCATGGCTGCCGATTAGCGGTAGCGGTGGTCGTCCCCACATTGACGTCAGAGATCAACGGCTGCAGTTGCGCTGCCGTCGTCTTGCGTGCTACTCGTATATACGAAGCCTTAGGCGATTCATATCCCGCACCCTGCCGATTCACCGCCCCACAGTCCCACACTACACTGCGTAGTTCGGGGGTGCGTGTTCTTATCTTACGCTGCTTGCAAATATCTCTCTTTGTCTTGAAACAAGCGTAGTGCTGAAAACGTATTTATGCACAGTATTCAGTATTGCAGATCACGCGCCTACATGCATAGAAACACAATCTGCACGATGATGCAGATATGCACTCCCGCAATCATGCGCGTCGCTCTGTGAGAATCGCCTTATTATGTAAACTAGCGGCGGCCGGCGACTTCGTAAGGGTGGAGTTAGTTAGAAATAAAGGTTCACTGCTCGTTTCCCGTAGGTGATAGCGTGATAATATGTAGCCTATATATTGATCCGCCTTCTTAATAATATTCGTGCCAAATTTGTATAGTGTATCCATGCAGTACTTTTTAAGTTTATCCCGGACATACATACAGACAAAAATTCTAAAAACTTTATTTTTGGCTTCGGTATCGAATGTAGATCACACCCCAAGTATTCTTTTCAAAAACTATTCAATGTACAGTTTTGACTTTCCTTCCACTTTATTATATGTATAGATGATGTTTTAAATATAGGAATGATTCGTAGGTGTGTGGCGCGGTGGAGTCGGAATGCCTACACTCGGAGCAGGAGGTGGTATTCGCGGGTGCGTGGTTGTGTGTGCGGGGCGCGGGGGCGGGGAGGAGGATCCGCCGCGCCCTACACCGCTTGCTGGAGTCCCACGCATTCCACCACCTGAGCGAGGTATGGCGATTGTCGAAGCCAGTTTATACGGGGACCACTATGACGTTTTTAGGGTTCCGTACCTCAAAAGTAAAAAACCGGAACTGTCTACGAACGTGTACTGTCTCTTGCAGCTGTGAAAAAATCAAACTTTTAAGCCAAAGCAAAAGATACAGCCGTTTATGCCGCTAATTTCGAAACTCGCACGGGAATCAAAACCTACAGGGTACTTCCCGGGAACTTAGAATCTTGAAATTTGGTATGAAGTAACGTCTTATAATACAGATAAAGGGAAAATTGCGAGAAGCGTAAATTTTTAGATACATCATATAACAAAATTTAAGAATATTGATTAAATTCGTAGCACTTTATTTTAATAAATAAAAATAGTTTCAAGTATATTTTACTAACTTTATTTTATGTTCTACTGTGCAGACTTCGTTTGAATCGCTAAGTCGCGCGTTGTTAGAGACGCGCGAGCCATCGTTTCTGCGCGCCGAAATGGCAGACGTGCTGTCTGCTGCGGCGGGGGAGGGGGAGAGGATAGAGAAGGATGGGGATGAGGGAGAGGGTATGGAGATAGAGAGAGAGGGACAGAGTAGCGGCGGACAGCGCTGCGCCACGCTGATTCTCCGGTTACTGGCCGACACAGTAAGCCAGCTGCTTGGACACGAGGCACCGCAGGTAAGTGAAGATAACGCGGAAGAATCCCTAAACGGGGATCCCGCGGCTTCGCACTAAGCAGCTTAGAGGGTATTCGCAGGGTTTTTAGCGGATATTATGCCGTAAAGCGCCCGTAAGAGTTACGGGGTCCTCAGTGGACAGCCACTGCGGGGGCCCGTAAAGCTTGCGGGAGCCAGGTGTGAGGTCCGTTCGGCGGTGTGCCTCTTAAAGGCGCTGTCGTCTGTAAACAGAGGTTTTGCATACGGAAAATCAAAGGTCAGTGAAGATAAGTCATCATCAACCTATTAATGTCCCAACTGCAGTTGAACAGGTCTTCCTTTAGGATAGAATAGGGAGATTGGTCCATGACCCACCACGTCTACCTAATGCGGATTAGTGGGTACTGTAACGTCCGTGACGTTGCAGCCTCCTTGTTTAAGTAAACTCTTTGCTTTTGCAATGCCTACGGTTGGCAGTTATATTAAAAAGTTAATATCATGATTTTAAGATTTGAAATAAGGAATCGTCTGTCCTTTGATAGAAGGTTCCATTCAAGAGTAGATCTTCAGGCACCAAGCAAACCTCTCGTATTTAGATAAAATTCTTTATATTCGCCTGAAATATAATATAAAATAATAACCATCGTCAAGTTGTTTTAATGAAGAGCCACGTCCCCAGGTTCTATCCATTCTGGTATAGAGCTCCATATGGTGGACGCGCCGCGTAGATTCAAGTACCGCGAGTGAAGAATATTTTTAAATCAAGAAAGAAGTAGTTTTATAAAGATGGAGACCAGGACCACATTCGACGGAAAAGGTGGTGTAACCGATTTCTTTCGTCAATTTAATATCATCGCCGCCATCAATAATTTCAACGATGATACAAAAAGAGTTGTGTTGTCGGCATATTTAAGTGGACCTGCATTGTTATTCTATAAAAAAATTAATGAGTCTTGTGAGAATTTTCAGATTCTAGAAAAGAAGATTTGTGAAGAATTTCCAGCATCGATAAATGCGTTGGAAAAATTTTTCTCACTAAGACAAGGCTTGTCAGAAGAGCCATTGACCTTTTTTTATGTATTAGATGAGCTGGCCACAAAAGCGGGAGCTGTCATCGATGACAAATGCTTCATTAGACAGTTCTTGAAAAATGCGAATTTAAATACGAAAAATCTTTTCGCTTTTCAATTATACGATAATAAAGTGCATTTAAAGGAAGTTTTACGACAAGCGCAGGACATTTTCGGGGATGAAAATGACGAAGTTAATTGGAATCTGCCGATCCAACCATCGTTTGCTCACTTCGAGGCGACGAAAATTTATCATATAATAAGGAATGAAGAGGAACAGGAGAAGGAGATCAACCTCATTTCCTCCCAAAGTGTCCCTTCTCATCCCATTGTCCCTCCCGAACATTTGATTCCCCGCACTTTTTATTCCAGCAACATGAACAAAAAGAAAAAACTAAAGAAGAAAGCATCCAAAGAAAATTTTTTATGAAGAAAATTTAATGACGATGGCTGATAAAGAAGTTCAACATTCACAGCCGTTACAAAACTGCAATCAATATACAAGTGAGTCCAAACCATTAATTAATATAACGTGTCGTGATAAGGAGTTTGTAGGGCTCATTGATAGTGGTGCTGCAGTGTCTGTGGTGTCGAAGGACACAGTTAATAGAATTCATCAACGAATTGATGAAAGCGATACGAAGTTGAAAGCCGTCGATGGTAAAGAATTGTCAGTTATAGGGAAAGTCAACCTAAAATTATTGATAGACAATGCGTTATTCATTCATGATTTTCTTGTGGTAGAAAATATTAGGCATAACCTCATCTTAGGGCAGGATTTCTTACTTCGAAATAATGCGATAGTAGACTTTTATAATGAACAATTAATAATCAAACATATTAAATGCAAGTTTAAAAGACAATATACACCAAAGAATAATGAAAGGAATAGTGATAATTCGGTGTATGATGAAAATTTATATTATGCCGAATAGGTTGATAGTACAATAATAATAATGTGTTACTAATGTGATTTTATTTCAGTTTATTGTTTATATGAATATTTTAAAGCAATGGTGGTATGTAAATAAGGTTCAATACAATAGTCATTTTAGAAATTTATTTCAAAAACATATTAAATATAACTTTGTCATTTTATTAGATTTTTTTTTAATATACATATTATAAGGAACTTTTACACATTTTGTTTATGACAGATTAATAGTTAGTTTCATTAAAGTATTTTCATTTCTTTTAATTGTTAGCTTTAGTGTAATTTGTTGAGTAGGTGGATTATTGATATGGTAATAACCATAAGAATGATAGGTAACAGGTCCGATTCTCTGTTCAACTTGGAATTATTCAATTGATTTTGAATATGATCATTGATAGGATTAATTCAGCATTAGGATAGAATATATATAGTTAATAATGTATAATAGGATCATATAGGTCCATAAAGAAAATTCCCTTATTATAAAAAAGGAAACGGGTTCGATTCCCTGTAAGGTTAAAAAATAAATAAATGAATAATAATGTTATATTTTGAAAATTTACCCAACTATGAAAAGATGGTATAAAGACTTATCATAATCTTAATGTTTTCTTGAATATTAGCTTACCCGACTGAAGAAAAATGGTGTAAAGAATTTTACTAATATTTTCTTGATTGTTTTATGTACTACCACATGATGCGGACTTCCCGAGAGAGAGCAGGCTGGCGCTCATGCAGACGTCAGCGATACTGACGATGATCCACCTTGAAGATGATGAAGACACCCTCTACAATTCGCGTCGTTTCGTTTCAATTTGGTCGGGTCGCGTTCGTCGAAATCGTCACTTGTAGTAGATTGACTTGGGGGTAGGGAACCCTTAGTATTCCATGGGAATCGGGTTTAATCTTGTTTGATGCTAGATGTCCTTACCCAAAATTTCTATTACGTTTGCGCATCATGGGTGTCTAATAAAGTACAAGACAATAAAGTGGTGGACCACGTCTGTATCTTTATTAAAGATGTACGAAAGTAAACATTAATTATTAATTCTTTTAGTTTTTGCTCAAATCCAGTTAGTGTTTACGAATCTTAGGAAATAGTTTGAATTTCGTTTCGTACATCTACTTAGTATGGGAAGTAATGAAGTTTCAAAATATAAATTTTCTTGATATTTAATGGTTTAATAAATGGGATAGGGTAAAGTTTTGCTGATAGATGGGATAAAATAAAAATAGCTTGGGTAATTTAAGGAATAGTTAGGGATAGCTTTGTTTTTTTGTTTTTGCCGACTGATGTCGATGTAAAGTAAAGTTAAGGTTAGGGGAGAGATGTACGAGGGATTTTGTTAAGGTTTTGCTCCCGTAAAGTCTTTGCAATAAAACTTTGCAAACAGTTAGGGTTCTTTTCCCGTAAAGTTTTTTTTGCAAGTTTTGCAAACTTATTGTGAGGGCTAGTCTGTAGTAAAGGTCACCTCCCAGTTGTATTTATGTCCTTAAGCAGGTAGGGATTTTAGATAGGACTGTCGAACCCTCTCGATGTAGTAGGTAGGAAAAAAATTTTTGTTCGGTCATCTAGTATGACAAAACAATTTTTTTTTAGAGGTGCCGGAGGGATGTAACGTCCGTGACGTTGCAGCCTCCTTGTTTAGGTAAACTCTTTGCTTTTGCAATGCCTACGGTTGGCAGTTATATTAAAAAGTTAATATCATGATTTTAAGATTTGAAATAAGGAATCGTCTGTCTTTTGATAGAAGGTTCCATTCAAGAGTAGATCTTCAGGCACCAAGCAAACCTCTCGTATTTAGATAAAATTCTTTATATTCGCCTGAAATATAATATAAAATAATAACCATCGTCAAGTTGTTTTAATGAAGAGCCACGTCCCCAGGTTCTATCCATTCTGGTATAGAGCTCCATACACCTGCAAATGCAGCGGGGACCAACAGTATAATGTGATTTCCGAAGGACGGAGGAGCTTCTCCTCCTCTTCAATTCGATTACTATTGCGAAATTCCACCACAAACCACTTGAACCATCGAGCCCCTCAAAGTGGGGGATACACTAAGAAACAAATCATCACTACATACACTATATAGTGTAGTGTATGAATTTAGACTTGTACCGTTACGTAAACATAACGATTGAACCCTCCAGTAGCTCCTATTCAAAAGACTGGCAATTTGGACCGGACCAAAAGTCATGGCCGTTTGTTAAAATTTTGTTTTTGCTGCCCTAGACGTTCGGTCCTACATAGATGAGATAGGTATAGTGGGAGTACTTATCTACGTGCAACGTTGCTCCCCATATCTTATTCTGTCGCGCTCGAGTAAATCCAAAAATCCCCGCTTGGGCTCTCCTACTAATATGTTTGTTGTTTATCTTTTAATATGTAGGGCGCGGAGGTATCGAGTTGCCTGTGCTATTGGGCGTGCGACGCGGTGATTGGTCGATGGCGCGCGGTAGGTGCGTTGCGGGCGGCAGAGTGCGTGCGCCCGCTGGGCCGCTTACTGCGCCGTTGTCCGCGCCCCGCCCGCTGCCGCTCTCCGCGCGCCCGCCTGCTGCGCCACTGCGCCGCGCCCGCGCACCACGCGCACGCGCCCCACACGCTTGAGGTACATCCGCATCGACACGGTGATTGGTCGATGGCGCGCGGTGGGGGCGGCACGGGCGGCTCAGTGCGTGCGCCCACTGGGCCGCTTACTGCACCGCTGTCCTAGCCCCGCCCGCTGGCGCTCGCCGTGCGCCCGCCTGTTGCGCCACTATGCTGCGCCCGCGCACCACGCGCACGCGCCCCACACGGTCGAGATACGTCCACACTATATTATGGCCGTTTCGACATATTGCAATAGTGACGCGAAAAGTCAACATGTTGTCGAAAAAAATCAAATAGGAGTCATATTTTTGTAATTTTCTACCAATATTGCAAAAAGTTGCTGATTATAAAGATTGAATTAAACGAAGAAATACATTTTTACTCGACAACAAACATCCGCCCGACAGGCATACATCGGCTTTCGCTTTGAAGGACTCTTCAACTTCAAGCACGTAGCCGGCATAGTTAAGGTAGCCTGTGTCAGCAGGCGGAAGTATTTGTGTCTCCGTCAGGAACAACAATGCTAGCCGTGCTGCCTCAAGATGATGGTGGACAGCGTTGAGGTTAGAGTGGAGTCCGCGTATGTTGCAGAACTCGACCTCAAACAGCGTTGAAGGCTTGGGGGTGTGCACCGCTGTACGTCCAGACTTTGTTATAGAGGCTGCCATGGTTGAAGTGAAAAAAAGAGACACGAAAACGGCACGACGGTCCACCCCGAGATTATGCGTGACATGATGGGGCAGCCTCGCGCACTGGTTAGAAACGATCGGGCCCCTGTACTGTGCCACGGGCGGCCAGCAGGACAGCCGTTTCTACGGGTCTCCCTGGCCGGCGGGTCGATGCAGTCCTTCCGGCATCGGTTCGACGGATTTCTCTCCTGGACCGTATCCTTCGCGATAATCTCCACTCGAGCTCTGGTTGTCGCTGGCTGACCCCGAAACGCGCGAGAAGCACTTCACAGGTTTTTCACCATGCGCACGGTGGTAACAAACCAGGCGGGTGTTAGGCACCCTGCCACCAGAAGAGCGGATGGAAGCTCCGATATCCCTTAGTCGCTTCTTACGACACCCACGCACGGTGGAATATGGTAGAACAAACGCATATCAAAATTGATTTTTATAACTGATTGAAATTGGGTAATATATGAATATAATTTAATAGTTCAAAAGTCGAAGTTTAATATTCTGCAGCGTAATTCATATTTTATTTCGTAAAAGTATTTTTTTTCATGTAGCAAAGTTAAATGTTTAGGCAGCTGGGAAATATTAAGTTCTTCATTTACGTTTTTCAACGTGAAATAGTTTTAAAACTTGATATGAAAAGTATAAGGTATTATATATTTTTGAAAAGCACATTTATCAGAGGTTAGAAATAAATACAATTGATTGTTTTTAATACGAATATAAATTTAAAAACCAATTTTAAGAAAAAATGGAGAAATATTTTTTTTTCCTCAACTTCGTCCAATCTTTTAACATTTAGAGTTGTTTAACGATGCTTTGAATTTAATGTTAAATTATAGGTTAGTTACTCATCTAAAACATATAAAAAAATTAGCTGCGGCTCTTTGCGGTTTTCGGAGATATGTGAAAAAATCGAATACTAGTCTGGGAACGGAAATCGCTATCAAATGCGGTTTCGTAGTTTACTTTTATTATCAATAGTTTGTGGTACATTTTATGAATTAATTATGTGATATTGTTATGTAGGTTTTATCATTTCGATGTCATTTTCCGTGAGAAAATAGATATCTGAAATAATTCCCACATTCTGAAACAATATAAAAAGGGCAGTGAAAAAATATGTCTCCATTACCGTTTCAGTGGTCTTTACGTCTACGTACTCTAGTAGGTACGGTTATTTCATTATTCAAAATGTCTACTTTTAACTGTACTAAACGTGAGTTAATAGTGTCTTATATAGAAGGCGGAAAAACGACTGCGGCACTTTCAACATATTTGGATGGAAAACAAATTTCGGATGTCAATATATGTTTTATTATTGACTATATTCAAAGGGATGTCATCCCTTCGTTTAATAAACGCTGGAGTGAAGAAGGACGCAATAAAAATACCTTTTTAAGAAATAACACCACACCAATTGGTTGGATTCTGAATATTCGTTAACTATACCAACATCAGAAAACGTGTCAACAGACTCTACACCGTCTACTTCTTCTGGTAAACGAGGAAGACCGTGTGTGTCATATGGAGACTCTTCAGAATCAAGCAAAAAAAGAAAAAAACACCATTTTGCTAAATGAATATGGTTTGGAGCACATTCTAAGCGCATATCTTCAAGGATAATTTTGCAGGCTTTGTCATCTGGTATAGTGGTAGATAGTAAGAAATTTGGTAATTATGCTCTGGAAACTGCAAGAATATACGTGAGTAAATATAGTTGGTATTACATGCCATCATCTGTCCACAAAATTTTAATTCACGGAGAGAGTATCATAAACCATTTCGCGGTATTACCAATTGGGCAACTTTCAGAAGATGCTCAAGAATCTCGCAATAAGGACTATAAAAAAATTCGCTTACACCATGATCTGGAAATGCTCTCGAATAGCTACAAACGAAGATGTGTTTAATACACTACTTTACACTTCAGATCCATATATAACGAGCATAAGAAAACCATATGCAAAAAATGTAAAGGAGCTCGATGAAGATAGTTTACACCTTCTCAAGGTTAATGAACTTATTTCAGATCCTGAAGCTCACCGGGTGTAAGATGTCAATCTTGCTGAGCAAAAAAAAAGAAATATATATTGAGATAATTTTGATTTGTTTCTGTATGTTAGCATAGTGTTAAAAATATTTTACCATTTTTAATTTTATATTATCAATATAATATGATAGTTATCTTAATAGAGTAATTAGCATTAAGACATAGACGTACAATATGTTTCTAAAAAATATTTCAATAAATAAATAATACTAATAATACTATTTTAAATCATTTTGTGACTTTTCTTTTTTAATTAAAAAAAATACGCATAATTCCAATTCGTCAAACATTACTTATATGAATCCTTATGTATCACTTTATATTATAGCAAAATTTTATAAGTCTATCTTTCAAATTGACGGAGTTACAGATTTTTAATCCGAAACACATCGAAATATTCCACAGTGCCACGGGAAGAGAAGGGGCAGTGAGTTGTATTCTTTCTCCGTCACCGCGCGGATAGATATATAGTAGTATAGTATGACAAAAACGTCTACTTTAAAATACTTTGATTTCTAAAACATTACATAATGTTTGCTGGGGTGCCGTGCCGAGTGGTCGTGGCGCCCGGCTCCGCATCACGTGTACTATAAACCTACAAAATATCGTGTTTATTGACGAATCAAAATACTCCCGGATAAATTTATTGGATGCATTAGCTTACCACCATTTGTGAAGATATCCGCACCTCCTATCTGTCTTCTACTACATTACAGGGGACCCTCAACAGATGGGAGATCATGTCAAAACTATGCATATCACTGCGAAATTGATATTCAGACCACTTGTTAACGCCATCTATCCTTCGAAGAGAGAAGCTGCAATCGGTCCATCATCATCGTCCAATCATACATTCATTTCGTACCAAGTGGAAGTCCGCTGCTCCTGATCTTCGTGAAAATATGTTGGTGTTGATAAAGGAGGACAATTTACCACCATTGAGATGGCGGCTTGGCAGAATCGTGAGAGTCTACCCTGGCACAGACGACATATCTCGAGCGGCTGAAATACGGACGGCAGCAGGAAATATACAAAGGACATTTTCGAAGCTTTGTCCTCCATAGGTCGCTGGTTCATATCCGGCTCGAAGGACCAAATGTTCGATAGCTTAGTGACTTCTATATGTGGATTTCGTAGAATATTATTCTTAGTAAAATACAGATCTTATTAAAATTATGTGCGTACGTTGTCTTTTTGAATTCGAAACAAGAGGGAGAGAGAATCTATATAAATCAAAATGAGTGAATGTAGTAAAGAATGGGTACGAAATGAATGTATGATTGGACGATGATCATGGACCGATTGCAGCTTCTCTCTTCGAAGGATAGATGGCGTTAACACCACTGACATTCGAATACTTTGCAACAAAATTTCTAGCATGCATTCGAATGTGTCTCTGAATGATTTGAAATTCATAACTGGTCCCGGAAGGTGAGGGCGCTTTAATCGGGTTCTTAAAATTTTCCATATTTTTAATGGGCAAAACAATATATAAATTGCACATACCATACAAAATTCCATTATAAAATAACACTTAAGGCGTATTTACATTTGGTAGTTAGCCCGTATTCGGGTGCACGAAAGATATTACTCGAATTCGGACACCCGATGCAATATTTACACTGGAATACGGGCTGAAAGACGGTGTCGGGTAACCAAAACGAAAACTGTCCACGCCAGCAAAGAATATGCCCCCGCGACTGGAATCCACTGACACTTAAAATCAAAGGGGTTGGGTAATCTTTATTAAATTTTACAGAATATTTCAGTTATCTTCAACATATTAATATCCTCATATACGGGCTACAGACCTTCTCCATAGATAAATGGAATAGGTAGAACCGTTCATGACTCCCGCGTAGACCTAGTATAGATTATAGGATACTAACGACTGTAAATCTGCAGTTTCCGAAGCACTGAGGAGCTCAAGATACTAAAATTTTTGTTCACCCATCCTGTGACCGGTTATTGTGGAAGTATAGGATGTCACTAACATTTTTTTCTTTATCTATCAGGTAGATTATCAAAAAGTACTGGACAAGAAAGAATAAGTGTCCATTATCCTACTGATATTATAAATGTGAAAGTTTGTATGTTTGTTACTCTATCACTGAACTGATTTGGATGAAATTTGGTGCACATAAGAGTTTATGACCTGGATTGAGACATAGGATACTTTTATCCCGAGAAAGTATCAGGTTCCTGAAGGATTTTTAAATAAATAATCTCAACGCGGAAGTCGCGGGTGGCCGTTATTCTTTTGATAAATCTTACTGACGGATCAAATAGAATTTCGTTGAATATACCCCGTCGTCATCATCCCTATTACCTTTCTTGATTGATGACCGAAGGCGCTAACCACTGCGCCATCGAGCTTTTCTTACCTCAATATTCAGGTCAATATTATAGGTCGTGCGGTACAGATAAATATATATTTTGTTTATTTCACAGATGTTGGTGAACGCGCGGAAACTTCAGTTGCTCATTCGGGAGTGATGATTGCAGAACCACATTTTCATTGACTTGGAGGCCTCTTAGTATAAGTATATTAATTCTCTCAACCTAAAAATAATTTGACAGCAGTATATTTTATTAAATTTTTACTTTTTTTACACAATGCAAAGGAGAAGAGAGAGTGCCGTCAATTTTAGTTCTAAGTTTATTAAGAAAAATCACCACAAATGAAAAATGTATATAGGTAGGTTAATTAAAAATATACTGATATAATGTTACAAAAGTTTTATTATATTTTTATCAAAATATAAAAATTGCTACAAAATATTTTTGTTTACAATTATTTAGTAACTTTGGAATTCCTACTTTTAATTATTCGATATAATACCTTTACTTATTCTCACTAAACCACTGATTTTCAGTTTCTGAAGTAATTAAAAAAGGAAGACATAATTATTACTATTACATAATTATTTAATAATATATCACACTTTATTGCATTTTAACGCTATTTTTAATATCAAGATTAAAAGGCAATTCTTAGAAACACTCAATCTTAAATTTTTTCATGTCTCTGGATTTGGCGGCATGAGTGTCAACTACAACTTTTGTATTACTCAACTTATTCTAAAAAGATATTCATATTCAGTGTTTTTAAAATAAAAATTAACTTAAAATTAATAATGCGCGATATGGTAACGATACAGAATTCTTATTTCAAATAAGTCATTTTGCTCCCACAGCAATGTCGCAACAAGATCTTTTTGAGGTTACCTATTACAACTTGTCAGATAAATAATTTAAATAATAATTTCTAAAAATATTTTTAGAAATAAAGTTGTCGGCCTAAATTAGCACTACAAATTTATTTAAGAACCAGCTCTTACAGGCGTACTCACAGACCTCAAATAGATTTATTTGTCATTTATAGTCACGTACTGTGTTTTTCTATTATTACAGCTAAGAATTTTTTTCTAACTTAAAAGTTAATTGACGTGTCTGAGTACGGCCGTAAGATCAACCAATACAAAATAGGGTGACCAATTAACATTAAGCTGTGCTGCTGCGCTTTGTGTTGTGGGGTGTGGCTAGCTACAGTGCTGTCGCTTAAAAAAATGTTAAAGTTCTGATTTTCTAGGATAGCGGTCGGTGCCGTCATATTGCGGCCGTAATACAACATTAAATAACGTCACTAGAACGTTGTCTGTGTAAACAAAGTGGCGCGTTTTTTTAGAAAGCGGTAATAAATTCTTCTTTCGCCCGTATATCTTCTTAGTCTGTAATGTTACGTCCGCTATATAACGTCACCGTATTTCTAAAAAACCACAGCTTAACAGTATAAAGTATACTGTCAATATAGTAAAAATAAACTGTACCTTGTCTACGTAAGGTCTACTTGTCCCAAACATTCTTTCAGCGGCTGCACTTTAAACACAACAGGTCATTGTTAGTAACTTTTCGAGGGTAAAGAATTAGTATTGAATCTGTCATATTGGTTCGTATAAGTATACACATACATATTATATAAGTATATATAAGTGTACACATACTAGGTAGTGTCACCAAGCAGAGAGGCGGCTCACAACAAAGCTCAGTCATTTCTGTCATGCACAACATAGACGTTTAATTTACATACAATCTACTTTCAAGCGGAATTTATTCGTGATACGTGTTGTCAAAATGAATAGCCGTATGTTTAACAGATTTTTTACGTGGATGGCGAGAGCCGTCTTTCTACTAGCTACAGTGCGACAATAACCTTTAACAATGTAAAATCTCAATGACACGGGGCGAGTTCGCAAAAAGTAGCTTGTAAACTCGCCCCGTATCATCGAGTAGCAATTTACAAGCTGCTAGTAAACTCGCTGGCTTATAGCTTGTAAACTGTGTTAATTTTCTGTCTCTGAGTTGGTACGATTGCACGCATCACACGAAAGCATTACTTTTGAGAGTGCTCGATTGTGCGAAGCGTTGCTGTAGTTGAAACACTCAACGTTAAGCATTATGCCGCATAATGAGCTATAATGCTGTAATTGGAAAGCTACCGTAGTATAGTATCTGTCGTATTGGTAGGTAGACCTATATTGGGTGATATGTTCAGGCATATGTATGCAGGGTAGGCACGGAGAAGTGCGCCAGTTGCAGCGTGATGGCACTTCCGCACACTTTGCGGTGATACCAACCGCGCGCCTCCCATCTACACACAACATTTATATTATAATATATACTTTGTAACACATTCATCGGCCCACTTAGTTTTAGTTTCAACTGTCCGTAGCAAAAATATAGGATAGGATGAAACACCTTTTTAAAAACACGAAAAAGATTGATAAATCAGCTTCAAAACTGCATAAAAACTTTTAGCTCGATGTAACATTTATTTTAGCTAAGGACTGTCAAAACTTTAAAAATGCAAGGTGGGCCGATATATGTGTTCGGAAGTATATTTCACTATCAACATCAGCCTATTAATATCCCCAGTGCAGGGGCACAGGCCTTTCCTATGAATGGAACAGGGAGTTTGGGCCATCACCAACACGGGCTCTGTGCGGATTGATGCGTGCTAACGACTGCAGATACAACCGAGACCAACGGCTTGACATGCCCTCCGAAACAAAGGAGATCTTATACGATCGCTGACCGAAAGTGCTAATCACCTGCACTATCGAGCTACTAAATATAGCTATAAAAAGACAGGCTAGTCATAGTATACATAAAAGAGGGCAAGAGGGTTCAGCCTCCCAAAAACAGAGGGGGTCTAAGAAGAGAAGGAGAGGATGAAGAAAACTAAGCTGATTCGCCAATAACGTATTTGACAAGTTTTAGAAAACGATAGATTATGATGATTTATGTTCCACTGTGCCCCTTGTAACACTGTCCCCCCACTTGAGCCTATCCATATCGATGTACCGACACTGACCCGTCGCGATGCAGCAGGTGTCGCGCGCCCTCCTGCAGCTCTCCTAGCACGCACTGCAGCGAGTGCAGGCCGCGCCTCGCCCATTAGCGCCCGCAATACGCCGCCTCTACGCCAGCTGTAACACCGATGTACTGACACTGACCCGTAGCGAAGCAGCAGGTGTCGCGCGCCCTCCTCCAGCTCTCCTAGCACGCACTGCAGCGAGTGCAGACCGCGCCCCGCCCACTAGCTCCCGCAATACGTCGCCTCTATGCCAGCTGTAATTCCGCGATGTACCGACACTGACCGGTCGCGATGCAGTAGGTGTCGCGCGCCCTCCTGCAGCTCTTCTAGCACGCACTGCAGCGAGTGCAGACCGCGCCCCGCCCACTAGCGCCTGCAATACGCCGCCTCTATGCCAGCTGTAACACCGCGATGTACCGACACTGACCAGTCGCGATGCAGCAGGTACCGCGCGCCCTCCTGCAGCTCTCCTAGCACGCAGCGAGTGCAGACCGCGCCCCGCCCACTAGCGCCCGCAATACGCCGCCTCTATGCCAGCTGTAACACCGCGATGTACCGACACTGACCCGTCGCGATGCAGCAGGTGTCGCGCGCCCTCCTGCAGCTCTCCTAGCACGCACTGCAGCGTGTGCAGACCGCGCCCCGCCCACTAGCACCCGCAATACGCCGCCTCTATGCCAGCTGTAACACCGCGATGTACCGACACTGACCCGTCGCGATGCAGCAGGTGTCGCGCACCCTCCTGCAGCTCTCCTAGCACGCACTGCAGCGAGTGCAGGCCACGCGCGCCCGTCCACACCCGCGCCCCGCCTACCAGCGCCCGCCCCACTCCGCGTCTACGCCAGCTATAGTAATCGTGCCTTTCTAGCTGCGTACGGATAACGCGCTCCAGGGTACAGCTCTGATTCCCTATGATAGCGGTGCCGTCATATAACAGTCATGATATTACAGGCTAACAGCTAATCTAAGTAAACGCGCTATTTGTAATGTAAGCGAGTATTGAAACACAATTGAACAATAAGGGCTGGCCGCAGCCGCAGGCCGCGTCTGTACCGTGCCATAGCCGTGACCCATATTTCAACAAACACCTTTGTAATATAGGTATTTCTGGCAGCCCTCTGTGCAGAGCCTGCCTGGAAGAAGAAGAGACGAGCGCCCATGTCCTGCTGAAGTGTAAAGGCGTTGCAAGACAGAGACAGTGTCTGTGGATTTCCCAGCAGGGGCCTGGAGTAACATCCGGGGACTGCTGGGCTTTCTGGAGGAGCTGGGATGGCAGGACTAATGCCATGCCTCACGCGAAACAGGCACACGGTGTCGAGTTGCGGAAACAGCCCACTACTACTAGACGTTAGTGACATCAATTACCGCTGTATTACGACCTCTACATGATGAATGATATGACGACACAGCTATCATAGGAAATCATCCATGTCGATACTCATAGCTACTTTTAGAGGGTACGCGTAGCCAATATGGCGTTCAAACCAACTACGCTTACCCTGAAAAGACGCCATCCGTACGCACCTTCATAATATAGTGCGATTCAAACTTAATGGCGGCTATGAAGTTAGTGCAAGTGGCTCCGCAGTAAACGAAATGTAGGTTGATGTAGGTGAGCCCGGAATTTCACTGAACTGAAACCTGCAAATAGTTGCGCTCGCTGCTAACTTCACAGCCGCTATATAATTATAATAGTACTATAATGTAATACCCTCGGCGCTTTTTTTTTAAAAGACGTATAATGCGTTTCAGTGGTTTCAAAAGCAAAAATAAACAAGAGAGGTAGGTCATCCTGACCCTAGAAAACTCAGTTACTTATCATACACTTCACCTCTATTAATACATCTGCTAGGTTTTTACTCTATAACTACAAATCAAAGCTTCATTTCGTTTGATTTGGCTCGAGACATTAGCTAGTAGTAAACAGTAATGACTAATTGTCTGTTTTCCAAATTATATTTCAGTCTGTCTGTGGTAAGCTGCCGCCGGTGGAGCCCCATGTGTTGGACACGCTGGCAGTGCCCACGATGCATGCCGACCGCCCCTTAGTGCAGATATAACCAGTCAATACGTGCATCAACAACACTAGACTCACTGTGGATGTACAGCGAGCGCGTGCAGCCAGCCCCCGCCTGTGGAGCCCCAGGCTTCGGACACGCTGGCAGTGCCCACGATACGAGCGGATCGCCCCTTCGTCCCGTCTCCCTCTCTCATCCCTCCTTCCAGTTCGCTCACGAGGCGAGTGCTCACGCTGGCGGGGTCGTTCACCAGCGGCCCGCGGTACTCCGCAACCAAACCCACCATCTCCTTCCGCATATTCTACAACACCATTTTACGATTCTAAAATCTGACATGCTCAAATGATTTCTAATAATGCCAATGAAATAAGTATTCTTACTTTGTTTCTGTCAATTTTCAAATTCAATATACACTTATGGCCACATCTATTGGCCCACCTTAGAGTTTAGGTTTCGATGGCCCCTACCGAAATATGATTGCTAGATTGAACAAAAACTGTTGATGCAGTTTTAAACCTGATACATTTTATCATCTTTTTCGATCGTATTGTTTTAAATTTGAATTCAGAATACCATACGACATGGAGCTACGCCTAACAAGTCGGATATGCGCCTTGTTAAAGGCAATTGATTTTTGAATAAAAAACATGTTTTATCAAATAAAGGTTTAATTTAATAACGCGTGTTGCCTCCATGGGCATCTACCACAGCTCTCATACGATTAGGCATAGAGTTTATCAACCGCTCTATGAAATTTTGAGGGATCATCTCCCATTCCTCTATGGCAGTTTTCAACTCCTGCATCGTCTGGGCAACTGGCTGACGAGCCCTAACACGTCTTTTTAGCTCGTCCCACATGTGCTCAATGGGGTTCATGTCTGGGCTTCTGGCTGGCCAGCCCATAACTGTGATGTTCACATCCCGAAGATATTCCCTGACGATGCCGGCCGCATGGGCTCTTGCATTATCATGCATAAAAAGGAAATTTGGGCCCACATAGTCCGCGTATGGTATCACGTGAGGTTCTAAGCACTCACGAATGTACCGTTCAGCATTTAATGTTGGCAGCCGTGGTCCTGTAACAACCTCAAGTTGAGTTTTGCCGCTCGCGGATATACCGCTCCAGACAGTCCATGAGCCACCACCATAAGCAACCCTCTCTTCAAAGCAGCATTGTGCGAAACTCTCTCCCTTACGTCGGTAGACCTTCTTCCTTCCATCATTGCCATGTAACACAATTTTAGACTCATCAGAAAAGAGTACACGGCTCCAATCTTGCTGTGTCCAATTTAAATGACTGCGTACGAAATGAAGGCGCGCTGTTCGGTGGGCTCGCGTTAGTTTGGGCCCATTAGCTGGCTTGTGTGGTACCATATCGCGTTCTTTTAACCTTCTCCGAATAGTTCGAGCGCTCACAGATACTCCGTGGAAGTCGCGAATTTGTTTTTGTATCTCAATGGAGGTAAGGTGACGATTTCTCAAGCTGGTCGTCACGATGAATCGATCCTGCCTTTCAGTTGTGACCCGAGATAGTGGCCTTCCTTGGCGACGAACAAAGCCGCCAGTCTCTAGGTACCTCCGATAAACATTTCGGACCGCAGATCGACTTAAATTAAGTTGAGCACTCACGTTTCTTTGGCTGTGTCCGGCCTGAATAAGTGCCACAGCTTGGGAGGCGACTTCAGGTGAAGTTTCCATAGATTATTGATAGAACCTCACCTTAATGTTAAGAATAAGTAATGTTTGTTGCAAAACCAAAGATATCAATCACTTTTTCAAGAATTAAATCCAAGTAAACCAATAAAACCAAGTTTTCTTAGTATTCGATTGTTTGATATCAACAAACAGGCTCCAAATTGACTTTTGTTTCTTTAAATTCTGTGTTCGAAATTCAATAAAAGACTATTGAATGAAATTGTGAATGTGCCAGGTTCAAAACTGCATAAAAACTTTTTGCTCGACCTAATATAAAATTTTAGTGTGTCCAGAAGTGTAGTTAATTTGGTTTTGGCTTGTAACGTATTAAAAACATCACATGAGTTTTGTTTGGTTGAAGTGAGAGGAAAAAGATAGGACGGCAGAAACAGAGTAGAGCGAGGACAGTAAGATTATAGAAATAACCACGTTAAGGGTATGTCGAAATTATACTGTTCTATAAGATTTTAAGAAAATTAGCTGTCATTTAGTCTAAATTCTAGTAAAGAAATACCATTGGCAAGTTTTGGAGATTTTAATATAAAGGACCACCCAAAGTGAGTTTGGATTTTGTTTCCGGGTCCTAAGGGTGCCATTAATAGTCGAAAGACCTTCCGGCGAGTCTATTGAGGTAGGTCTGGCGCCCGAGTACTTCATATTAAATTTATTTTGACCTATCCATATACTTTTAAAATCCATTTTTGTTGCTTCCATTTTTAAACCTTTTTTATTTTGAAGTGAAAACTTCTTTAGCGGCGTTGTATACTTTTATTGTATGGGTAAAAAATGTTAAACTCGCGTCAGGTTAAAACGAGGGCTGATCGCATCATGACACAATAAAATTGGAAAGTTTGTTAACTTTCAATATGTTGGACGAAACATAGTAATATTTTATTTTATCGTATTATAATAATACGTTTCTATCTAGATGTCGCTAGGTGCGCTTAAATGTGATTCATGTAAGTTGATTTCTTTACAATAGATGTCACTAAGTGCGCTTAAACGTGATTCATGTAAGTTGATTTTTCTGAGATAAACTTTTTTAATGTAATATAAATTGTCATGTTTGTGTACGATAGCGCAATAAATTAATATTATATTCTACCACATACATGATAGTACTTTTATACTAATAATTAAAGCAATTCGTGCAAAATTATTCCCTAACCATTCCAAAATATCAAAAATGCACAACGTTATTATTCAAGTTTTCATTTCTGCCGGCACTCCCGGAGTGCAACCCGTCGTATTTTTTATATGTCAGGTTGTTACAAGTTCTTATGACTGCCGAATAGCTACACCATGCATCGATTTGCAAACCTAGTGTGGAAGACCTTGTACTAAGAAGAAAAGCTGGCATGAAAGTCGGTAAGGCTAGTTTTAATTCTCCCTGTATCACTATTTATTTTTGGGGGTTTTAAACACTTCATTATTTAATGCACAAATAACAATAGATTACTAAATTACCTGCACATGCTTATCAGCCAGTGCGAGGTGTGATATGTAGACAGAGGTTGCAACCACGAGCGCTGCAGCGGGCAACAGCAACAGGCATCCGGTCACGGACACTCCGCAGAATATAAACAACACGGCACCCCCCAAAACACACCATTGCAATGTCAACTAAACAAGAATAAACAGAATTTTAGTAAAATGGCTAGATAAAGCACCATTTTATGTCTATTTGACAGTTCATTCCATGTTTCATGAATGAACTTACTATTTAAAATCAGGAAAAATTAATCATATTTTGAACCTTAAGTGAAACAGGCACTATAGCCATTTTAGACACCTAATTAGAACCTCTCTATATAAAGGAAAACATTATGATTGGAAATGCAGAGGTGTTATTTAAAAATAAGATAGATAGTAGTAGATAGAAAAATTAAAACTATACTCTATGATTATACTATACAAAATAATATTTCGGGTTTGGTGGTTTCGTGGCCAACAATTCATTTTTTTTATTGTTTTTGTAATAAAAAATTACAACACAGGTACAAAAAAATGGCGTTAATTTCCCAATGTATTAAATTTATTTCTGTATCTATATTTATAGTCTTTATTCAGGGAACAATTCTGTGAGCCTTTAGCAAATACCTCCTCCAACTCTTTCCCCTTTTCCCTCACCCTAGCCAGCTTTGTCCAAGTTTTCCCTGCTAACTTAGCTATGCCGTCCTTCCATCTCTTGAGTGGTTTCCCATTCCTTCTCTTTCCCTCTCTTAGGTACCATAAAGTTACTGATTGCTCCATATTTCTTTACTTCTTATCAGGCCAATAAAACATCACGAGCTTTTGTTGATTTCCTAATGGTGTTGTGTCATATTTTTTCTATTTTTCTTTTGCCTAGCACGCTTCGTTCCATTGCCAGTTGACATGTTCTAGTTTATTTTCCTGGTATTTAGTTCCCTAGTCTGAAACCCATATGTTAGAGTAGGGAGGATACAGTTGTTAAACAGCTTTACGTTAAGGGAGATGTTAATTTTGCTATCTTTCATTATTTCTTTAAAAGACCTCTTCCATGCATGTCCGACTCGGCTGTCAATCTCGTTGCGGGATATACCTTCGCTAATACAGTTTGACCATAAAGTCGGGACATTAAATGATGGCGCCACTATTATGCATGTAGCAACCCTATACAGTCGTATTTTGTTTCTGTTTTATATATAGTAGGTACTTATGCTTATAAAAAGTTTAGCCAAGCAAATTTAATTGAATCAGAATAAAAATATTATAGATAAAATAGTACTTTATCTACACTCATGTCGTAAATCCTTCATTTACTTATCAGAAACGCTAAGCAAATGATATACCTTTCGATGGAGCCGTGACTAAGGATCCATACAAATTTCATTTCGTTATTGCAAAGTTGTAACAAAATGAAGCTTTTTTTTTTAATTTTTACGCAGATGCTTGCTATTTGAGCACACTAACAGCGTGTTTCGGAACGCACGCGTATATTACTGCAAATTTATTTTCGCGCCATTAACGTTTGTATTTTTCCTTTTGCAATTTGTATAATATGTAATTCGTTATTCGTTGTAATAAGTAATTCGTTATTACAAGTTTTTTTACTAAAAACCCAGTAAAATGTCTGAAACTGATAGTGATATAGACGAAAATTTGACACCCCCGGATATTCTTGAAACAGCAACTAAAATGACAAATAATCTTCTCCCAGAAAAATCAAGGAAGATATACGAAAAAACCTATGAAGAATTCATGGATTGGAGAATGAAGAAAAACACTACATCATATTCTGAAAATGTGTATACTTGTGTATTTTCAAGAGATGTCAGAAAAACTAAAATCTCCAACTTTGTGGACTAAATTCTCAATGCTCAAAAGTACATTGGGAATTCATCACAACATTGACATGACAAAATATTCAAAGCTCAGAGGCAAAATCAGAGGGATACAAAGGGAAAAAGTCGAAAGCCTTTTCACCTGACCAGATAAAAAAGTTTATGAGCGAAGCACCCGATAAGATATATCTTTTCTCAAAGGTAGGCAGATACTGATTGTTTATTATGATTGTTTAATGTTATTGACACTACTTATCTACATAAACCTTATTTATTCATAATATTGTTACAGACTGCACTCATCTTTGGAATAATGGGTGCGTGCCGAAGACAGGAGTTATACAATCTTCAGTTTAAAGATGTACAAGTGTTTGAAACCACCATTTTAGTCAATATTTACAACACTAAAACAAAGATAAGCCGCTCTTTCTCTATAACGGGCTGTTATTACGAAGTATGTAGAAAAAAACCGGCCAAGTGCGAGTCGGACTCGCGTACCGAGGGTTCCGTACAAAAATATTCAAAAATATTTTTTATTTTATGATGTAACTAAAAATTTACGGTTTTCGCAATTTTTCCTTTATCTGTACTATAAGACGTTACTTCGTACCAAATTTCAAGATTCTAAGTTCACGGGAAGTACCCTGTAGGTTTTGATTCCCGTGCGAGTTTCGAAAATTTGCGGCATAAATGGCTGTATCTTTTGATTGCTTTGGCTTAGAAGTTTGATTTTTTCATAGCTCCAAGGGACAGTAGACCTGAGTATAAGGTATGAATTTCAGTTTGATACCTCCACGCGTTCCTGAGAAAAACGGTCTTGACAGACGGACGGACGGACAGACGGACAACAAAGTGATCCTATAAGGGTTCCGTTTTTTCCTTTTGAGGTACGGAACCCTAAAAACATAGAACTACGCCCAAATCCCTGCAGCAGCCCTTATTTTTTTCTAAACTTCCAAGCTGGAAAATGTACCACACAAAGAATCGGCATTAATAAGTATGGTTATCTTGGAAAAAATGATTGCAAATTATCTAGATCTTCCCAATCCAGAATTATTTACGGGGCACTGCTTTCGCAGGACGTCTGCGACATTGTTAGTGGACTCCGGTGGAGATATAACAACTTTAAAAAGACATGGTGGATGGAAATCTACGACTGTAGCAGAGGGATATATTGATGAGTCAATAGCCAACAAGATTCAAGTGTCGAATCAAATACTGAATTCCATCGAAAAAAATACATTGAATATAAATATCCCATCTACATCTACTATAAATGCTCGAGAGGGTCGGTTCCATCCGCAAATATAACCTTTAATAATTGTACCATACAAAATGTCAATAATTATTACAATAAACAATGATTACTTTATTTTGTCTTTAATTTAAATTTGTTGTATGAGTGTAGATAAACTATTGTATGCAACTGTACATAATTAGTATTTAACACTCGTGTATACTTTTATGAAACTCGCTTGCGCTCGTTTCATAAACCACACTCGTGTTAAATACCCCTCATTATGCAACAGTTGCATAAATAGCTATTATAGTGTAAAAGTGTGTAATGTTGGTGATTACCGCTGAGGTGCCATTGAGACCAGAGCCGTTAGGTAATCATCAATACACACAAGTATCATCATACGTTTTTTAACACACTTGTTAAGAAAATAATACTAAAAATCATTTTACAGTATATAAAAAGTTTATTTAGAGAAACAATTTGTAAATGTGCAGTTAGTAAAATTAGTGATAGGTATCTTCACTAAAAGCATCTGGCCATGGTTCTTTATGTGACCATTTCTTTCTTTGGTCGGCCTTGCCTGTTTTCCCAGGAGTTTCAAACTTTCCATCATTCTTAAAACCTTCGTTAAATATCCGACTCTCTGATTTTCCTGAAAAAAAAGTAAAAAATAATAAACGGAATAGAAACAATAACTTATTTACATGAAGAAATTAATTCAAAATTGGTAGAAAACCTGACCGAGTTGAACCATAATAACGTATCAAAAGAAATGGTCGGACTACAATATTACCTATTTACCATGTCAATTTAACCTAAAAATGTGCAATGTTAACAATGCCTTCTTTGGTCCCAAAATCGCAAATTGAGTAAATTTGTAACTTCAGGCAGATTACAAACAAATAGTTACACGATTACATACCCGTCATAGATGCTGTTCGCCCGTAAACATCATCCAAATCCCACAAAATTCGTCCAGCTTGGTAGTCTACGAAACATCGCTGGAAAACTTTAAAAATCACTTCCCGCGTGCCACTCCGATTTACTTTACTCATTTTTATACCTTTCTGCGTAGTTTCGTCTTAATTTATTACAGTTTAATCCAAACAATAAAAAAAAAATATGGGTGCGTGTACTTAAGTACGCGCGTGAGAAGTTATACTTCTTTTTGGAATTATTAAAGAATAGTTTTTAATTGCATGCAGATAATTAATTACAATAAGATAATAAAAGGATTGGAAAAGGATAGTCAACGCAGTCAATAAAGTTCAGTTTTAATTTGAAAAATTTAATAAATAGTCAAAATATTCAATTTAAATCACTACTGAATAAAATTTATTAGCACATATAAATTTCGCATTTGTATAACATTATAACACGTGTTAAGAATATAGAAACTAGAAACATGTGGATAAATATTATAAATATGAAAACAGTGATCAGAGGCGACGAACGTCCCAACATGTGCGACTAAGAGATCCTATTACTATTTTGTTGGAACCTTTTTTCGAGACTTACGAGTAATGTGCGGTTTAGCGGCCGACTTCATGGTGTTACTTTTCTGTTACAGTGTTGCGCGCGCATCTTAAAATTTCACTCTCATCATTTTTTCATAACGCGGCCGCGGCTAACTTCATTATGTTACTTTTGTGTTACAGTGCTGCGCGCGCATCTTAAAATTTCAATCTCATAATTTTTTCATAACGCGGCTAAAGAAATATAACTTCAAAAATACAAAAGGAAAACTGTTCCACAACTGAAACTCGATGATAGCTGATGTACATAAGTTTGGTGTTGCCAGACACATGAATAATGTTAGTTCCTCAAACATTCATGTCACGACTTTATAGACAAACTGTACGTGGGTAACACTGAAAATGTTTAGAACTGGCCAGTTAAAAACATTGCTTATGAAAACTTTTTTTGAATTTCCATTTTAGAACTCCACGGTAACCTAATGTAGAATATTGCATTCATTTGTCATTTGTTTTTGTGAATTGGCGGTAAATCTAAAACTCTTGTTACACGTGAAAATGAACCTAACGCGAGAAAATTTTCGGTCAATGATTTATTATGACTTTCGTTGTGGGCTTACTCAACAACAAAGCTATAGGCTATATATACGATAGGCTGCGATAAGCATTTCTAAATTCTTTAAACCTAAAGATGCCCCATCTCGTGCCACTATTTACAATTGGTTTAACGAGTTTAAGCGTGGACGTAGCAATCTCAATGATGATCCACGTGAGTGATGTCCTTTAACAGCGACTACTGAAGATAACATCAGTGCTGTGCGACGCATGATAGAGGAAGATAAGAGAGTGACCTATCAGCAGATTCGGGCAAGCCTAGGCATTGGTATGAGTCAAGTTCAAAAAATATTACACGAACATTTAGGCTAGAAACACTGCTCGACCGACGGTACGTCCTAACCGGCAACGCTGACCGTCGTTTACGAAAATGCATTCAGTGCTATGCTGACGGCGTACGACGACGCGTGTGTAAAGTTCACGGCAAAAATGAATAGGAAAATAAAATAAAGAAAGTATATGGAAGCTATAAAATACAATACAAAGTAATGAACATATAAAAAGATCAGTCAGAGTCCAGCCAGTGTATTGCCTGTTGTCTTGGAAAAAAATCGACAGCAGCACCCTCGAAGCAGGATCCTCCTTCACCACGACAATGCTTCAGCACACTCCCCAAAACGGACTGTTGAATATTTGACTATGGCCGGTGTCAAGATAATGAGTCATCCGCCATACCGTCCTGACCTAGCGCCCTGCAACTTTCTATATTCCCAAGAACTAAAGATAAAATTCGAGGTTTTACGAGCCCTGGAGATGCGGCGAAAGCGTCCGAAAATGCCATAGAAGACACCCCTAAGGAAGAATGGGCCCACTGCTTTCTCAGTGGTTCCATCGAATGCGACGATGTGTAGAGGAGAACGGAGATTACTACGAAAAACAATAAAAGTATTGGCAACATTCTACTATAAGCCGTTTTTCATTTTCTAAACATTTTCAGTGTTACCTAGGTAATGATTTGACCTAAGTATACATAGTCTTCTACATAATCTATTTTAACATTGTTTACTATGATTGTTTCTTTTTCGCGGTTAGTCATGACCTTTGTTTTGGATGCTGTAAGCATCACTTGCAGCTCCTGAGAAGATTTCGCGAGCAAGATAATGTCATCAGCGAATCTTAAGTTGATGAGGTATTCGCCATTAACTTTTAAGCTAGGTGTGTCTACTCGTAGTGTCTGAAAACGTCCTCCAGCACTGCTGTGAAGAGTTTTGGTGAGAATGGGTCTCCTTGTCTAACCCCTTTCTCTATGTTAAATAAATCTCCCTCTCTTTCTAGTTTTACTTTTGCTGTGCTGCCTGTGTATACATTCTTGATAATTCTCATGTATTTATCTTCGATTCCTTGTTTTTTTAAAGTATTCCAAATTTTATCGTGTGCGTCAAAAGCCTTACAAAAGTCTAAGTTAAACTTTAGCAAAAATTTTCTAAATATTTGAAATCAAACTTATGGATCTATAATAATTTAAGATGTTATTGAAGATCGAGTTAAGCTGTGGCACTATAACGCTTTATGTAGCTAGTAGTATTTCATTTGTTATGCGGTCAGGACCTGGTGCCTTGTCTCTATTTGTGCAGATAAGGCCCTTTTGACCTCTTCTTCTCAAAAAGGTGTTACTTTAGAGTTGTCGTCGTAGCATAGTAAACAGAGTTTCTTCGTCAACTATTGACTTGGAGTCAGGTCTTTATAAAAGTTTCACTGTTGCAATAATGGGTATATCTGGTCATTTTGTTTTTACTGGCCCATTTTTGCTTTTGATGTTCGGAATCCAATCCTACCTGTGGGTCAAACATTTTAAAGCCTTCTTAACACCTCCTGACCTAATTATTCTTGTTCTTCAAACTGTTTTTATCTATGAGCCTGTCTATCTTTCCTCAGCTTAGTTCTTATTTGCTTTGAGATGTATGTTATGCTCTGTCGTATTTCTTTAATTTTGTGATTGATATTGATAAGATTGTCCCTTTCCTTTTGTAGTTGTAAAGTTTCTTCCGATCTTACATTTTGGTTTCCTTTAGTATAAAGATCATTTTGCTTTGGTATTTCCTAGCTCATATATTTTTCTAAAATGTCGTATTTGGTTTGGACATCCAAGTAGTTCATTGATATACCGAATTTTGCAGACTTGCAAAATTCGGTATATCAATGAACTGCTGTGTTTTTCTTCTTCAGTACTTCGGACACGTGGCCCGACGAGAAACAGACAATCCTGAAAAGCTCATCGTCGTAGGTCATGTGGAAGGGAAAAGGAGCCGCGGAAGATCACCCGCCCGATGGACTGATGCGGTCAAGGAAGTCTGCCAAACTGACATTCAGACATCTATCCGGTTGGCCGAAAACCGCAACACGTGGAGGGAGCTGGTACACCGGGTGCCCTCATGCTGTCGCGACCCTCAGTCATGAGGTTACGAGGAAGAACAGAAAGAATGTTGTGTTTTTAAATATCCTGATTGTACAGCGTGCGCGTTGTATATTAAATCTCGACTTTTTTTTTGGAACCGCAATTTACAGCTCTCACGATCCTATGGTTAGTATTGAAATTAAGATTGCTGATTACTCCAGTGTTCAAGGGTTTTTTGTTGTTGCACAAAATATAATCCATTTGGTTCTTGTATTTACTATCAGGTGATATCAAGGACCATTAACTGCTTTTGTTCTTGTATAAATACTGTTTAGGACTATAAGATTATTTTGAAAGCAAAGGTTTACTAGTTTGTTCCCATTTCTGTTCCTCTTGCCTAAGGTGTAAGGACCAATAAACTTGCCTTCATTTTCTTGTGTGCTTCCTATTTGGGCGTTTAAATCCCCCATTGACTAGATTCTTATAAGCATGCCTGTGGATGGCCAAGTCAATGTCATTGTTAAATTTATTTATTATTATTATTATTAATAATGCTCCATTTGTCTTTCCTTTCAGATGTAGCTATGATTTCTTCTACAGTTTTTGAAATGTTTCTTAATAATCAAACCAACTCCCATGTCTATCTTTTGTTTCTCCTTTGTAATGAAATATGAAATCACCAAATTCTTCTATTCGCTCGCCTATTCTTATCACCTCACTCAGGCCCATGATGTCCCATTTGATATGGCTGATAGCCAGTAGTAATTCTTGCAAGTTTTTTCAGATTTTAATGTTAGTACATTAAGTGTGCAGATATAAACATGTCTGTTAGATAGTTTAAATAGGTTTTTTTGTTGGTTGGAGGGTGGTAGTCTTCCTTATCCTGGTGACTAGCCAGAGTGGAGGATGTGTATTTGTTGTAGTTGTATTATCAGTTTTCTTTTTATGTGTCTTCTGGTTGAAGGAGGTGTTTAGTTTTTTTGGAATTGATTCACTTGCTTTTTGTGTCTTAAGTGATCCCTCATGCTGTTTCTATTTATTTTCTTGGGCTCCTCTCTTGTGTCTTCTACCCTCTCTGTGTACCGATTTTTGGGTGAAACTGTATTTTCTCGCTTTTTCTTTTTTCACAGATGTTCTCATTTGGATCTATTATAATTAGTTAATCATAATAAATATTGACCTTTTTCCTTCTTTATTTCTCTTGTTGCTGTAAATCGAGTTCCTTTCTTTTATTTAGTACATCCTTTGGGAAATCTTCACTAACATAGATGCCTGGCGGAAAAACCTTTTTTTTTATTTTAAGCATTTCCGATTTGGGCCACCTAAGTGTGATAAGAATAGATCTTTCATTTTGCTTGTTGGGTTTTCCTAGTCTGCGAGCTTTGCGTATCTCCCATATAACCCATTTTTCAGAGCCAGCTTTATCACAAGCTTTATCAAATTTTTCGAAATAACAATAATAAAACCAGGGGAGTATGTACCATAGGGCCAAGAGGGCAATGTTCTAGGGTGGCTGGCTACAAGAGCCTTTGTAAATGACCTATATTTTGATTTTATTTATTTACTTATTCTAGGGTGGTGGTGGGTTACGATTCTGTACCTGAAGTGTGATAACAGGGCTGTAATATTAAACACTTTCTGCAATCTCAGAAATGATAGTTATACTGATGAAATTTTCATAAAATGTGGAACTAAATCTCCATTGCAGCTTTAACATATATTAATAATGATGATTTTTCAGAACTTGGTCTGTTCCAGAATGCGAAAACAACTCAGTTTAACAAAAAAGAATCATAGTTATCCAATTCATAGTTATTTTTCTTGCTATTACTTGGGTTTCGTTTAATTTCCTTAAGGAAAATTAAGTAATTTCATGTTGAAGCGTTAAAACTGCTTCTTTAAAGCTGCTGCTTTAAATCTTTTTCCATTATAATATCAAGTAGCATTAGCAAAAAATAAGAGGTCCTCTAACCTACTCCGTACGTTGTGTTAAAGTCGTATTAAGGATCTAAATCAAGAACCTACCTACTAACTAAAAAGGACCTTTTTTATAAACAAATACCTCCTGAAAGAAGAACAGCAGGAATGCGTCGCGTTGGTAGGAAGTGAAGCCGGACCGAACCAGCTCCACGCGAGCGGCCTCGTCTGCCGGCTGCGAGAGGCGCACCACGATCACACCAGACATGCTACATCATTTCAAACATATATAGACACAAAAATGTAATTTACTTAATTTTCCATTTTTATTTACCTACCTAAAACTTTCCGGATAAAATTATGTACTGTGCATTTTTTTATTATTATTATTATAATGGCTCGCACGGTTTGTGCATTGGCCACGACAGGGTAAAAGGTAAGGAAACCAAAATAATGAAATAAAATGGTTGTGAAACGGAATTTGGAAGGATTAGGATCAGGTAGGTACGTAAAATTAATTTGTAACGTAAGTAATAGGTCTATTTAAGTATATAAAATACATTACATTATTGGTTATAAATTAGGTATTTATAATTTTTATGTTTAGTTAGGAATTCAGATAGCTTGTTATATATATTATAATTTTTATAATACAATAAGGAAGGAATAGAAGTAGGGAGAGGTACATTAAGGGATATTAATAAATCCATAAAAGAGGCGGAATAATTGAGGGGACACTCGAAGAAGATGTGATTTAAGTCTTCTGCTCCAGTACCACAAGCACAAATATTATTATTTACTATGCCCAGTTTAGCCAGGTGGGAAGAAGAACAGTTATGACCTAGGCGCATTCTTATGAGACTTGATGTGGCAAACTTACTTAAATGAATTTTAGAAAACCATGGTTTATCGGGAATACATTGTTGAATTAATTTATAATGTTTACCTTTGATGCGACTACTAGTATCCCAATTTTCTTCCCAAGATATGCGTAGATGTACCTTGGGAAGTAAAACAAGATCATTTACTAAATTTTTATAGGGAAAGACGTCACCACAATTCACTGAATCTTTAGCGAGTTTATCAGCTACTTCATTGCCTGTGATGTTATGATGGCCAGGTATCCACGCAAAGAGCACATTTAGATTCTACAAAGTACAATTCAGTAATAATTTCCTACAATCGATCAAATAGGCGTTAGAAGAAGAAGCTTTAAAAGGAATTTTTTCTATTGCCTGTAAAGTGCTTTTGGAATCGGCGAAAATAATTGTCTTTTTGAGTTGTGCAAGCAAAATGTATTCTAATGATTTAAGGATTCCATAACTTTCTCCTGTGTATACTGAGGTTTCTGGGGGTAATTTAATTTTTTGTGTTATTTTATACTGTTGGTGGTAAACACCGATTCCAACTATCCCATTAAATGGATGTTTAGATGCGTCACAGTAAATGTAATGCCAGTCTGGCCATTCTGTATTAACAATACTTATTAGATTAATATTAGCATTTTTATCATTACGTAAAGAGTCTAAATAAATTACTTTGGGTGAAATGGTAAGAGCTTCATAATTAATAGAAAAAATGGGAAGATATTGTGATCGGTGGATGGGTGCTAGCAGTGAAATAAATTTAATGTAGCTGATTACCAAGCAAGGAAGCGACTTGTTATTCCAATATGCCGAATTATTAATTTTACGCAATATATGGTCTAACTTGTTAAAAAGAGGGTGGTCAGAAAGTTGAAGAGCTCTAAATAGGAATTTATGACATAAAAATTGTCTCCTTAGTTTTAAAGGAGGATCCACACATTCAACCTGCAGTGCATTAATAGGGCTTGACTTCACGGCGCCAGTTACAATGCGAAGAGCTTTAGACTGGATGCCATCTAACTTACTTAGTGCTAATGCACTACAGGGCTCCAGAAAGCAAGTTCCATAATCAAGGATACTTCTGATAATAGCATTATATATTAATTTTTGTGTTGATGGATGAGCTCCCCACCAAACACCAGATAGGCATCTTAAAATGTTTAATAATTTTTCACATCGAGCTGATACATAATAGCAATGTGATAAGCCAGTTAATTTGGAATCTAGAATGATTCCTAAAAATTTAGCTTCATTACACACTGGAATTATGTCATTACCATAATGTACAGAAAATGATGGGGGTGATCTTATTCTTGTAAATAAAACGGCACAACTTTTAGAAACAGAAAGACTCAGTGAGTTATTATCTAACCATGATTTCAAGAGTGTTAACACATTACTTGTCATCCGCATATTGTAAAATGTTAGCTCTGCCTGCGATGTAAGACTCCCAAATCATACGTATAGACATTGTACAGTAAAGGACTCAAAACCGAACCTTGAGGTAGTCCTCTCCATGTCAGCCTAGATTTAAAATTGCCATCTCCCATATCTATTTTTATCAATCTTTCCGAAAGAAGGTTAAATTTTTATTAAATTTAGAAGCCAATTTTTTACCAATAAAACATGAAAATATTTGGATTGTTCAAAATTTTACTTTTTGCCCGACTGCGGAGGATAATGTTTTTCGAGCGTATGTATGCACGTATGTATGTATGTCCAATAATTTGGCACGCCCTACAGCCTGAACGTCTTGACGGATTTTGACATGCGAGGTGTCATTTGATTTGTCGTGATTGTGTGAGTGGCACTCGGTATATTAAAATTCAAAAAATCAAAATAACAGATTTTATGCGCCAAAATAAAACATTTTGAAAAAATGTATAAGTATTTTTATAGCCCCTCAAGCGAGGTATCAAAGTGAAGGGTTTTAAAAGAATATTTAGAAAATATACAACTCGTGTAATTAAAAAATAATGAAATTAAAATGTCGAAAATAAAAAAAAAATAACTAAAAAGAAAAAAACAAGTCCAGTAGTCTAGAATTCTGTTTAATAAGGAACAAAGTTACTTTAACAGTCGGGACTCATTAGAAATTCTAGAATGTATCGAATTTTCTCAATATTGGGTAAATCAACTAAATATAGATGGCCTAGTCTGCATTCTCTTTCATATTTCTTAAAAATTCAACAATTCAAAATTCAATATCGTTTATTCAGTCTAGGCTGTTACAAGCACTTGTGAATGTCGAAAAGCTACGCCATCGGTTCGCAAATCTACGGCGGGAGACCTTGTACTGAGATGAACCGACAAGAAACTCAGCAAGGGCTGTTTTTTGAAGTTATACTTCTTTAGGCGCGTTATGAAAAAATGATGAGAGTGAAATTTTAAGATGCGCGCGCATCACTGTAACACAAAAAATTGTGTTTACCGCACATTAAGAAAATGTACCAACAAAATAGAAATAGAATCTCTATTTAGTGGGTGCTAACGACTGCATTGTGAAGGCCTATCAAAAGTATTTATTAATCTGGAACAACGGAACCAAAGCGCGATTCAGGAGACTACAGCGCCATCTCTTGACCATTGGTGTAGTAGAACCAAAAACCACATTTTATTTTTTGTAATAAAGTAACAGTTATAGGTATTCATATTTATAATATTTATCCACATCTTTCTAGTTTGTATATTCGGAATACGTGTTTGAGTTTCATACAAGTGCAAATCACATATTTTCTAATAAATTATATTCAGTAGCGATTTTAATTGAATATTTTGATTATTTATTTATTTTTTCAAATTAAAACTGAACTTTATTGACTGTGTCCTTTTCCAGACTTTTTATTAATTTATTGTAATTAATTATTTGCATGCAATTAAAAACTAATTTTAAACGATGCCTAAGAAGGATAACTTCTCACGCGCCTACATAAGTACACGTACCCATTTTTTTTCTCCCTGTATTATATACAGAGTCGTCAAATTGAAAAATGACTTCAATATGAGGTAACTCATAAAGTCACTTTTCATCACAAACAAACAAAAAAAATGCAAATAATATAAAAATTATGACTATAAAATAAAAAATAAAAATATGTAAAAAAAAATGGTTTAACAAAGTTTAGGAATGACGTGTCCTACCGTTTAGGCAAAAAAATAATATAATAATAAAAAATAATAATAATAATGAACGATTAAAGTTTAGAACAACGATTAATAGTACCCAGTGAATTAAGAGCAGACTCATCTCCGCTGGCAGCACCCGTTCACGAGCATGACGCATGAACCAGCCATCGCTTCGCTCAACCATTTTTTAGGGAACGCAACGACCCGCCTCACACGACACCACCGAAGAGATTTTTAAGAGAGCATGACTACTCATAACCACACATGGATACTATGTTACAAAAATAGAAAAATATAAATATATATAGGTACCAGTGTACATTATTATAACAAACTATAAACACAACGGCAGGACACATGCATGTGATTACCTAAACACTGTTGTCGACTCTGGCAATACTCTCCCAACCCAAAACCAAATCCAACATCAGTCCCCCCTTTTCAGTCTGTATAGAGAATGACAAGGATACACCGCTGCAAAACCAAGTTCAGGTCTAGAAAAACATACCAGAATCCACACCGCCATTAAATCTTTATCAGAGAAATAATATATGTTCACTTACAATTTGATTGCTGTGTCATACAGTATAAATACAAGTTGTGTAATGTAAAATACAATCTAAATTTAATAATAATTATCATTACAATAATAAAGTAGTATAGAGCAGACTCATCTCCGCTGGCAGCACCCGTTCACGAGCATGACGCATGAACCAGCCATTGCTTCGCTCAACCATATTTTAGGGAACGCAACGACCCGCCTCACACGACACCGCCGAAGAGATTTTTAAGGGAGCATGACTACCCATAACCACTAAAACCAATCTGCAAAATAGTTACTTAGAATTAAGGTAATTTATCTGTACGACACTGCAAACAAATACAAAACAATTTTGCAGTTACAGCCATGCAGTTTTGTCATTCAAGTATTCTTTAATAGTATAATAGCCTTTCTTAACTAAACAACTTTTAATGTGACATTTGAACTCATTTATGGGTAACTCAAGAACAGCATCAGGAATTTTATTGTAAAAATGTATACCTTGACCCATAAAACATCGGTAAAGCTTCTGTAACCTGTAGGCTGGCAATGCAAGCTTGTTTCTATTCCTAGTATTAAAATTGTGCACGTTACTGTGTTTGGTATACAAATTGATATTATTTTTAACGAGGAGTATGCAATAGGCTAGTTTACTCATGTCGAATTGTATTAAATAAATGTTTATTTCATAAAGTGTTTAGTCTAAGGAACCTTAATATATCGATTTCACTTCATAAAAGCAGAAGATTGCTGTAGAAATTTAATTTTAAAAAATATTTTTTAGTCTATATTTTTTAAACACTAAAAACGCTGTTCGCCACATTCGCCATGATTTTGACGTCTCTTGTGGTAAACAACTAAATGTCATTCGCGTGTTACTGTAGGTGGATTCTTTCGTCTGACTAAATTTATCTTAATAAATACATAAATAAATATCATATTTCATAGATTATAGCAAAGTATTTATAGAAGTCGGGAGAGGAGTACGAAAGGATGTTAAGGAGTCAATAAAAGAGGAATAGTCATTTAAACTGTAAATATGTAAATACTTACCTGTTTCCCTACCTTTACATTTGTATGTGGCTGACGCACAAACCGTGCAGGCTATAAAGGAATAAAAAAAAATGCATAGTGGAGCGCGGGAAACCTTCAACTTAAGCTGACGTACTTTTTGGCAAGATTTTTTATTTATTTCTATTAATAGTTATTGGGATCAGATAGGTCCTTAGTTTAGTGTATAATTTAATATTTATTAGTAGTGTATAATTATATTCGCTGTATTGGTAAGTTGTTGGCTGTTTTTAACATTTCTTACGTA